TTCGATGAGAGAAGGAGGAGGTGGGGCGGCGGAGGCTTGCAGACTTCAGAAGGCCGGAAAGTGGGCATCTCCGGCTTTTAACTTGCTGTCCTGGTGGTTATTGGTTGACTGGATGTGGGCGTTGCTGGTATTGATGAGTCGAGGAAGAGCATTCTGTGGCCTGGGCAGCAGCAGCCGGGTCTACCACAGTGAACTTTCGCGAAGCTCCATTTCACTTTGGAGAGACCCATGAGGAAGATGCCGTTAGACTTATTAGATTTAAGCATGTTTATGATTGAGCATGTTTGGCGCCCTAGGCCCGGGAGGGATGCTGTTGAGCATGGCGCTTGCTCGCGTGCATAATCCCCAAAAAGCGGGCCTGCAATTGGGGTAGCAGGATGTACTGCGCGGGCCTGAGAGCATGAGTGAGGCTTCTCGCACGGTCGCTTCGGCCGGCTGCGTCCGCTGGGGCCCGTGTTTGTTTAGGCAGAGCGAGCTGAGGATATGAGCGTGCTCATATTCAGCTAGACGCTGAAGCAGAGGAATCTTTGAGCGAACTGGGAACATGCGCGCACGCGCATGTTCAGCCAGTTGCAGCGTAGGGGAGTCTTTGAGCGAGCTGGGAATATGAGATGCACGCTCATATTCGCCAGACGCTGAAGCCAAAATCTTTGAGCGAACTGGGAACATGCGCGCACGCGCATGTTCGGCCAGTCGCAGCGTAGGGGAGTCTTTGAGCGAGCTGGGAATTTGAGATGCACGCTTATATTCGCCAGACGCTGAAGCCAAGAATCTTTGAGCGAACTGGGAACATGCGCGCACGCGCATGTTCGGCCAGTCGCAGCGTAGGGGAGTCTTTGAGCGAGCTGGGAATATGAGATGCACGCTTATATTCGCCAGACGCTGAAGCCAAGAATCTTTGAGCGAACTGGGAACATGCGCGCACGCGCATGTTCAGCCAGTCGCAGCGCAGGGGAGTCTTTGAGCGAGCTGGGAATATGAGATGCACGCTCATATTCGCCAGACGCTGAAGCGCTGCAGCAGAGGAATCTTTGAGCGAGCTGAGACATGCGCGTTTGAGGAAGTGCGTGCCGCCACCAGAATATATTGCTTACTTGCTTTGCTGGGAGCTTACGAGAAAGCCGGTAAACGTTGAGCGGCCATGATAGCGGCCGCATCTGGCCTGATGTAGGTGGAGAAAGCCGAAGAGGACCAGCGCCCCAGCTGTTGTAGAGAAGAGTGGGGGAGCCCCAGCGAGGCCTCGACCACTGGGAATGTCTCGTGTAGGGCAGAGGAAATGCTCCGGGGAAAAGTAGCGGGCCACGGCCCCGCCAACCACTGGTCCTGGGAGAACCCCCCAAAACCCACGGAAGGGGCAGCGGCCGTGTAGAAGCGAAGACCTGTAGGGGCAGAGAGACATACCGAGGAGGGCCAATGATGTTGCAGGCGCCCTTACGCTTAGAATCTGGGGATGGAGATTAGATAATCAGGACAGTAGGATAGGTCGGGAAAGCGTGTCTCGGACCGCATTGAAGGTTGAGTGAGCAGTAGTGAAACGCTTATGCAGAGAAGCCATAGAAGGCGAGCAGGAAGATGCTGCGAGGAGGGCAGACATGTACTTGGACGATGAGCCGGAGTTCAGTGCCGCTCAGAGCTGCTGCAGGATGGGCGGCAGGATGGGGAGCCTGCAATCAGAAGAGTGAAAAATACGGGTACGGATGCCTTTGAGTAGGAGTTTGATTGACAGCTCAGCAGTAAAGAGAGATGTAAAGTGAAGAGACGTCAAAGTAAATGAAGCAGTAGCAGCAGCAGTGTTGCAGCAGTGGTTGCAGCAGTAGCAGTAGCAACAGCAGCAGTTGCAGCATCCTTAGATAATAACAGCAATAATCCTGTATCAAGGCCACAGCAGTAGAAATTGTTGTAGCTGTTTAGTGTTTCAGAAAGAGAGATGTAAAGGGAAGAGAGATGTCAAGTAAATGAAGCAGCAGCAGCAAGCAGTATGAAGCTTCCAACGTGGTTTTACTGCAAGTGGCAGAACATGAATCTGAATTAATGCACGTGCTCCTCTTATATCCCTCAGACGATGGATATTGATACCATTTAACATGCGTTGCCCCTCAGTTAGCTCAAACACAAGTGAAAACGAAGCCTGCAGTCCAGTGTACGGGGCAAAAACCAAGCCCGCAGTCCAGACTCCGGGATTAATCCGTCCGCGGTCGGCACACTCACTGTACTCACATGCCAGGAGACTTGGGAAAAGCAACGGGACAACGCGGCCCGCCAGACCGTCTGCGCGCGGCAGCAGACCACGAGGAACGAGCAGCACAGAACCCGCGGAGGGCCCCACGGAGAGCCCGCAGAAAGAGCCCGCAGAAGAGGAGAGCAGTGGAGACGCGCGAACCACAGCAGGCAGGGACGCAAAGGAGGAGCAGACCACGAGCAGCCAGACTGAGAACAGCCGGGCCACGCGCACGAGCAACACGTGAGCAGAAGCGACCCCTCCAGAACAACGCATGCATTTGCGACCAGGTGCGTTAGCGACATGCACCTTGCAGACTTCAGAAGGCCGGAAAGTGGGCATCTCCGGCTTTTAACTTGCTGTCCTGGTGGTTATTGGTTGACTGGATGTGGGCGTTGCTGGTATTGATGAGTCGAGGAAGAGCAGCCTGTGGCCTGGGCAGCAGCAGCCGGGTCTACCACAGTGAACTTTCGCGAAGCTCCATGTTATATTTTGCATTCTTGTAAGAAAGAGCCTGGATTATTTGATGCTTTGGGCTAGTGCTGACCGCTGTAGATCCAGGACTGAGGCTGTAGACCCAGGACTGAGGCTGTAGACCCAGGACTGAGGCTGTAGATCCAGGACTAAAGCTGTATAGACCCAGGACTGAGCGGTCTACATAGCATTGGTGTCATTTCCTCTCGCTGTCCAGCAGAGGGGGCTGTTGTGCCAGATTCAAAGCCCCAGAAGACAGAGGCTGGACTCAGAGGAGATGCGGCCTGACACAGAGCTCCTCCTCGGGGCTCACACGCAGCACAAACAGCCCCAGTCTCCCGGATCTTTTAGCCAAGACGGCGAGGATTAAGACGGAGGGCGCCACGGGCCTTTGTCGTGCGGCATTAGCAACGACCAAAGCAGCGGTCATGATCCCCTACGCACCCTGGACACGAGCACCACAAGCACACGGCTCCTGGAGGTCTGGTCCGATGGGAAATCTAATAGAAGTTGTCAAAAGCGGTTGATGCAGTTTGGTACACGGCTCTGAGAATGTTTTTTTCCACGTTTCTGGTCTCGGCAGAGGTTGATCTATCGCAGGGGACAGGAGTCCCCCCAAAAAAATAATACACACATTTCCCAGCGCTCTTTGCATTTTCATTTTGTGGGGAGTAAGTGTTAGTTTTTTTCTTACGTAAAGGTATTGGGGGGACGTATTACAATATGGGACAATGCTAACCCTGCTAACCGCTGTCAATATAGACAGTCCTGCATCGACAAAGAACCATCAAAAACCAGTGGAAAAAAAGTGATAAAAAGACATCAGGGAGGCCCATTTAGAGGCCCACAGGCTGTAGACCCAGGACTGAGGCTGTAGACCCAGGACTGATCCAGGACTGAGGCTGTAGACCCAGGACTGAGGCTGTAGACCCAGGACTAAGGCTGTAGATCTAAGACTGAGGCTGTAGACCCAGGACTGAGGCTGTAGACCCAGAGGCTGTAGACCCAGGACTGAGGCTGTAGATGCAGGACTGAGGCTGTAGACCCAGGACTGAGGCTGTAGACCCAGGACTAGACCCAGGACTGAGGCTGTAGATCCAGGACAGCGGGTGAATAGCAATAAACGAACCACAGCTGAAGTCAAAACGATGAATATTTTTCCCAGAAGGCCGTGTTTTTCTGGCGTCCCTTCGAGCCGTACATTCTGGAACCGCTTTCACTCGTTCCTCATTGTTGAAATAATTACCATTTTTCTCGTTTGTACTTTTCACCGCGGCACAAACTATGCCCGAGTTTGGGATTGAAACTCATTAATAATTCACAGAGTTGGACGGGAGGACTCGGTGCAGCTGCAGGGTCGGGAAGTTTTATGGTTGTGCAGAGAAAAGAAACCCTCCCGACTAAACGGATAGGGTTCACCAGCAGCACAGGTACAGAACAGAATACGTACTCACTGGTACATTTTAGAGCTAAAAAATCAACAGTGGATTATTGACAAAAGGTTGAAAGGATATTTTTGTAGATTTTAACTAATTGGAAGAGATGGGATTGTAATTATCTCACTGGTCTTTCTCTGGACTCTCTCTCTCTGGTCTCTTTCTGGTCTCTCTCTGAACTCTCTCTCTCTGGTCTCTTTCTGGTCTCTCTCTGGACTCTCTCTCTCTGGTCTCTTTCTGGTCTCTCTCTGGACTCTCTCTCTCTGGTCTCTTTCTGGTCTCTCTCTGGTCTCTCTCTGGTCTCTCCCTGGACTCTCTCTCTCTCTCTGGTCTCTCTCTGGACTCTCTCTCTCTCTGATCGCTCTATATTCTCACTCTCTGGTCTCTCTCTCTGCTCTCTCCCTGGTCTCTCTTTCTGGTATATCTCTGTTCTCTCTGGTCTCTCTTTCTGGTATATCTATCTGGTCTCTCTCTCTGGTCTCTCTCTCTGTGGTCTCTCTCTGGACTATCTCTCTGATATCTCTCTGTTCTCTCTGGTCTTTCTCTGTGGTCTCTCTCTCTCTGCTCTCTCCCTGGTATCTCTCTGTTCTCTCTGGTCTCTCTCTCTCTCTCTGGCCTTTCTTTCTGGTATCTCTATCTGGTCTTTCTCTCTTTTGCTCAAATTTGGAACAATTTTAACAGAACATTCAGAAATATTTCACCACGGGAGGATGGTTGCTGAAAACAATACTATTTCAAAGGTTAAAACTATATCCAATCACTCAGCGAGGTCAAAGTCCGTCTGTAGATGTGAGGCACTGTCCATGGTACACACCAGCAATCAGGACGGCACCAGCCCTGACCGGTAAACCATATGCAGCAGCTTGGGGCAGATGATGAAGTACAGCCTCTTCTTCTACAAGTGTATATACCGGGTAGGACTCTCGCTTCTCAGCAAGAAGGTTCAGGGTTCGAATCCCGATCAAAACAGGGCCTTTCTGAGTGGAGTTTGCATGTTCTCCCTGTTTTTGTGTAGGTTTCCTCCAGGTGCTCCGGTTTCCCCTACCACTAAAAACATGTGCAATAGGTCTGTGCCTCCTGTACTGGCCCCGCTCCCATCTCTGTGTGGAGTGAGAGAATAATGCCCACTACTGTAAACCGCTTTGACTCTGCTCTGTGAACGGCGCTATATAATTAAACAATACTTACTTACTTATTATGAAATAAGTGCAATGCAAATAAATGTCTTGCCTCGGTAATATAAACACACAACTTATTCAATAATTCAACATTGACGACTATTTCGACCCCATCAGTACAAAGTCGTGTTGTTTAAAACCTATTAATTTTACGCTTTGATTGAATAAAAAACATTTTTAAAAAGTATCTTCAATGTATTTTTTTGAACCAGGTCAAACATTTCCGACTCCAGTGTGTTTCAGAAGCAGATTTGGAATGATGTCACTTTAACAAGGATTTCAGCTTGTTTCCTTTTCAAACTTCAAACTCCTCAGTCCGAGCTGGGATCGGTGTGAGCTGCGGAACGCGTTGCTGCACTGCCCTCTGCTGGACAAAGCACAGAACACACGCTTTTCACATACTTTAGTGTTGAATCTGAAGGAATAAAACACTACAACTTTCATTTCTGTCGTCATTCACACACACACACACACACACACACACACTATCTATCCATACCCATCTATCTATATCATCTATTCTATATCTATCATCCATCTATCTATCTCTATCTTTCTATCCATCCATCTACTATCTATCTATCATCCATCTATCTATCTCTATCTTTCTATCCATCCATCTACTATCTATATCTATCCATCTATCCATCTCTATCTATCTATCCATCTATCCATCTATCCATCTATCTATCAATCTATCTATCATCCATCTATCTATCTATATATCTATCTATCCATCTACCTTTCTATCCATCTATCTATCTATCCATTTATCCATCTATCCGTCTACAGTATCTATCACCAGTATCTATCTATCATCAGTATATACCTACAGTACTGTACCCATCTCTCTGGACCCACCCCCCGCCGCTGTCAGACCCGCGTCTCCGAGTCCAAGGTCGGACTATTCCGGTCTCGTCTGGTCTTTGATCCGTGTCGTGAAATGACAAAGTAACGCATCCAGGGGTCAGCTGTGTTACGGGCAGACGCAACTCTATCCCTCCTGACAGTGTCTTCGGGATACTCCTGCACTACCCCCCCCCCCCCCCCCCCCCCTCCTTCACCTCTGCCACCCCCCACCCCCTGACAAAACACAGGCCAAATATAGCGCCCTCTGTCACTTTGGGTTAGTCGGTGCCAAGGTGCGGCGTTCCCAGTGTCAGGCGGCTGCACGTCACTCATCTGTGGACTCTCCAAAAAAGGTTCTATTGTTTTTTTACTGTCGCCCAAAGATACAAAAAAAACAGGGCGAGGATGTAGGCCATGCTTCTTCTTCTTCATTTCTTTTCTTTTAAAGCTTTTTTCGGCCGGTTTTGGTTATATAGGACTGAAGCTGTGGATCCAGGACCAAAACCAGACTAGAACCAGAAAGTACCATCTCATTAGTCCTGGTCCCAGGTCTCTGCCCCCTGTGGCTCAGGGAATAGTCTTTAAAGTAGCTCTGGTTGGGACTCTGAGGAGCACAGGGACTGGCCTCCTGCTGGGACTCTGAGGAGCACAGGGACTGACCTCCTGCTGGGACTCTGAGGAGCACAGGGACTGGCCTCCTGCTGGGACTCTGAGGAGCACAGGGACTGGCCTCCTGCTGGGACTCTGCAGGAGCAGAGGGACTGGCCTCCTGCTGGGACTCTGAGGAGCAGAGGGACTGGCCTCCTGCTGGGACTCTGAGGAGCACAGGGACTGGGCTCCTGCTGGGACTCTGAGGAGCACAGGGACTGGCCTCCTGTTGGTCCCAGAGTCAGGACTAAACATGAGTAGGCAGCTTTTCAGATGCATGCAGCCAAACAGTCTTCCTGAAAATGTGAGACAGGCTTCTTCTCAACCCAACTGTCATATAATTTCCATGTGTGCAGTAGTGTTGGATGAAAACAGTTTAATCCATGGAGTTTGTCGCCATCTTCTGGTCACAGTCGGAAATACACTTCTTTAAACCCATGAGAAAGAGTGAAGAGGAAATAGAAACACACAGATGTCCTCGTGTCCACCTGTCCCTCTTCCCTCTTCAGTCCTGGATCATTTGTTTTTTTCTAACTGGGTTTTTTAAGTTAAAGAACAGGACAGTGTTTAACCCGCTCCCTATGGCTTCAGTGTTTCTTATTATTGCATGTTCTGTGTTTCAGCTGATTCTCTTTCTCTCTCTCCCTCGGTCTCTCTCATTGACCTCTTTCAGTCTCTCTCTGACCTCTATCATTCTCTCTCTCTCTGACTTCTTAGTCTCTCTCCCTAACCTCTCTCAGTCTCTCTCCCTAACCTCTCTCTCTGACCTCTCTCAGTCTCTCTCCCCAACCTCTCTCTCACTCTCTCTCGGACCTCTCTGTCTCTCCCCAACCTCTCTCTCTCTGACCTCTCAGTCTCTCTCCCCAACCTCTCTCTCTCTCGGACCTCTCTCTCTATCTCTGATCTCTCTCACTCTCTCTCGGACCTCTCTGTCTCTCCCTAACCTCTCTCTCTCTCTCTCTGACCTCTCTCAGTCCCTCTCCCTAACCCCCCTCTCTCTCTCTGACCTCTGTCTCTCTGACCTCTCCCTTCCTAACCTCTCAGTCTCTCTCTCTCTGACCTCTCTCAGTCTCTCTGAGTCTCTCTCTCCCTCACCTCTCAGTCTCTCTCTCTAGAAACCAAGATGTTGAACTCTCTTGAATCCTTTTTCAGATGTTTGGTTCCGCGGTGTGTCTAAGCAGCTGTATAACATGGCTGGGTCTTCTGGGCAGAATCTGTCATATCTCTTTTATCTCTCTCTCTCCATCATTCTTCAGGTGTAGGAGCTCTGCGGTCACCGAGTTGACGTCTTGATCCGCGCTGACAGCCGCTGGGGGCCGTGTACCTGAGCCGTCACGTCACTACGGGAGCCGAGGAGGCGGTAATTAACGCTCACACTGTCGCCGTCGGGGGCCCTCACCTGTGGAGTGGCACAGTGGCTCCGGGGCCCGCTCCTTCAGACTTAAACACGGAACCGGGCTCCACCGAGACGCACAGCTGTCACACAGACATGACGTTCACCTTTACGGCTCAATTATAGCTTTGTGCCAACTTCCCGGAGTTCCATCTCCTCCAAACACACACTCTGTCCTGCAAGGCCTCACTGTTTTGATTAATTGTTCTTTTACTCTCTTTCTGGTCCCTCTCTCTCTGGTCCCTTGGTCTGGTCTCTCCCTCTCTTTCTGGTCTCTCTCTGGTCCCTTGGTTTGGTCTCCCCCCCCCTCTGATCGGTCTCTCTCTCTCTCTCCCTTTCTCTGGTCAGTCTCTCTCCCTCTCTTTTTGGTCTCTCTCTCTCTCTCTCTCTCTCTCTCTGGTCCCTTGGTCTGGTCTCTTCGTCTCTCTGGTCTCTTGGTTTGGTCTCTCTCCCTCCCCCTCTCTGGTCGGTCTCTCTCCCTCCCTCTTCCTCCAGTAGAACCCTTGTGTTTTCCCATTAAATCAAAACACATCAATACAAAAATACATTATATGTTTATTTTTGAGACATTTCTTCACTTTGACTCTTGCTCCTCTGAGTGTCACAAACACTGTCTTCATCTTTTAATAAGAACAAACCCAAAAACAATTAAAGTGCGACAGGGCCTGAGAGCATAGTGCTGGCTGAATATGGAAGATTTGAACAACAAGCTAGCTGGAGCCGATTTCCTTATATGGGCATTTTCTTCTGCACCACAACAGTGTTGCTAAGACGGTTGCTAAGGGAAGTTGGAAAGTCCCCCACGAATGAAGGGTCTTGAACCATAAAGACTGGTCCCTCCTTATACAATTTATATCTGGATTATACAGACTATATTCAAATATAAAAACCAGGAGGACACAAACGTTTACTGAGCTAGAGGACTGTACTTTTACATACAAGTCAGTGGGAGCCAGGTGCTAAACTTTGTCCATGAGCACTTCCCTATTGGGCTTTATGGAGCTAGCGGGTTAGCATTGTCCATCTGTGTCTTCAGTCCATGAGTGAGTCCACGGCGCGCAGTTCCTGAGTGTCAATCATTGCAAGTTCGTCGTCGTGCACCCAACCCTCCCCCTCAGTGTGGGCGGGGCTCGTGCAGACTGGCCCCGCCTCCCCTTTGGTGTGGGCGGGGCTTGCAGGGACACGCGAGCATCGGGGCGGGCAGAAGGTCTTGTTGACGTGTGGCGAGGCGTGCTGTGCGGGGCTCAGGGGGGGCAGTGGGGGGGGCGGGGCGTACCGGGACAGGTGATCCAGGGCCCGTCTCCTCTTGCTGCTGCGGGGGTCCTTCTTCTGGGGGAGGCAGCTGAGGCGACCGGGCGTCTTGAAAACCGGGGAAGGCTTCTCCCACGAGCTCTGGGAAGGCACAAGTTAGACTCCTCAGGTTAAAAGACACAGGTCCATCTAGTGGGAGGAGAGGGACACTACACCCTCTGTGTTACATAAGGACAGGTGTGCAGACATACAGGTGTGAAGACATACAGGCGTGAAGACACACAGGCGTGCAGACACACAGGCGTGCAGACACACAGGCGTGAAGACACACAGGCGTGCAGACACACAGGCGTGAAGACACAAAGGCGTGAAGACACAAAGGTGTGGAGACACACAGGTGTGCAGACATACAGGTGTGCAGACACTAATGTTTAAAAAAGGCAGAAAACAGCTCTGTCCACGACGTCGCAGTCTGAGCATTTGTCAGTGCGACCCAGGGCAGGTTAAGTTCAGCAATAGAAATCAGCAAAATTCAGCAAAAAAAGAAAATATTGATGGTATTTTTTTAATCACTGTGGTGGATAAATTTGACCCAAGGATAGGATGAAGTCAGATGCCTTGGACAGAAATACTTAGGTACTTAATACTAGGTACGGATTGATTAAATTGTTCTTAACTTTCACAATGACAGAACGCCGTTGCAAACTTGTAAAACTGACAAATCCTCACACCATGACATTAATTATGTGTCAAGCTTTGATTTCCTTTTTCAAAGTAATTATAGAAGTTTGCACATTTACCAGTGTTTTTGAGAACAAAGAGATGGATTGAATTCAACTTCATGTGCTGAATCTGACACTGGATCACTTTTTATTTTTAATGCTGATGGTTCTAGACCAGTTCTCTGGCTCTTACTCACAGGGGAGGCCGCGGTGGTCTGTGGACGGGATGTGGGGGTGGTCTGTGGACTTCTCTGGTCCATGCCTCTGGAGCGTGGCGTCCTGGGGTTCATGGTCTGTCCTTCAGACCAGGAGAGGTCCCTCACACTTTGCTCTGCTCTGGTGAAGAAGTCTCCCTGGTCCTGCACAAAGGTCAGACAATTGTGGACCCTGCGCAGACCAGAGAGAGGCCAGAGAGAGGCCAGAGAGAGGCCAGAGAGAGACCAGAGAGAGGCCAGAGGGAGGCCAGAGAGAGGCCAGAGAGAGACCAGAGGGAGGCCAGAGGGAGACCAGAGAGAGGCCAGAGAGAGGCCAGAGAGAGACCAGAGAGAGACCAGAGAGAGACCAGAGAGAGACCAGAGAGAGACCAGAGAGAGGCCAGAGAGAGACCAGAGAGAGACCAGAGAGAGACCAGAGAGAGGCCAGAGAGAGACCAGAGAGAGCCCAGAGAGAGGCCAGAGAGAGGCCAGAGAGAGACTAGAGAGAGGCCAGAGAGAGACTAGAGAGAGGCCAGAGAGAGACCAGAGAGAGACCAAAGAGAGACCAAAGAGAGACCAAAGAGAGATCAAAGAGAAACCAGAGAGAGACCAGAGAGAGAGACCAGAGTGACAGACCAGAGAGAGACCAGAGAGTGGCTAGGGAGAGAACCCAAAGACAGAAAAACCAGACAGAGAGAGACATGTGGACCCTGTATGGATTCTGACCCTGTATTAAGATTAGCATAACAAAGAAGCATCAAATCTATAACTTTAGCATAGAATATGTCATTCGCTGTTCTCCCCATGTCCTCTCCAGTTTCCTCCAGGTGCTCCGGTTTCCCCCTTCCCTCCTCGTACCTGGACAGCTTGTCGGAGGCGGCTCAGACCCTGCTGCAGGTAGGCCTCCCGGGGCTGTGTGGAGAGCTCAGTCAGGTCCCCGGTGTGCAGCGTGGGCAGGGACCCACACGGAAACCGCACCTGCAGGTTGGTGATGCAGAGCAGAGCGTGGGGCTGAAGCACCTCGTCCCACTCACAGCGAGAGGGTCCCAGGCCACAGCGCACCCTCACCACAGAGAGGCACTCAAGGGCCAGGTAGAATGCTGGCGAGGGCCCTGAGGAAACAATAAAATAACACATTGAAATCTGTATTTGGTACAAGTTGGTGGATTTTTTCCAGACTCACCGTGCTGATCCGTGATGCTGACCACGGCGCCGGCCAGGTCCACCTCGCCACACACAGGGAGGAAATCTGGGTTTTGAAGATCCGTATAAGTGACGCAATCTCTGGGTCTAAAATGTGCTGACAGCCAGAGTGGGGAGGCCTGGACACAGACGGAAACCACTGAAACCACATGTACACACACACACACAAATATATACACATTAAGCCCGGTTCACCCGGCAGGATAATTAGGCCGATTTTGGACCCGATTTACCCCTACGACAATCAGAAGAACGCTCCGAATATCGTAACAAAAAATCTGATGGATTTTCCTGCCGTGTGTGGTGTGTTAAGACTGTGCTTGTCGCTCGGAAGGACTTCGGGACTGCTCCGATCTCAATATTGGGGATATCCAACATGTTAGATTGTTTTGGCCCGATTTCTCTTTGTGTGTGGTGTCCCCCGGGGACAGATGTGCGCGTTGCCATGACTGCGGCCTGTAGCCAATCAGAAGACGAGACGAGGCGGAGAGGAAACACCGTGAAAAAAAAAAAAACAGTCAGCGGCATGGCGCACCAGAAAGTTCGGTGGACATCAGAGATGGAGGAACTAGTTGACCTCTGGCAACACCGTGAATGTATGTATGTATGACGTGTCGTGTAAAGACACTGCATGAAAAGTGTGATTTTCGTCTCTTTTCGGCCCTGTATATTACTGTGAAACTTCTGGGATTCGGCTGTTGACGGTAGTTTGTTGTCCCCTCCTCCCTCCTCCACAGGAGGCTTTAACATGTAAATGGGAATGCTGTGAGCTATACAAATGCTAATCAGGGTTGAGGGGGAGCACAACTTTGCTCCAAGCTGCACAACTACTTTCAGTCAGTCTGCAGCATGGATCAGGTCAGCACACTGTAGACCCGGATTTTGTAAATGCTCAAACTGTTTACACACACACACACACACACACACACACACATCAGATAAATATTTGATCATGATTGATTATAGCTTGTCATGTCAAAATCAATTAAATAAATCCAATAGGACAAAAGACATGTTGAAAGTGTAAGTGCTCATCAAAGGATATATGTATGTACAGTACAGACCAAAAGTTTGGATTTTGTCTTTTTTTTCATGACTATGAACATTGTAGATTCACACTGAAGGCATCAAAACTGAATTATGTACATACCTAAAAGAAAAGGTATGAATCAACTGAAAATATGTGTTATATTCTCGGTTCAAAGTAGCACCATATATATATATATAAACATATACATACACACAAACGGCTGTTGGTGTTATCATGGCCCAGTCCCAATACCCACACTGCACCCTACGCCCTCCTATGAAGTGTGCATGTGTCTGAAGTGCACACCAGGGTTTGAGTGTGCAGGTTACGGGTGTGCACAAAAGGCTAAATTGGGACAGTGCACACTGAGTGCAGGTTACGTCATCGACTCGTCAAGAGATGGTCATTTTTAGACCTAAACTTTATAAACATTAAAGGTAATTTTGTCTGACCCTTTGGGAAACAAAATGAATTGCTTCACACACGTTAAAATACATGTATATTAGTTGTTTTTAATTAGAAATAGCTGTATAATTTTAAGTTAAAAGTTAAATCCCTCAGTTGTAGCACAGCTAAAGTGAGACAGGCCTCCTCTCTGACAATGTTTAAAACCAGGTTAAAAACAGTTCTGTTTAGCTGTGCTACAACTGAGGTATTTTATATTTATCTTTTTTAATGTACTGTGATTATTTATTTTAATGCTTTCTTATTTTGTTCAGCACTTCGAGTTGCCTTGTGTATGAATTGTGCTAGACAAATAAACTTGCCTTGCCATCGTACTTCCTGGTTCTGGTCAGGACTTGAGCTGCGGCATTTTGAATGTACTGCAGCTGTTGTTACAGTAGTCTAACCTACTGGAGACAAATGCATGGATAAGAATCTCCAGGTCTGCTTTAGACACTATGTTTTTGATCCTGGCAATGTTTAGATGGGAAAAAGGATTTGATGTGGCTAATAATATTTACTGATTCTTTCAGCTGGTGGAATCGAGACTGAGTGTGCTAGAAAGTGACAAAGTGGAACTCTGAAAGTGTGCCACGGTAGACCTAATGTCCAATGAAGAAGAAGGCGTTGTGGACTGTGTCTCTGGGTGGATTGTGCGGTCGCCGTCTTTTCGAAAGCCGGAGTTTTCTGAACTCTGTGTCAAGCTGCAGTCCCGATTAGAGGCGGCACGGAAGTACAGAGCCACGCACATTAAGCGTCTATCTAGAACCCTGCCAAATTACAACCCAGAGGAGGCTATTGGACAGTTCAGAGTTGTAATTTTTTAATTACCTATGTGTGAGCATAAAGCTGTGTGTGTGTGTTTTAATAAAGCTTTCTTTGTATGAACATATTCCTGGAAAATTTTCATTTCCTCTATAAATAATATGAATAAATATATATTTATATGAATATTATTTAATTAATTATGAGGCAGGGTGACCAATAGTGACAGATCTGCCAGCCAATCCCGAGAGATTATATTTATTTGAAAGTAGTGACTCCCCCTTGGACTGCCACCTTAACGTGGTGGGGGAGTTTGAGCACTCGGATGATCCTGGGAGCTATGCTGTCTGGGGCTTCATGCCCCTGGTAGGGTCTCCCATGGCAGACAGGTCTCAAGTGACGAGTCAGACGAAGCGCAGTCCGAAGCCAACCATGGACAGCACGACAATGAGAACCGTGACGTCGCCCGGCATGGCGCAGCCGGGGCCCCACCCTGGAGCCAGGCCTGGGGTCGGGGCTCGCAAGCGAGCGCCTGGTGGCCGGGCCTTAGCCCACGGGGCCCGGCCGGGCTCGGCCCGAAGGGATGACGTGGGCAGTCCCTCCTGTGGGCCCACCACCTGCAGAGGGGTCCGTGGTGGCGAGGTGCAGAGAGGACTGGGCAGCAGTCGAAGGCGGAGACCTCGACGACCCAGTCCACACACCCAACATCTGGCTCTTGGGACGTGGAACGTCACCTCACTGGGGGGGAAGGAGCCCGAGCTTGTGGGGGAGGTTGAGCGATACCGACTAGAGATAGTCGGCCTCACCTCCACACACAGCTTGGGCTCTGGAACCCAACTCCTTGAGAGGGGTTGGACGCTCCACTTTTCTGGTGTTTCCCGCGGGGAGAGGCGGCGAGCTGGGGTGGCCATACTCATTGCCCCCCATCTCAGCCGCCACGTGTTGGAGTTCTCCCCGGTGAATGAGAGGGTCGCGTCCCTCCGCCTCCAGGTGGGGGACAAGTCTCTCACTGTTGTGACGGCCTACGGGCCTAACGGTAGTGCAGAGTACCCGGCCTTCTTGGAGTCCTTGGGAGGGGTACTGGACAGTGCACCGCCCGGGGACTCCGTTATTCTCCTGGGGGACTTCAACGCCCATGTGGGAAATGCCAGTGACACTTGGAGAGGGGTGATCGGGAAGAACGGCCCCCCTGATCTGAACCCGAGCGGTGTTCAGTTGTTGGACTTCTGTGCCAGTCACAGTTTGTCCATCACGAACACCATGTTCGAGCACAAGGGTGTCCATCAGTGCACGTGGCACCAGGACACCCTAGGCCGGAGGTCGATGATCGACTTTGTTGTCGTATCATCTGACCTTCGACCGCGTGTCTCGGACACTCGGGTGAAGAGAGGGGCGGAGCTGTCAACCGATCATCACCTGGTCGTGAGTTGGATCCGCTGGCAGGGCAGGAGGCCGGACAGACCTGGCAGGCCCAAGCGTGTAGTGAGGGTTTGCTGGGAACGTCTTGCTGAGCCCCCTGTCAGACGGACTTTCAACTCACACCTCCGGGAGAGCTTCTCCCAGGTCCCGGCAGAGGAGGGGGACATCGAGTCCGAGTGGACCATATTCTCTTCCTCTATCGCCAATGCGGCGGCTCGTAGCTGTGGTCGCAAGGTCTCTGGTGCTGGTCCCGGCGGCAATCCCCGAACCCGGTGGTGGACACCAGCAGTAAGGAATGCCGTCAGGCTGAAGAAGGAGTCCTATCGAGCAATGATGGTTCGTGGGACTCCTGAGGCAGCTGTCCAGTACCGGCAGGCCAAACGTGCCGCGGCCCGGGCTGTTGCAGAGGCAAAAACCCGGGTCTGGGAGGAGTTCGGAGAGTCCATGGAGCATGACTATCGGTCGGCCTCAAAGAGGTTCTGGCAAACCGTCCGGCGCCTCAGGAGGGGGAAGCAGTTCTTTGCCAACACCGTGTATGGTGCGGGTGGAGGGCTGCTGACCTCGACTGGGGATATTGTCGGGCGGTGGAAGGAATACTTCGAGGTTCTCCTCAATCCCCCCGTCACGTCCTCCGTCCAGGAGGCAGAGGCTGAGGATGTTGGGGCGGATACTTACATCTCCCTGGCCGAGGTCACCAAGGTGGTTGGCAGCCTCCATGGTGGCAAGGCGCCGGGAGTGGATGAGATCCGTCCTGACTATCTAAAGTCTCTGGATGTTGTAGGACTGTCTTGGCTGACACGTCTCTGCAGCATCGCGTGGCGATCGGGGGCGGTACCAATGGAGTGGCAGACCGGGGTGGTGGTCCCTCTCTACAAGAAGGGGGACCGGAGGGTGTGTTCCAATTATCGTGGGATCACACTCCTCAGCCTCCCCGGTAAGGTCTACTCCAAGGTACTGGAGAGGAGGCTACGTCCGATGGTCGAATCTCGGATTCAGGAGGAGCAGTGTGGTTTTCGTCCCGGTCGCGGAACACTGGACCAGCTCTATACTCTCCATCGGATACTCGAGGGTTCATGGGAGTTCGCCCAACCTGTCCACATGTGCTTTGTGGATTTGGAGAAGGCGTTCGACCGTGTTCCCCGGGGTGTCCTTTGGGGTGTCCTTTGGGGGGTCCTCCGGGAGTACGGGGTCCGGGGTCCTCTGCTGAGGGCCGTCCGGTCCCTGTATGACCGGAGTCAGAGCTGTGTTCGCATTGCCGGCAGTAAGTCAGACCTGTTCCCGGTGCATGTTGGCCTCCGCCAAGGCTGCCCTTTGTCACCGGTTCTGTTCACTGTATTTATGGACAGAATTTCTAGGCGCAGCCAGGGGCCGGAGGGGGTCCGGTTCGGGAACCACAGATTTCATCTCTACTTTTTGCGGATGATGTCGTCCTGCTGGCTCCAACGAACCAGGACCTGCAGCATGCACTGGGACGGTTTGCAGCCGAGTGCGAAGCGGCTGGGATGAGAATCAGCACCTCCAAATCCGAGGCCATGGTGCTCGACCGGAAAAAGGTGCCTTGCCCTCTTCAGGCGGGTGGAGAGGTCCTTCCTCAAGTGGAGGAGTTCAAGTATCTCGGGGTCTTGTTCACGAGTGAGGGGAGGATGGAGCGTGAGATTGACAGGCGGATCGGTGCAGCGTGCGCAGTGATGCGGTCGCTGTATCGGGCCGTTGTGGTAAAGAGGGAGCTGAGCCGAAAGGCGAAGCTCTCGATTTACCGGTCAATCTTCGTTCCCTCCCTCACCTATGGTCATGAGCTTTGGGTAATGACCGAAAGAACGAGATCGCGGATACAAGCGGTCGAAATGAGCTTCCTCCGCAGAGTGGCTGGGCGCTCCCTTAGAGATAGGGTGAGGAGCTCGGTCACACGGGAGGAGCTCGGAGTAGAGCCGCTGCTTCTCCACGTCGAGAGGAACCAGTTGAGGTGGCTCGGGCATCTGTTCAGGATGCCTCCTGGACGCCTTCCTGGGGAGGTGTTCCGGGCACGTCCCACCGGGAGGAGGCCCCGGGGAAGACCCAGGACACGCTGGAGAGACTATGTCTCTCAGCTGGCTTGGGAACGCCTTGGGGTCCCCCCGGACGAGCTGGAGGAGGTGTGTGTGGATAGGGAAGTCTGGGCGTCTCTGCTTAGACTGCTGCCCCCGCGACCCGGCAACGGATAAAGCGGAAGAAAATGGATGGATGGATGGATGAAAGTAGTGATTTCATCCAATGGGGAGTAATCCCACGTGGGCTGGCCACGTGTGATTTTTCAGCCAATCACGAGTTTGAAAGTAGTGGTATCCGCCAATGCTGAATAGCAGCCTGGCCAGCCGCTGCATTCATATGCTAATTAGGGCCATTAGCGCTCGGCCGGCCGCAGTGTTTCGCTGTATTCATATGCAAAGTAGGGACATTAGCATGGTACGGATGCTGCAGTTTGGAGGACAGGGCACCCTAACTGCGCCTTTTGAAAACTGCCTGAGATACCCGAAAAAGAGCGTGATTTCCTGCCGTTTAGGGTGACAAAAATCTAACTTTTCATGCAGTGAGAATCATCACCGAAATGACAAGGAGAGGAATTGGGCAGAAATTGCTGCTGCACAGGTAGTGTTGGCATAAGCCCTATTCGGACGGGATTAGTACACTAAACGATCAGACTGATGGGTTGTGTTTGTACGTTTGCTTTGCACTCTGTCCTAATACAGTAGAGCAAATGTTTTGGCCCATTAGTTAGAACGGCGGAGATAGGCGTGACTCTGTCCGTTAATATATACAGTCTATGGGTCAGACCAGAGTCTCTATAGGCTGCGTGAAAAAGAGAGGCCCGCACACTCTGTTTACTCTGAAGTCACGCTTGATCTCGAGAGATTTTGTGAGATTTCCGGTGACCTGTGACTACTCGGGGGTGAAATCGGTTCGTGTGTGATGTGTGTGGTTTGCGTGATTTTGCCGTGTGGCTGCGCACCACACACTGTACGACCAAAGTGGTTAGACCCGTGATTTTTTATCTCCGTGTGTGGGGTGTCTCAGGAGAAAAAAAATCGGCCGACAATTTTTAAAATTGTCTCGTGTGAACCAGGCTTTAGAGGACAGAGAGAGAGATCCCAGAGAGAGAAACCATAGAGAGAGACCATAGAGAGAGACCAGACAGAGAAACCATAGAGAGAGACCATAGAGAGAGACCAGACAGAGAAACCATAGAGAGAGACCATAGAGAAAGACCAGACAGAGAAACCAGAAAACAAAGAGAGAGACCCCAGAGAGAGACCATAGAGACCAGACAGAGAGACCAGAGAGAAAGAGAGATAGAGACCACTATAAGAGAGAGAGAGAAACCAAACAGAGGGACCAGAGTGAGACCAGAGAGAAAGAGAGAGAATGCATGCATTGTTGGCCTCTGTCACATCTTTAGATCCGTTTTTTCAAGCAGAAAAGTTAAAATCAATCAGCTCTCAGTAAAAGATAAAACGTTTTCAATTAAGATGAATAAAGAATGTTGATGAATGATTAGTTGACATGTTATTTGTACAAGGCCATTTCCGTTCGGACAAACGAATGCATTTATGACGTTTCAATAAAGTTAGATCCCCCAGCTTTAAAGCATCTGGCCCCAGCGGCTGTCGTCTTTGACCCGTGCTCACCTGCACACTCGTGAAGCGGGTTTTCCGGGTCGCTGTGAGCTGCACGGTGGCCCTGCCGGCTCCAGGGTGGGCCCCACGGTGGGCTCCGCTCCGGGGCTCAGTTGCGGTGAGGTTGTAGGTGCGATAGCGGCCGCCCTCCTTCAGCAGGGACTGGAGCTCAGCAGAGGGACTCCACACACTTAGCTGGTACACTGCACAGACCAGGCCAGACCTCAGACCAGGCCAGACCTCAGACCTCAGACCAGGCCAGACCTCAGACCAGGCCAGACCTCAGACCAGGCCAGACCTCAGACCAGGCAGACCTCAGACCAGGCCAGACCTCAGACCAGGCCAGACCTCAGACCAGGCCAGACCTCAGACCAGGCCAGACCTCAGACCAGGCCAGACCTCAGACCAGGCCAGAACTCAGACCAGGCCAGAACTCAGACCAGGCCAGAACTCAGACCAGGCCAGAACTCAGACCAGGCCAGAACTCAGACCAGGCCAGAACTCAGACCAGGCCAGAACTCAGACCAGGCCAGAACTCAGACCAGGCCAGAACTCAGACCAGGCCAGAACTCAGACCAGGCCAGAACTCAGACCAGGCCAGAACTCAGACCAGGCCAGAACTCAGACCAGGCCAGAACTCAGACCAGGCCAGAACTCAGACCAGGCCAGAACTCAGACCAGGCCAGAACTCAGACTAGGCCAGAACTCAGACCAAGCCAGAACTCAGACCAGGCCAGAACTCAGACCAGGCCAGAACTCAGACCAGGCCAGAACTCAGACCAGGCCAGAACTCAGACCAGAACTCAGACCAGGCCAGAACTCAGACCAGAACTCAGACCAGGCCAGACACTATCAATAACATGAACTAGCCCTTTGTATTTTTATACAATACACTGATCCCTGGTTTATCGCAGGGGAGATGTGTTCTAAAACTAACTCACAAAAAGTAAAGTCGTTGAAGTAGCAGCTCTATGTTTTAAGGCTATAAAACCTGAATCCAAAATAGAGGCAAGAGATCAGAGAGAGACCAGTGAGACCAGAGAGAGAGACTAGAGTGAGACCAGAGAGAGAGACTAGAGACAGAGACAAGAGAGAGACCCAAATGAGAGGCAAGAGACCAGAGAGAGACCAGAGAGAGACTAGAGAGAGACTAGAGAGAGACTAGAGTGAGACTAGAGTGAGACTAGAGAGAGACTAGAGTGAGACTAGAGTGAGACTAGAGAGAGACTAGAGTGAAGCGGAGAGAGAGACTAGAGAGGCAAGAGGCCGTAGAAGGAGACCATAGAGAGAGAGACCAGAGCCAGACCAAAGACATTTATATAGATGTTATATAGCAGTTCTATGATGTTGTTGGAGGATACACACAGCATATTAGAAGCAACACAATTATACACAACAATCTGAGCAACGGTGAGAGCAAGAACAGAGACCCAACACAATAATAATCTGTACAACATCAAGCCAGCTCTCACCGGTGGAGCCGCGGGGGTCCTGGTAGTCCGCGATACTCAGTCTCCACACGGGGGTCACCTGTCTGCGGGGGAAACTGCCCTCGCTGCCCTCCTCCTGCTCCACGGCTCGGCGCAGTCGCTCCTGCAGCTGCTTCTGCCTCTGCTCCAGTGCGTCTCGCTTGTACAGGCACAGGGCGTGAAGCTGCTGCGAGCTCAGGTACGGCTGTTACGCACACACACACACACACACACATGACAAAACTGTGGGAGGACATTGACATTCGAGGGGTGATATTGCATCGTTCTAACTTGAGTGAAGGATGATATATTGTTATGTGTCCTCTGCATTTGACCCGTGCTTCCAGGACCATTGGTCAGAAGTTTGATGCTCGACTTGTTCAGAACCAGAGCTGGAGGACTTTACTAGTCCTGACTACAACCAGGAAGTCCTTTCACATTAGTATATTGAGACCAGGAACAACATAATTGAACTGCTAGTAAAACATGTCTCTGGTCTCGCTCTCTGTCAATGGTCTTTCTCACATTAGTCCTGGGTCTCTGTCCTTTGTCCTGAAGTCCTCTCACATAAGTCCTAGTCTCGGCTCTCTGTCCTTGGTCCTGATGACCTCTCACATTAGTCCTAGTCTCAGGTCGCTGTCCATGGTCTCTCTCACATTAGTCCTGGTCTCGGGTCTCTGTCCATGGTCTTTCTCACATTAGTCCTGGTCTCAGGTCTCTGTCCATGGTCCCTCTCACACTAGTCCTGGTCTCGGGTCTCTGTCCTTTGTCCTGAAGTCTCTCAAATTAGTCCTGGTCTCCTTTCACATTAGTCCTGCTTTCCCCATTGGTCAAAATATTGTGAAAAATATTGTGCTTGTTCATAACAGCTGCAAAGTTTAAAGTCTTTATCGGAGTGAAACAGGAGTGAAGTAAACCCAGAGTAAACCCAGAGTGAACCCAGAGTGAATCCAGAGTGAACCCAGAGAGCGCAGTGACCTTTGAAACCACCTCAATATCTCACTGTGCACTATTGTTTATGTGTCTTCCCATGCCTGGTCTCTGTTGCCCCCTGTGGTCCATGTTGAAGTTTCAAAATGCATGAAGTAGCAAAGCACTGATGCCGTACCTCCACTTCAGCCAGCTCCTCCCCCACGGCCTCGTACAGCTCCTCCCCCTCCTGAAGCCGGCTCAGCTCCTCCAGTCTGACAGATCGCCTGCTGCCTTTGGACTTCACTCCGTCTGTGTGGAAACAATGTTAGCTGTTGGCACTGTTGGCGTCTGAGGCCTCTCCTCCTGGTTAGTCTGAAGCCTAACTCACCTCTCCCCGCTCTCCTCCTGGTCAGTCTCTAGCCTCTCTCCCCTCTCTCCTCCTGGTCAGTCCCCAGCCTCACCTCTCTCCTCCTGGTGAGTCTAAAGCCTCACCTCTCTCCTCCTGGTCAGTCTGTTGCCTCTCTCCCGCCTTTCCTCCTGGTCAGTCCCCAGCCTCACCTCTCTCCTCCTGGTCAGTCTAGCCTCTCTCCCCTCTCTCCTCCTTGTCAGTCCCCAGCCTCACCTCTCTCCTCCTGGTCAGTCTGTAGCCCCTCTCCTCTCTCTCCTCCTTGTCAGTCCCCAGCCTCACCTCTCTCCTCCTGGTCAAACTGAGCTCTGATCTTGGCGTACAGTCTCTCCAGGTGTTTCTCCTTCTGCTGCAGGTGCCGTCGGGCCTCCTTCTCTTCAGCGCGGCCCGAGCGGAACACCAGCCCCCCCTCCACCTTCCTCTCCATCCACTGACACAGACACAGACAAAGACGAAGTGTGATGTCCCTGACACTCTGCTTGTGTGCGTGTGCGTGTGTGCGTGTATGTGTGTCACCTGTTGGGGGTAGATCCTCAGTATGACCATGTCCACACTGCCCACTGCTCCTCCGGTGCTGAACAGTGAGCTCAGCGGCAGCACAAAGGGCCGAGGATCTCTGTAGTAGCCCAGGCGAGTGTCCCAGCGGGCCCTGCGGGTGCTGTTGGCGCAGATCTGACACACACAGGACACACACATGTCACACACAGGTCTCAGAGTGAGAAGGAGGGAGATGTTTCAGGTACAAATCCTCCCCAGATCTTTCAGCAGGAAGAACCATGGAGAGGGGCTGCTGACCTTCAGGCTCAGGCAGTCAGGGGCCTCCAGGGGCCCGCAGGCCTCTTCAGACCCTATGAGCTGGGCCCCATGCACCATGAGCTTCACCCCCTCTGTGATGTGGCCACGCTGCAGCATCGAGGTCAGTGGGACGTCCAGCTGGCATTTGATGGAGTACCAGCCGTCTGTGAGCCACACCACAGCTGTGGGGCTCTCCTGAGCAGGACCTGGACCCAGACCTGGGTCCTGACCAGGGCCTTGACCAAGACCCGGAGCTGACTTTGCTTCAGAGAAGGGTCCACACACACACAGCACCATGGTCTTAGCCGCTGTGTCATCTCGCTCGAAGATTCTCCTCAGAGCAGACCGCCGGCTGTGGTCCACCTCCACGTCATATCTGAGAAATCAACAGAAGTCCTTAGAGGGTCTGAGGGACCCCTGCTGTACTACTGTAGTACTAATGTAGTGCTACACTGTATTACTGCAGTAGTTGTAGAGTGGTGCAGTACCTGTACTTGAGCTGCAGCAGCAGCTGCTCAGGGCCCAGGCACACACTGCCCATGCTCTTGGGGAAGGCCCTCTCCAGAGAGGCCAGCTTCCACACGATCCACCTGTAGTGGTTGTAGACCCAGAGTGGGCTGATGAGCTGGGGGTCCACGCCTGGGGTGTCACACAGCGCTCTGCAGGACAAACAGCTCTTACCCAAACATACTTTCAATGTGGTGTATGATTGAAGAATCATTGAATGGCATGGCCTGGCCTGGCCCAACCCATCCCTCTTGGCCCTGGTTCTATCCAGGCCGAGGTGGTACTAGAGTGTAGAGTAGAGAAGAGTAGAAGAGGCGAGTAGAGTAGAGCATACTTGTAAAACTCCTCCTTCCCCACAGTGCCGTCTCTCCTGGGAACCAGCCAGCCTCCGTCTGCGAGCTGCACTGCCCCGCTCTCAAAGAAGCACTGGGGCTGGTAGAACCTGCGGAGGTCCAGGCAAAAGGACTGGGCCGTTTGGCTGGTGACCTCACACAGCTGCTGGTCCACTCCCCACTCGTACAACTACAACAACATCAATCATCATCATCATCATCATCATCATCATCACATGTCTCATTTTGATCACGACACTGATGTACTCTCTTAGGGGCTCTACCTCTTTGGGGCTCTACCTCTTTGGGGCTGTACCTCTTTGGGGCTGTACTTTTGTGGCGTTCCGTTCATCGCGGCCCTGAGGGAAAGCCTCTTCAGGCCGGAGGTCTTGGACAGGAACACACTTCCTGGGAGAGCTCTGATGGTCTGACGCCTCTTCTTCCTGATCCTCATGTCCTGCAGGTCCCGGGCCAGGTCAGCCATGCTCCCCACATGGTCTGTGTGAGCAGCAGAGGGCGGAGCGACACATGAAAGTAAAATAATAAATAATTGGTGGAAAGATAGATTAATGCATATCTACGCATTCTTTAAATAAAACCTAAAACTTGTCATTAAAGTTGATGAGAGGCAAAGAGCTGCATTCTGATTGGCCGAGAGCCTCGAGTCACTCCTTTTATAATATATTATCTTTATTCTGGGTTCAATCACAACACTGTATTTAGAATAAGTCTGATATCGGGACAGTGACTCACCGTGTGTCGCCTCCTCTCCAGTGCCCTCATTCAGACCCTGACCAGCACGAGCTGACTCCTCCTCTTCAGCAGGTTCAGGGGCTTCCATCTGCAGCTCACGTTCCTCTTTGGGGTTTGGCTCCTTCGGGGTCGGAGGTCTGAACGTGTGCGTGTCAGACAATCCTTTCACACCCCGACTGCTGTTGTTTTCATGGACGTCAGACTTGTGCTTTTTAAACGGCGGGACAAACGTACAGGGCTTGTCTTGGTCTGTCCTCGCTCCTTCTTTACAAGCTTTGGTTTTGGGGTTTAGGAAAGGAGGAACAAACGCGTGTCTGTTGGGCTCTGCTGCCTCTCGTTTAACTGATGTGAAAGACAGAGGGACGGTGGCCTGCTCCTTCACACACCTGCACAAGACACAAGACTCCTGAAATATCTGCTAAACACATTTGATGCAAGCCCCAGGGGTCAGACAACATTAACCGCTTTTGGATATTGGATATTGGATATATTGGACATTGTGGGAAAACGTACCTAAAAGTATCAAGTTATCATGTGTTTTGAAACAGTAGTGGAATTGACCAGACGCCTATAGTCTCCAAAAATGTATAATAAACATTTTGGAGCGGGCCGATAAAAGTAAACCAATGGGATTCGTTCATCCCCAACGAACCAATGGGATGTGTTTACCTCCTTCACCCTCTTCCTGTTTCTCGTAAGTGCACCGGAGTTATCGGATTTTCTGAAACCTAAAACGGCTGAAAAGAAAATGCCAATTTCACGTTTGCCGACCACTCTCCCTGTTGTGACAAAGAAAACAAAATGCTGGATGTTTGGTTTGGTGGAGAGGCGAGGGGAGGGGGGAGTGGTTTGGTGGAGAGGCGACAGTAGCTCAGTTGGTAGAGCATTGGCCTTTGGGCCTGAAGGTCGTGGGTTCAAGCCCACCATAAGACCTACTTCACGACTCCCACTGATGACTGCTGTCGTTGTGTCCTTGGGCAAGACACTTAACCCCACTTTGCCTGAAGCTCCCACTGAAAGATCTCAGCTCCTGTGGACTCACCACCTGCAGGAGGATCAGTGAGGGGCTGGTGCTAAGTGTACTGGGTGCAGCTCTGACTGCCACCCCCCCGACCCAGAAATGGATTAAGGGGAAGAAAATGGATAGATGGATGGATGGAACTTGTGCGTCAAAACAACAAATATAAAATCTCTATCTTGACCATAATAAAGAAGTATACTTTTTTCTGCATGCGTCTCACGAGCCTCAGGTTATAGAGGTTTTCTTTTTTATTCATACCCATCTGTATCGCTGTAGTTTATCTGAAAGTGCAGATGCCTCTTACCCTCGGGGCCTCGGAGCGTTTGGTTGGCGCGACACGTGGTATTGAAAAACTCTTCTGTCTTTCAACAAACCTGAGAACATAAGTGTGAGTGCCGTACACTGTGGACACATAGAGACCACTCAAGGCCATCAAGTCCACTTACCTCCGAGAGCGCTCAAGACCGGAGGAGGTCTGAGCTCAGCGAGCGCTCGGTCCGACCGCTCCGGGGAAGGCTTCCTCCCAACACTCTCGTCTGGAAGCACGAGACACTATCACATTTCATATTACGCCAATAAAACATCTGCCAAGTACAGCAGTGTCAACCAGAGACAGTCACCTAATATCATTGAATTGGTCGAAATAATGAGAAAAGAAAAAAGCAAGAAGATGAATTGGACAATTTCCACTTTTCTACACAATAATACACCTTGATTTGAATGACTCTGCAAAGTTATTCTTTGTATGAGTTTCAGCTGATGGTGTCCCCTGTGATTGTTTTCAATAGAAAAGGTGTGTCACGATTCAAAAGGTTTGAGGAACGATGATCTGGAGAGCCCTCTGTCAATCTCTTATGCGTTATGAGATTTAAATTAAGTAAGTAAGTAGATAGGTAGGTAAGTAGGTAATAGGAGTGTGACAATATATCAATATCATGATGTATCATGATACTTTCGCATGCGACCGATATGCTTTTGCAAAGTATCGATTTAAAAAAATTTAATTTTAAAAACACTATATATTATATATATATATATAAATATAAATATATATATTTTTTATTAGTATCAATAATTAATATATGGCTACATTACGCATCTCCATTCCATTTATCATGAAATAAAGTGTATATTTTCACTGAACATTTTTCTTTTATTTATGCCAATATGTGCTGTATTTAAATCCAGAGTTGAGAATTAGTTAATAACTTACACTTATAACTATTTTGTGTTTATTCAGATTGCTTTACTGAAAGATTTCTATAACAGTATATTTCTGACCAATAAATTGATAATCGTCATATTGTGATATAATCGTTATCGTGAGATTTGTATCGTGAGGTTCCCATCCCTAGTAGGTAAGTAAGTAAGTAAGTAATCTTTATATAAACAGAGCCTATCTCAGACCAGAGTCACAAAGTGGTTTACAATTGTGGGCCTTTGTCTCCACACAGAGATGGGAGCAGGGTCGCCGTTAAATTAAAACGAGGTGGATTGATGTGTGGTAGTAGTTTGACCAATTACTGATTTCACTGATTTAAAAGAAAGTATAAACATGATGATGCTAATGCTTTTGCACTTGGTTTGGATATTCAGTTTTGGTAATTCTGTCTGAACGAAATCAGCACAGTCATGCCTGGATTAAAACAGAATGAAAAGAGCACTGTAGACTGGTTTACAGCGGAGTGAAATAAATGATCAATCAATCAATCAACGTTTATTTATAGAGCGCCTTTCCTACACAAGGCAACGCAAAGCGCCTCACAACCCATATAACATCATGCATAAATCATCAAACATTAGAATTTAAGTAAACATAAAAGAAACATAAAAATGATGCGGTTGTTGTTTACCTAAATAAATTAGCACTAAAATGAGGTATAACATGCTATGACTGTCTGCCAGATAGGAAGAAGGTCAAGTCAATATTTCAAAACCTTAAAAGCCTGACATCAGTCCAACTCTATAACTTTAACTGTGTCATGTATGTATGTATACCTACCAATGTCTACCTGTATGTATCATATGTAAATCTATATACTGCACATACCGGGTTGGCCTACTCTCCTCCCAGCGGGCTTCACGGCATGCTCCGAGGTTACAGTGAGACTCTGGCCGGCCCGGACTTCATCCTCCAACAAGGCCCGGGTGCAGTCCAAGGCCTCCTGAGCGAGAAACTGCTGCTGCGTGGAGCTGCAGTCGCGAAGCTGGAGCCCATCCAGGTTCACGAGGGCTGAAGGGACGGCCACTTCTTTGGTCACGCGAGGATGGAATACTCCTTTGCTCATCTTGACTGGAGGGTTGAGTATGGAGGAGGCTTGAGGACCACCTTCTCCATGATTAGAACGTGCATGACGCGTGATGTTACTTTTATCAACTCTATCCACGTCATTGAACAAACCGATTGCGTTGTTCAGAGCCTCTTCAGAAACTCCAACTTTCTTTCCACTGGCTGTACTAAACCCACTGTTTTTTGCCATGTCCAATCCATCAGCTGACTGGTCAATCCCAAACCGTGAACCAGAATTAAGTATAGTTCGCCTTCTTAAACACTGCTCAACAGAAGCAAATCCAGGTCTTAACTTGTCTGTTTGAACTGTGTCTGGTTTGTAGTTTTGCGCTTCTGCTCCCTCCGATAACAAACCCGCTGCTTTTTTCAGTGCCTCTTCGGACACTAGAACCTTCTTTCCACTGGCTGTAGTAAAGCCACCTCCGCTGCTTTTGGCAAAGTTCGCAACTGGGCCGACGTCTGATTTGTTGATTGAACGTTCAGGAAGTAAGCGCAGTCCGTCAGTGTTGTTTTCAGTCTTTACGTCTCCCTCGCTTAATCCTGGTACTTCTAACGACGCAAGGTGAGGAGTTGAATTATTGTTTTGTGGCTTTGCCTGCTTACTACTTACAAGAGAAATATTCTGCATTCCGCTTTGTGTCTCAGAAAACAAGCCCACTGCCTTCTTCAGAGCTTCTTTGGACACTTGAACCGTCTTTCCACTGGCTGTAGTAAAGCCACCTGTACTGCTTTGGGCAAAGTTTGACGCTAGGGTGACGTCCAATTTGTCAAGTACAGGTTCAGGAAGTAAGTGGGAACCCGCCTGGTCATCTTCCAATTCTACATTCTTATCCCTTTTTGAATTGGCGTTTATGAAGAGTGGGTTGGGGCATTTACCGTTCGCTTCTGCATCATCAGAAAACAAGAATACTGCTTTGTTAAAGGCTTCTTCTGAGACTTTTACCTTCTTTCCACTGGCTGTAGAGAAGCCACCTGCACCGCTTTTGGCAAGGTTTGCAGCTGGGGTGACGTCCAAATTGTTTAGTGAAGGTTTGGGAAGTAAGAGGGAACCAGTCCGATCCTTTTCCACTATTACGACCCTGTCTCTTGCTGTGGAGGAACCGTTTTCCATGTTAGATTTGTGCCCAGTTTGAGGTCTTAAGCCTGGCCCTTCTGATCCCGCACGGTGAGGGGTTGGCTTTTTGCTTTTTGAATTTGCGTTTATGAAGAGCGGGTTGGGGCACTTATCGCTTGCCTCTGCATCACCAGAAAACAAGACCATTGCTTTGTTCAGGGCTTCTTCTGAGACTTTTACCGTCTTTCCATTGGCTGTAGTAAATCCATTCTCGGGAGCAGCTGAGGTTGTACTCAAACACCCAGTGCGAGAGCTCAGATGTGTGTGAGAAGAGAGAGATCTTACCGGAACATGTTTCTTGTTGCGATTTTCCAAAAGCGGCTTTTTGGAGATTTGAGAAGTCTCTTTGGCGTTCGCTGAAGAACCAGCCTCGTCAAGCAGGGCCTTTGCCTTTAACAGGGCTTCCGCAGACACAGACAGAGTTTTACCACTGGCCGCTACAAACCCGCTGGTGGTTGGCAGAGCTTTACTTTCGCGGCCTTCCCGTTTACTCCCAAGCCATGTTGTTTCTTTGTTAGCTTCAGGTCCATGCTTAGCCTCACACTGATTGTCTGTTGTAGATGTAATATTCGCACGTACCATGTCTCTATCCGTTGAGAGTTCATTCCAATCTCTACACGGTGCAGGTACGGACGCACCCACAGGTTTTACACAGTCCTCAAAGTCTTTCCAAAGGTGTTTCACTTTCTCAACATGCTTTTTGGACACGTGGACCTGAGCGCCACGGCCTGTTCTGAAGCCGCACTGGAATGTCTCAAAGTTTGTTACGCCGCTTTCTCCAACTTGGTCATTCTCAGTCACGTGTTTAACTGTGACGTTTGACTGAAATCCAGTTATTTCGTTTTTCAGGGGAGCTTCGCAGGTTCTTGTGTCTAAATCTGGTTGACCACATGAGGTGCTGAGCTGATCAGGGGTCTTAGATTCTGGGAGAATCTCTGAACAATGTTTTGAGGAGGTTTCTTTGCTGTCAACAGAAGGGCAGCGGAGCCTCGTCTGAGCGGTCACAACTAACGACTCCCCATTTCCCTCATGAACAAGATCCATCACTGGAATATTGGAATGGTCTGCTTGCTCCACCTCACACATTTTTGCTTTTTTGACAGCTGGTTTGAAGCTTGTTCCTCCGTGAGCTCTCTTAAATCCTCTGTTTTGAAAAGCAGTGTCATGTTTGTCCAAAGATTTTGATTTTCCAAAACAGGCTATACCAAAAGCCGACCCTCCATCACCGTCGCGAGCCAAATCTTCAAAAAGTTCTTTGGATTTCTGCAAATTTTGGTCGGACACAGAAATGCCTTTCCCGCTGGCCATTTTGAAACCTTGAGTAAAAGAACTGCTCCCATTTATTTTTTCACTCTCCGTTTTTATTTTATTTTCTGGTGTGTTTAAAGCTGAGGTTTGTGTTTTTGCAGAGGAACAGGAAGGAACTGTCTCTGATTTCTTAAACATCTGATTTCCGTGCTGGACTGTCTTCTGCGTAAAGTCAAACTGAGTGGACAATTGTTCCAGAAAATCACAGAGTTCTTTCACTTCTGCTTTTTGTGAAACCGTGAGAGAATATTCATAATCAGGAACAGCGCCTTTGTTTTTGGTCGGAAGTGAGAATGTTGTATTTAGTTCGTTCTCTGTATTATTGCAGAGCTGTGTGGCTTTTGTAAGATCTGCAGGGGGGACTTTGAAGTCACTTGAGGGTTTACTTTCAGAGTACGAAACTGGAACGGTGGAATAGCCACTATCATGGATATTACAGAGGTTCAAAGCAGAGTCCGGACCAGCGATGCTCTCAGTGAGTTGGAGACTACTGAAGGTCTGGGCTGGTTGAGGACTACTGATGGGCTGGGCGGGTTGGAGACTACTAAGGGTTTGGGCTGGTTGAAGACTACTGATGGCCCGGGCGGGTTGGAGACTACTGCCGGTCTGGGCTGGTTGAGGAATACTGATGGCCTGGGCTGGTTGAGGAATACTGATGGCCTGGGCTGGTTGAGGACTACTGATGGGCTGGGCTATTTGTGGACTACTGCAGGTCTGGGCGGGTCGGAGACTACTGTCGGTCTGGGCGGGTTGGAGACTACTATAGGTCTGGGCGGGTTGGCGTACACTCTCCTGCTTCCCACTGACCTTCGCTCTCTTCATGGCGCTCAAACAAACCGATGGGGAGAAGAATTCTGTGGGAAGTCCTGATAAACTTAGAGGAGACCACTGAGTGAGAGGGGGGTGCTCTGCCGGATCACTGGCTTCACTTTCAGCCTGTTTCACCGGAGACTCCACTCCGTCACGGACCGGTTCGGTCACAGCAGCGAAGAGCCGTCTGTGGATCCTCTCACTCTTCACTTTCCTGAATACTCCTTTTCCTGAGCTACAGTTTGGAGAAGAGGCGTTTTTTGTTCCAGAGAGAGGACGTTCGAGGTTTTTGCAGTTGGGATTTGGCGAAGTGATGTCAGCGTCTGTAAATGAGGACACAATGGTTTTAATAAAAAACTAAATTCTAAAAGCAAAGTATCCCAAACATAACCATGAGACTTACAAATCCAGAGTGAGAGTAAGAATTTGATATGTCATTTTTAACCAGTTATACAGAAACCATTTATGGTAAAAAAAATATTGTATACATGAGCTTTAAGGGCCGGTATATGTGATGAGATCAGGGTTTAACATGAGAAGTATCAGACATGTTGCAAAGGACACTACGCTGAGAGGTAGGAGCAGGACTGGGGGCTACAGGAAGACCAGAGAGAGGCCAGAGAGAGAGGCCAGAGAGAGACCAGAGAGAGAGAGACCAGAGAGAGACAGAGAGACCAGATAGTCCTCTGCAAATAAGCCACAAATGTATTCCTCTGACTTTAAATAAAGATAAACGTCATGTTATATAAGCGGTTATATGATTTTTACAGAATACACATGAGAAATATGTTCATAAAACCAGCACAGGCACAAAAAAAGCAATGAAAAGTTGAACCGCGTTATAGCGAGGGACCACAGCGCTTGGCTTTTAAAACAGCTGTAAACAGACCATGTGTGACGACAGGTGGATGCAGGACAGGTCCATCTTCAGACAGATTGTGGTTACAGTGAAAAAGCTTTCGCGCCAACTGCAAGAAAGGAACATTCAAGGATCAACATGTGGACAGTATATATAACACACTTATTTACAAAAGACCAGGGAGAGAGCAGAGACCAGAGAGAGAGAGAGAGAGAGAGACCAGAGAGACCAGAGAGAGACCAGAGAGAGAGACCAAAGAGAGACCAGAGAGAGAGAGACCAGTAGGATCAGAGAGAGAGAGAGAGAGAGAGTGTCCAAAGAGAGACTGAAGACCAGAGAGAGAGAGGATAGATACCAGAGAGAGAGACCAGACCGAGAGAGGATAGAGACCAGACTCTATCCTCTCTGATTTCTCTCAGAGATCAGAGAGAAAGAGAGAGAGTGTCCAGAGAGAGACCAGCGAGAGAGTGAGAGAGACCGAAGACCAGAGAGAGAGAGAGAGGAAATAGAGAGAGAGACCAAAGACCAGGGAAAGACTAGAAGAAAGAGAGACCAGAGACCAGAGAGAGACAAAAATAAAACCTCAAAAGCACAGGAGTATGCTGTGATAGAGCATGAGAGAGGAAAACATGAACTTTACTAAAAGATGAATTATTGAATTACAAGTTTGGCTTGGACTGAAACAGGAGGTACAGTAAGTGTTTTGGAAGGACACATGAGGACTTTTCTGATGTCTTCTTTCTAAAACCAGAACCCAAACTGCTTCATACTCACGACACTGGTGTTTTCCGTCAGGGTCAGAGTGCTCTCCGTCTCTCTCCGAGCTTCAAACAGAAACACAGCAGCGTTACTCCACACATCTGTCTGCATCTTTAAATATCCTACCAGCAGACTTCCAACTTACTAATATTCCAGGTGGAGTCGCCGGCTGGGGGAGTGTTGAAGGAGCTGCTCCAGGACACGCCCCCCATCTGTGCCCCCAGCCGTTCAGACAGCTCCCGGACGTAGCTCCCCTGTGTGGTGGAAACGTGTTAGTGCAGGCTGATCCAGGGTCTGTGGGGCGAGAAACGCAAAGAGACTTACCTTGGACCGGGGCGGGCTGTGGGTTCGGTCTGCATCTAGACAAGAAAGAGCATTAACACATTAGCATTAGAACGTTTTATGAGTGTGACACATGGATCTATTATAATAACTGGATAGGGCGTTACAAGACGATGCCCAAATTTAGCCGAGTTCCGATGATATGTCAGCGCCCGTGCCGGCACATGCGCTACTGAGCACAAACCATTCATTTGAATACGGCGCCATCTTGGATCGCCGGGGCTTGGTGTGACATCACCAGAGTTAGCCTTAATGCGGAAGAGGTCGGTTTAAACAGCTCCCTCGTTGGAAGGTTTTAAGTCTTTCTGGCTTTTAACGCAGCATGAGTCATGTGGTCCTCAGTTTTATGTTATTGTTTTGCACTTTTATTTATTTTATGTCAGTTTAATGTTTATTTCATTGTTTTATTTCATTTGAATTGTTTTTATTCAAAGCTAGCAGACTTGTACATTTTAAGGCCTTACTTTTATCTTTGCAGCACTTTGGGAACTTGTTTCATAAAATGTGCTAATAACGTAGATTGGATTGAAACATGAGCTTAAACATAGCTGGAGCCAATTTCTTTTTTTCTTTTTTCCTTATATGGGCAATTGTTCTTTGTGCAGACCTGTTGCTAAGACGGTTGCTAGGCCAAGTTGAGTTTCTTATCCTATTGGCCAATCCTTGAATGGCTCATATCTGGATTTACAAAGACACGGCAGCAATCGTTCTGCAATCTCAGTGGGACTTTCCCGGGTAAATAACAGAGAGCACTAAACCACAGATTATTTTTAGCCCAAAATAGTGAGAGTGACAAAAACGGTTTCGGAACTCTGGGTACTACTTTAACATCCATCCATCCATCCATTTTCTACCCTTTAATCCATTTCTGGGTCAGGGGGGTGGCAGTCAGAGATGCCACCCAAGTCTCATAGCACCAGCCCCTCACTGATCCTCTGCAGGTGGTGAGTCCACAGGGGGACGGCTGCTCTCTGAGTGTGAGCATAGCCTTGATCTTTCAGTGGGGGCTTTGGGCAAAGTGGGGTTAAGTGTCTTGCCCAAGGACACAACGACAGCAGTCATCAGTGGGAGTCGGTGGAGAAGGTGCAGAGGTGGGAATTGAACCCACGACCTTCTGGGCTTAAGGCCAATGCTCTACCAACTGAGCTACTGTCGCCCCTTTACTACTACTACTACTTTAACATGTCAGTCAAAAATAGCCAGCGGGAGTTGGAGCAAAACTTTCATCCAATAATGTCCTGGGTTATGCTCCGACCACACGACGAGCATCACTCGTGTCTCACCCGTGTCTCACCCGTGTCTCACCTGTGTCTCACCTGTGTCTCACCCGTGTCTCACCCGTGTCTCACCCGTGTCTCACCTGTGCCGAGCGGACTGTGGAGATGTGCAAACAAATCAAACGAGGACGACCTGAAAAACAAACACACGTCATGCAGTAACAGGAGAACACCTCCAGGGGGTGTGCTCGAGTCAAGTTAAAACACTCTGTAGGCCCTAAGTTTCTGTTTGGCCATCAGACACCTGCTGATTCTTTATTCCATGCATCATTTCTATATAGACGTTTCTTTTTAAAGCTGGGGCACGTAAATTTCAAAACCACAACACTAGAACTCACCTCTGTGCATCACTTTCTTTGTTCAACGGTGTTTCTGCAAAGGAATGAAAGGAGATGTGTTTTAGGCTTTTTTGGGGTTTTAACCATGTGATAACTTTGTTCACGTAAACACAGAAGGAGACAGAGAGGGAAAGAGAGGGACAGGGGGAGACAGGGGGACAGAAAGAGATGGGATGAGACTGAGAGGGACAGGGGGAGATAGAGGGGGGATAGAGGGAGACAAGGCAGAAAGAGACAGGAGGAGACAGTCTTTTATTTTGAAAAGGAAACAGAAGTATATCTTGGTGTTCAAAGCTTACGACTTGAGATGTAAAGGCTACTTTAAGCATCAAGGGTTGGATGAGAAGCTAGCGCCATGGGAACAAATGTCCATATAAGGAAATTGGCTCCAGCTAGTTTATGTTCAAATCTGGCCGATGTCACACTCTGTCAGTCCACTCCTGATAGTTGTTCTATGGGCAGAATTAAGGCTCACGTCCGCAATAGTGTGGCTGTAGTGTGGGGCTCCCACCTGGTTGGGCAAAGAGAGAGTGGTCACTTTGAGGGGACAGGGCCTGGTTCGGTCTGAAGACTCTGGGGGTAGAGGACAGGGGACTACAGCGCCCCCTGCTGCCCAACTGTGACTTAAAAAGAGCAGCTTCTTGGTTCGGACACAGATCTTCCTGCAAAACAAATGAATGAATTAATGAATTAATGAGAAATATATCCTGGATCTACAGCCTCAGTCCTGGGTCTACAGCCTCAGTCCTGGGTCTACAGCCTCAGTCCTGGGTCTACAGCCTCAGTCCTGGGTCTACAGCCTCAGTCCTGGATCTACAGCCTCAGTCCTGGATCTACAGCCTCAGTCCTGGATCTACAGCCTCAGTCCTGGACCTACAGCCTCAGTCCTGGATCTACAGCCTCAGTCCTGGATCTACAGCCTCAGTCCTGGATCTACAGCCTCAGTCCTGGATCTACAGCCTCAGTCCTGGATCTACAGCCTCAGTCCTGGATCTATAGCCTCTTTTGTGAGGTTTTTCTCAACACAAAACAGAGAACTTGTATGGACGTTGGGCTAACCTGTATCCTATGGACCAATGACTCTAAGCTGTTTTATTGTTGTATTTCTCATGTGTTCTACTTGTTTAATTATCCAAACTGCTGATGCCAAATTGACTCTTCTGTTCAATAATACTAATAAAATATTTGTGGTCACCTCTATACTTGGCTCATCTCGCTCGGCCACTTTTGCTTCACATGTGAGCGTCGTAAACCAGTCCGGGTCCAGTGGGCCCAGATCTACAACACAGGGGAATTAACATTGAGGACCACTAGAGTATCCATGTAAATCAAAGAGCTCTCACCCTTCCACACGTGAGGTCCGATGATGCGGGCCAGGGTTCCCGAGGGCCACTCCATGCAGACCTCCATATGACAACGGTCCAGGACAGACACTAGGATACAGTGATGGTGTGAGAGAGCTATCAGAATAGAGAACAGAGAGAGAAACAAGAGAGACAAGAGAAAATAAAGAGACTAAAGAGAGAGATAAAAGATCAGAGAGACAGGAGAGACAAGAAAAACCAGAGAGAGAGAGTGAGAGACCCGAGACCAGAGAGAGAGAGAGTGAGAGACCCGAGACCAGTGAGAGAGAGAGACCAGAGAGAGAATTTTCAAGCGTTGAATAATTGACATGGCAGGAAATAACACTAAATGCCTGAATCCTGAAAAGAGACCATTTTACATTAATGATAAGAAATATCTCAAAATATCCCCAAACACTAAGAACAAAACTATTCAAGAATACAACCTTCTTTAGTGTTCTCAGGGAGGCTTCATCACCACTTCTCCCTCTACCCCCAACTAACCTCACATTATTATTTTTTATCATTTTGGATTGACATGATTTACAGAAACTAAGATGCAGGTATGATTCAAGTTGTCAGACCAAAACATAGACAAGACATTACACTAAAAATTCTGTGTAAGGATGAATCACATTTCTTATTTAGAATTGTTCCACATTGGATTATGGTTATGACAACTGTATAAATATATGTATATTTGAGTTCCTATGGGTGGACATGAAGATCTATCTTATTGATAGTGTAGTATTTAGAACGATCAGTCACGGTGTTCTTACCTTGACAGTCAGCCCGGGGCCTCACTTCACTTCCACATTTTATTCTGACACATACACCTAAACACAAACAAAATATTAACGTGTTATTGTAATCAAAACATTGTCGTTTCGGTCCCGTGGTTCTGCCAGGCTTCCCGCGCCCCAAACCGAAACTCACAACCACTTCGCTTTCCGTAGTCCAGGATCTGTGAAGTCCAATTTCGCTTCTTTTGCCTCCTTGTCTCCTCGTTTCCTCTAACCTAGATCCACCCACTACGACAAACGAGGACGAGCACGAGACGAGTGAAGGAGGCGGTCTAAAAAGAAACTGGATGCAGCCTTCGCTCCGTTGGCACACATCGCTCTCTACTGGTCCGGGGTGAATGTAAAACATAAAAGAACCATGGCTCTATTATGACACGAACTTGTTACTCAATCTAAAGCAAACATACTCTTACATGCTTTTAGTTAACTTTGAATATTTGCGTTGTAGTATAGATCTTTGCCACCACTAAAGTTAGAGTTGTCACAGTGACAAATTATTTTTAAATGCAAAGTTCTCATGGGCCAGCAGAATGGACAGAGAGTGGAAAGAGACCTAGATCCGTGATAGAGACTGAGCAGAGACTGGAGAGAGACTGGACAGAGACTGAGCCGAGACTGAGCAGAGACTGGATAGAGACTGGACAGAGACTGAGCAGAGACTGGACAGAGACTGGACAGAGACTGGATAGAGACTGGACAGAAACTGAGCAGAGACTGAGAAGAGACTGGACAGAGACTGAGCAGAGACTGAGAAGAGACTGGACAGAGACTGAGCAGAGACTGGACAGAGACTGAGTAGAGACTGGACAGAGACTGGATAGAGAGTAGAGACTGAGCAGAGACTGGACAGAGACTGGATAGAGACTGGACAGAGAGTAGAGACTGGACAGAGACTGAGCAGGGACTGAGAAGAGACTGGACAGAGACTGAGCAGAGACTGAGCAGGGACTGAGAAGAGACTGGACAGAGACTGAGCAGGGACTGAGCAGAGACTGGACAGAGACTGAGCAGAGACTGGACAGAGACTGAACAGAGACTGAGAAGAGACTGGACAGAGACTGAGCAGAGACTGGAGAGAGACTGGATATAGACTGGACAGAGACTGGATAGAGACTGGACAGAGACTGGATAGAGAGTAGAGACTGAGCAGAGACAGGACAGAGACTGGACAGAGACTGAGCAGACACTGCTGGACAGAGACTGGATAGAGAGTAGAGACTGGGCAGAGACTGGACAGAGACTGAGCAGACACTGGATAGAGACTGGATAGAGAGAAGAGACTGAGCAGAGACTGGACCGAGACTGGATAGAGAGTAGAGACTGAGCAGAGACTGGACAGAGACTGGACAGAGACTGGACAGAGACTGGACAGAGACTGAGCAGAGACTGAGCAGAGACTGGATAGAGAGTAGAGACTGAGCAGAGACTGAGCAGAGACTGGACAGAGACTGGACAGAGACTGAGCAGAGACTGGACCGAGACTGGATAGAGAGAAGAGACTGAGCAGAGACTGGACAGAGACTGGATAGAGAGTAGAGACTGAGCAGAGACTGGACAAAGACTGAACCATACTGGCCCTAGGTATTGAACCTGAGATATTGAAAGCCTCATTATTGGCAACTCTATCATTGTGCTTTCACATCTGTCACTTTGTTGTAGTCTTCCTACTCTTACAGAATAAGTCCTAAATGAAATATTTTATGTTTCTGGTGTAACAAAGTGAATTAAACCCATTGAATATTGAGCAATACAAAACCTAATCGTGTTTCTTTTGCCCCATGTTTAAATATCAGATTCGAAAATAGAATAAAACATATTTCCTTGTATATTTGTTTGCACGCATAGACTGTAAACACATGCACACGTGTTTGTTGCTCTTCTTACATACACAAGATGGCCGCCGAGCCCCCAGAGCGCGCGGGTTCTCTAGCAGTTCCACCGGCAGCACTATCACGGTCTCCTCCCAAAACGGCAAATGGCGACGGTGTCCTCCGGCAGCCGCTCTTGAAGCCGCTCCTGATGCCAAAGGGCTCCGCTTGAGTCGTGACGGGACGCGAAAGGTTACCATCAGACCCCCGAGAGGCGATCGCCCATCCGCGTCCACATCTGACGAGTTCGGATCATTTTTAATCTGTATATTTTTTCACACGGAGAAGTAGGAAGTCACGTGCGGGGGTGAGTATTCCATTGTGCTTTTTTGGGGATTTTTTCATAATTTTATTTAGTCTTTTATCAAATCTCCAGTTAATTGTTTATAATATTTTTTAAGCACAACACACGAGATAATATGACTTTCTTCCATTATAAACATCTAGACGAACTTGTTATAGTGTAGTTCCGTGAAGCCCAGATGTGGTTGATTATTCTGTCATAAGTGGCACTTATCAACATTCTTTCACAGACACCATTGTCCACTTGAGTATACTCGAGTCATTTGAAATTTTTGGCAGATGACATTTCCCCATGCTCTGCTTTTGTCAGCAGTCATTACAAATCAGTGTGTTTTTAAAGCAGTAAACTGATCACTCCCTACTGCAACTTAACCCTTCAAAGCAGGGGCGGGCATTTATTTTCCCCGGGGGGCCCATGGATGTATATGGGGGGGGGGGGGGTAAATTTAAATTAAATTTAAGTTTTGACAACACATAGTATTTATTGGTATATAGTAGTCAGATGGGTTGATGAAGCTTCATGAAGTGTTGAACCTTTCCATCCATTGGTTTGAGAAAAGTTTCATTTCTTGAAGCTTCATATGCTCACAAACCTCCTGCTGGTCAAAATCTGTATTGACATGTGAACTGTTGTGAGGCTCTTGGTGCATTTGGTGCGGAGGAATAATTAGTGGTAAGGTAACAGACAAAAACTTAATTTGATTGTGTATGAATCATTAATTCATGTGTTTGATTATGATCAATACCAGTATTAATAACGAATTTATTGTAAATTACAATAAATGTATAATTCACTGGTATGTCTGCTCTAATACACTCCCAACGCTTCGACCCGCCACACCCATCACTAGTATATAGCAAGATTCAATTAAGAGTTTTTTCACAAAGCGGAGAGGGCGCTTTCCTAAAATTTGGGAAAATCTTCCTTTTAAGTATAAGCTACTTCTGTTAAAAATGTATGTATTCGATAAACAAAGGTAAGAAGACGGGGAAACTTGAAGATATCCAATGTTGTCAGATTCTTTGTGCTTTTTGGCTCGTCCTACATCTGTGGTGGCTATATTTTTGTTTTAACCTTTTACATTATGGCAGTGTCTCCTAAACAGCTTTTAGTATGAAAACAAAGTCATTCTAATTAAAGTAGATATATTAAGAAAATGAAACTCAAGGCAACTCGCATTTCTCACTTCATTTTGACCAATTATGTCAGTGTTTCCCACAGGTTTGAAGGCAATGTGTGGTGGTCGTCGGCGGGGGGGGGGGGGGGGGGGGGGGAGTGGGGTACAGTGGTACAGTGGTAGAGGACAATCTTGAGGTCATGAATCCAGTGAAATTAGTCGCACACCTTTTTACAGTAATAAGTTACAGTAGATCAAAAGTGACATGTTTTGACTATTTTGGAGGTATTTTGGACCAAAATGGCTACTTTACCTCAATATTTCTCAATATTTCTACAGTAAAAGTGTCTGGTCTTTGGTACAGTGGTAGAAGGCAATGTTGAGGTCATGAATCCAGTGAAATCAGTTGCACACCTTTTTACAGTGAAAAGTTACAGTAGATCAAATGTGACATGTTTTGACCATTTTTAGGCTATTTTGGACCAAAATGGCTACTTTAAATCAATATTTCTACAGTAAAAGTGTCTGGTCTTTGGTACAGTGGTAGAGGACAATCTTGAGGTCATGAATCCAGTGAAATTAGTCGCACACCTTTTTACAGTAAAAAGTTACAGTAGATCAAAAGTGACATGTTTTGACTATTTTGGAGGTATTTTGGACCAAAATGGCTACTTTACCTCAATATTTCTCAATATTTCTACAGTAAAAGTTTCTGGTCTTTGGTACAGTGGCAGAGGGCAATAATAAGGTCATGAGTCAAGTGAAATTAGTCGCACACCTTATTCCAGTAAATAGTTACAATACTTGAAAATTGCACTAGCGGACCAAATTGTGTACTTTATACATGTAAACAATAGAGTGGCTATCCTCCTGAGGACTCACAATCTGCCGGAGGAATCGTAGGGGGCTGGTGCTATGTGTGCCGGGTGGCATCTCTATAAGGTTTTAATCACAAAAACGTGTCTCCCAGACCCCAGCGCGCTTTCTGTTCGATAAAAATGGGTGACTCCGAAAGGACGTTCCGCTGTTACCGTAAGTTCTCAACAAAACGCGCACCGTCTTTTCCCCGATGCGGGCCGCATGTTCATAGAGCTGAAAGATGCGGGCCACTTTACCGCGGTAAATTAATAGACACAGCTGCTTACAGCGATGATCGCTGATGGAGACGGAGACACGCGGTGTGCACGAAGGGGAGGGGCTGTGTGTGTATAGGTCTCTGTTTAAGGGAGAGACGCGTAGCTTGAGTGAGAGTTACGAAGGGCCGCCACATTTTAAACCCCCCTCCCCGCTGTCAAATTGACCGCTGCGGCGGCACTAGACGATGCATGTTTTAAATAGCGTAACAAAAAAAATATATATATAATAATACGAAACGCAATTTGTGGCGGGCGGTCTCTAATCTGTGGCGGTGCGCCACAGATTAGTCTATGTGTGGGAAACACTGTATGTGATTTTGGAATATTTCCCAAGATGTACCAGTGTACCATGGCACACTGATTAAAAAACACTGCATTATGGGAGGTAATTTATAATGTCTAGATTACGATGTAATTTCATTTACTTAGATTTAAACTAAAGCTAAAGAAGACATGTGGACAGATGTTTTATTATTAGTGGCAAACATTCATTGGGTGTTGCTTCTCATTCATTTAAATAGAATAGCAGGAAGTTTGCGGATCAGAAAAGGTTCAAGGGCCACATGAAAAGTTAATTGGGCCATATGTGGCCCCGGGGCCGCACTTTGCCCAGGTCTGCTTTAAAAAATCATGTCAAGCTAGTTGCCTGCAGACCGGTTTGGACTCAAAAACTCACAACGGAGATTTATTTTTCAAGCATCCCTAGTAATTTGTAAACGTATTGGCTAAATACAGGGGGACCAGGCCCAGGTGCTTTCCTGCACTGATGTGTTGTTACAATAGTAAAGCCATTCAGGCCCAACATGTATATGCAACAGGAGCACCATCCAGCCTCAGCCCACTTTGTGTGAAGGTCTTCCACTTTTGAAATGTCAGAGAAAACAATATAAATCCAGATTCAGATCCAATCGTTTTGTCCAAAAGGTGTTTTTCTCGAGCTAATCTTAATGTTTTTTTATTGGCAGAACATTTTATAAAAAATATTTGTGTGGTACTGAAATAGATCTTGCTTTTCCAAACACTAGTCAAGATAAATACTTTCAAAAGTGTTTCTATTGCCGCCTCTGTCCATGTCATGTATTAGTTTCACATTTTGAGTTCTATTACAAAAGTAAACCATCTTAATCACAGTATTCTAATGTTCTGAGTTTCATTTGTAGTAGGGATCCATTGTGTGCAGGCGGCAGCACCAAACCCACCGCCTGCACACAATGGCTGGATAATGGATAGCAAAACAAACCATGTCATGCCAACAGTGTCTTTCTGATCACAGAAATGACCAAACCTAAGGCGAAGCAGTGCCCGGCGTGCCACGCCCCAAACCCGATGCAGGTGAAGACGTGCACCACCTGTGCCTTCAGTCTGCCGGTCCGGGACAAGATCATCAAACTTCAGGCCAACCTCAAGTCCAAGAACTGGGCCGAGACGGTGAAGAGGAACCACAACTCCAACAGAGTGGTCAACAGTTCCCTCATATCTGTGAGTTCACATGGTTCTATCAAGTCATAGTTCTCTAGTTCTGTTTGTGTTAGGGCTGGAAATCTTTCACAATGCGATACAGTAAGAATAAATAACTGAATTTGCATCTGATCCTGACACGGCACATATCTGGATTTACAGACAATATCACTAAAGAAACTCCAGGATCACAGAGCGATAAAGCCGGGACTTGAACCCAAACTGAGGAGTGTGACACAGTTACTGAGCTAGAGGAGTTTACCTTAACATAGATAGATAGATACTTTATTGATCCCCGTCGGAAAAACTCAGGTGTCCAGTAGCAGCAAAGATAAAATTGATAATTCTAAAAAGTTAACAATAGTAATAATCAGCAACAGTCCTTTAGGTCACAGCAGCAGAGATGGAGTAGCCTCTGGGTGACGCAGGACGGGTCACAAGGTGGAGTAGCCTCTTGGTTCAGACCATTTTCTCTGTTCTAGTCCAAAGTAAAACGCTAAATGCTTCATTAGCATTTTTCAAAAAGTTAGCATTCCTCTGGTGGATCTTCACCTGATCCACTTGGTTTGGACCATGAATCCTCTCTGCTCCAGTCTGGACCAGTGTCAAACCCTGAACACTGTACTGTAGAAAAAGCAATAAAAATAAAAATTGTAAAGCACAAAACAATTTCAGAGCTACCTAGGACTTACAGCTGTTTTCCAGCGCATTCAAAAATCATATAATCTCTATCAATCATATTCAAAACATAAGTCAATAGGAGCCAGAGCAAGTTGGTGCTAAACTTCGTCCACAAGCACTTCCCTATTGGGCTTCATTGAGCTAGCAGGTTAGCATCATCCATGTGTGTACGGGCTGCAGTGAGCGCTGAGAGTGAAGCTGCTGCTCCGTGACTCAGACTGTGACTCATGTGTTTTCACCAAATCTGAAGATACAAAATGTCCTTGTTCTGTGTGAAGACAAGTCTGGCTGGAGCCAGTAGAGAGGAGGTGAAGGCCAGCTCCCTGAAGATAAGCACGGCATACTGATGGGAGACCTCTGGGAACACCTGGCGCCACAATAGAACAGCTGTTGTGTCTTTAGGCAAGACACTTGACCCACATTCCTGTGTGTGTAGGGGCTGGTAAAACAGACTGGTTGCCTCGCTTCTGTCATTGTGGCTCAGGGCAGCTGTGGCTACAATAGTTGTTTATCACCACAGTGTACGGCGTGAAAGAATAATACAGCATTAACAAAGCACTGTGTAAAAACAAAAACAATGATTATTATTGCGGGCAACAGTGGCTCAGTTGGTAGAGCATTGGCCTTTGGGCATGAAGGTCATGGGTTCGAGCCCATCAAGACCTACTTCACGACTCCCACTGATGACTGCTGTCGTTGTGTCCTTGGGCAAGACACTTAACCCCACTTTGCCTGAAGCCCCCGCTGAAAGATCAAAGCGCCTGTGGACCACCTGCAGGAGGATCAGTGAGGGGCTGGTGCTCTGTGAACTGCCACCCCCGACCCAGACATGGATTAAGGGGAAGATGTTGCAGCTATAATCTGGAACAGTCAGCTATAATCTGGAACAGTCTTCCTGAAAATGTGAGACACGCTGTTACTCTGACAATGTTTAAATCCAGGTTAAAACAGTTTGGTTTCGCTGCAACAACTGCAGAATCATATCTTCACTCTTTTCAGCGCATTGTCATTATTCATGATTTTAATGCCAAAATAGAAACACAGTCAGTGGTATGACCTGTGCTACATAAATAAACTTGCCTTGTTTTTCTTTTGTGTATCTGTTGTTTCCAGATGTCTAAACTCAGCGCTCTGGACTATCAGCCCGTTCTGTTTCTGACCAAAAAGTCCAAGACGGGGATGCTGAAAGGAGACCTGATCCACTTCCTGCAGCTGGACGGAGAAAACATCGACATCATTCAGGAGATGCAGCGTCTGTACGAGCTGCTCATCCACAGTGAGTGTGATGTCGCACGTAAAGGGCGCATGTGTGGGTTTTAGATGCTCCGTCAGCCAGGACCTTAGTGTAACCATGGAAACCAGATCCTAGTGAAGGCAGCAGATGCATTTAAGAGCACAGGGGGAATGCCATGTTCAAAGTAGACATGTGTTCAGGGCTAGTATATAACTCTGCACTACTACATGTATGTATATTTTTGACTGGTATTGAAGCTTTTACAGCCTTTACAGCTACTTAAGAAACAGCTACTACTTATTTAGTATTTAGTATATTGTGTGTGCTCCCTGTGTGCTCTTACTACTGTCCTGTCTGTGCGCTGCAACATCGACATTTCCCCACTGTGGGACGAATAAAGGAACTCTTCTCATCTTATTCATTTTTATTTTATTTTTTTTGTACATATTTTTCCACTTTACACAAATTAATTTTCTAGTAGATTTCAATTTGATCTCAACTGGGCCAAATATCTAAAAGTTGTAATTGAAGATTAAATATAAATCTTATAATCTTATAATTACTAAAGTATAAAAGGCCATAGAATCTCACTACCCTCAATGCTTCAACTTTAACAATAACAGGGGCTTTCTGAGTGGAGTTTGCATGTCCCCCATGTCTGTGTAGGTTTCCTCCGGGTGCTCCGGTTACATTCCCACTTAAAAAAAGGTACATGAGGTAAAATTCTCCAGTATCAACATCTGGACAGGGCACTGGACAACGGTTCTGGTTTCGCTCTCTCTCGCTGGTTTCTCTCACTGGTCTCTCTCTCACTGGTCTCTCTCTCCCTCTTGTCTTTCCTCTGGTCTCCCTCTCTCTTTGGTCTCCCTCTCACTCTGGTCTCCCTCTCACTCTGGTCTCCCTCTCACTCTGGTCTCCCTCTCACTCTGGTCTCCCTCTCTCTCTGGTCTCCCTCTCTCTCTGGTCTCCCTCTCTCTCTGGTCTCCCTCTCTCTCTGCTCTCCCTCTCTCTCTGCTCTCCCTCTCTCTCTGGTCTCCCTCTCTCTCTGGTCTCCCTCTCTCTCTGGTCTCCCTCTCACTGGTCTCTCGCTCCCTCTTGTCTTTCCTCTGGTCTCCCTCTCTCTCTGGTCTCTCTCTCACTCTGGTCTCTCTCTCACTGGTCTCTCTCTCCCTCTTGTCTTTCCTCTGGTCTCCCTTTCTCTCTGGTCTCCCTTTCTCTCTGGTTATTCCTGCTCTTGTCTCTCTCTGCTCTCTTTTTCTCTCTGGGTTCTCTCTTCCTGGTCTCTCTCTCCAGTCTCTCTGTTACTACGGAGACCACTGCTCCTGACAAAGGCCCTTGTGAAAATAATTGACAGATAAAATGCAGATGTCACATTTCCCGAGTAAAATAATTACAATAATTACTTTGAGAATAATCCTGAATTTAATTTACAGATCTGTCTGTTGGGCCCTCCCCCATGACGCTCTATGGGGCCCCCCCATACCTGCTGGACGTGGGCCCTCACCTGCTTTTGGACGAGAACGGCTCTCCGGCAAACGACCCAATGGAGGGGCCCTCTGGTGCGGAGGATCCAGAGGAGGGGCCCTCTGGTGCGGAGGATCCAGAGGAGGGGCCCTCTGGTGCGGAGGATCCAGAGGAGGGGCCCTCGGGTGCGGAGGATCCAGAGGAGGGGCCCTCGGGTGCGGAGGATCCAGAGGAGGGGCCCTCGGGTGCGGAGGACCCAGAGGAGGGGCCCTCGGGTGCTGGGGGCCCGTCCGCCTCCCCAGCCCGGTCCCCACAGTCAGACTGAACAGAACTGAAGGCCAAACGCTTTGAGACGTATGTTGTAATGTTGAGGTCGGGGTCCAATCACTGGTCTGTAAACTCTAAGCTCCACCTCTCTCCTCGTCTCATCTTTTTTCCGACACTAGGGTTCTCAAACATGCGGACTGCGGACATAATTGTTATGTCATAATAATTCTGTGGCCCCCTAGTGGATGGCAAAGGGTAATGTCAGTGCAGCCCCCATAGAGTCTGGGCTCATGACATTTTGTACATAATTTTAAAGCTGATATTTTTTTTATTTTTTTTTTATCAAGAAGACGATCGCAACATTTTGTATTATTATAAATAACTGAACCACGAACGCAAGAAGTAGTAAACTTTGTTCAGCCCAGAGGTCTACAACACGGAGCCTTCAGGCCTTTGGCTCAGTTCTGTTTCAATCCAAGCAGCTGCACCCATTTTGTTGCTAGAAATATGTATCTAAATCAGGAACCTCAAACTGGTCCTTGATGGGGTAATGTGGCAGTGGCACACCTAGCCTGGTCTTACCACACCATTGTACTCATTTCATTTGGTACTAAGGTCTGGATTTGCTCCATTGACTCCGTTAACAGGTGGGAGGGGTTAACTCCTTTTGCAGAAACGATTGCGTCTGAGTTTACCGTGACGTATAAGAGCCCGAGTGAATGAGGTCTTTTTTTAGCCTTGTTTCAGCATTTAGCTTATACTTCCCAACTTTCCTCAAGTGAGTCCTGTCTGAACCTGGAGACCTGAGGAGATGGGAGGAGTCTTGGCTTGCTCCTGCTTTGTTGGAATGAAAACCTGCAGTGGTCAGTCCCAAATACCTTGATTTATAAAAGAATAGCAGATGCTGAACTACAAAACTTTCCACAAACGCTTGATCCATTTGGTTCCCTGTTTCCGTTTCTCTGTACTCAAAGCACAAATGTTTACCTTCTCTGCTGTTTTTGTTTTTAAGAATGGAACCACGTCAGTTTTAAACATAGGTGTGTATTCGCTCCAATGTTGATATATTTTGCACACAAACACGGGGTTCTTTTAAGGCAGGTGTCTGAAACCAGGGGTATTAAAAAATTGTATTAAGAGGGCCCCTTTAGCACACCAGACTTGTTAAGGGCCGACGACCTGGATTTTAAAACTGTTTAGACTAGATTCTTTTCTGGGATAAGTGCATAGTCACAGGTGACAGAAATTACGTGTACTACTTCCTCACCACAGCCACTTTGTCGCCTGCAAACTGTATTCTAGAGGTACAGTGTGTCTGTTGGTGTGGCTGAAGTTGGCTGGATGACACTAATAACTTGTGTTAGCAGCAGGGGGCCACAGAGCATGAGACAGTGGACCGCATTTTGCCCCCGGGCCTCAGTTTGGGCAGATTCATTCCACAAGATGCCATTCCGTAACTGATGTGTAAATGAGACTAGCTTCGGTGTTTGTCTACTTTGTGGTTGCCGTGGTTACAGAGTAGATTGTGCCCCTCGTCTATAAACCAAACCAGGAAGTGACGTAATAACGATGCCAAACAAAACTGGTGGGAGTGGTTTAAATCTGTCGCCTGGCCTTTGTTTTCCACTCACATCACAGAACCGTCGACCCCGAAAGCCTCTAAATGCATTTATTTTTGATATTTCTAATGAAAATTTAACTTCTCGATGAGATTACTCTTGCGTACGACATTCCACTTTTTGAGAGACGTCTCCAAAACTTTGAACCTTCTCAGAAAGTTGTCAATTGGATTTTTCTCAGAAATTAAGTTTTTGTTTTGTTACGTTCACTGTGTTCATTGTTTGTGACTGAAACATTCAGAATAAAAATTATCATTCATATTGTCAAGTTTGTTTTAATCCCTCTCAGCTCAAGTCTTCTCCAGGGGCCAGGAGCCTCCGTAGTGCTTGACAATAGTGGCAGGAGGCTCGGGTTTGGCCTGGCCTGGATCAGGAGGACTCTGGTTCGGTTTGGCCCGGCCTAGATCAGGAGGTCTCTGGTTTGGCCGGTCCTGGATCATGAGGTCTCTGGTTTGGCCTAGCCTGGATCAGGAGGTCTCTGGTTTGGCCTGGCCTGGATCAGGAGGTCTCTGGTTTGGCCTGGCCTGGATCAGGAGGTCTCTGGTTTGACCTGGCCTGGATCAGGAGGTCAGTGGTTTGACCTGGCCTGGACCATGAGATCTCTGCTTTGGCCTGGCCTGGATCATGAGGTCTCTGGTCATTTTTAGTATTTTTTATTTATTTTTTTCTCTCTGCACCTGCCGTGTTTGTCATGAGTAATGTAAACATGTCGCTGTTGTAACGGCCCATGTTTCAAATGTCAAAGGATCTATTTACTGCAACAAGTCGCTATTCTTGTCCCGGGCTAAGAAACTTGTGTGTGTCTGCTACAATGTTATGTATGGATGTGTATGTGATGCTTTTACGTTTCTTGTGTGTCTACATTCACATTATTTATTTTGCACAATGTATACTGGTGTCATGTTATAAAGGAAGGTGTGTGTAAATGTGTCCTTGGGCAAGACACTTAACTCGCCCCGTGTGTTTGTGATGCTGTGTGAGGCACTGGCAACACATGTGACCATTGACCACTTTATTAAGAATATTATACTTTAATCCATTCTTTGTAGATTACCAGAATATTACAAGGATATGACATTAATCTTGGTAGTTGCACAGAATCCCTTTGCTCTCGGATTATTTCGTCAACAACACCCTAAACCCCGCCTACCTGCATTGATTGGCTGCACCCCTCGCTCTGCCTCATTCCTATTGGCTGAGGCGCGCGTCGTTCAGAAAGTGCTCGCTTCCTGGTTGAAGGGTCCGTGTTGCGGCTGTCAAAGCCCAGAGTCAGGGTCCAGTCCCAGTCCAGACCCGGTCCTCCCCAGTCCTCCCAGCTCCGCACATACCGCGCAGCAGTCCCGTAAGTACCCGTCTGTCAGTACACTCTCGTCGGCTCCGTGGGCTCGGTTTGTCCGCTGATGCAGGGTGTGTGAGATCTTCACTTATGGGATTACTGCGGAATTTCTGATTTCTAATGAGTCTCTCTATGATCTCTCTGGTCTCTCTCTGGCCTCTTTCTGGTCTGTCTCTGGTCTCTCTTCCTGGTCTTTCTCTGTCTTGGCACTCTCTGGTCTCTCTATTCTCTCTCTCTTTCTCAAGTCTCTGTCTCTGGTCTCTCTCTCTGTCTGTGGTCTCTCTCTGGTCTCTCTCTCTGGTCTCTCTCTCTGGTCTCTTTCTCTCTGGTCTCTTTTTCTCTCTCTGGTCTCTCTTTCTCTCTGGTCTCTCTCTCTCTCTGGTCTCTTTCTCTCTCTCTGGTCTCTCTCTCTCTCTCTCTGGTCTCTCTCTCTGGTGTCTCCCTCTGGTCTCTGTCTCTCTCTCTCTCTGGTCTCTCTCTCTGGTCTCTCTCTCTGGTCTCTCTCTGGTCCCTCTGTTGCCTCCCTCTGGTTTCTCTGATCTCTCATATGTCCTGGGAGGTCACGATATACAAATGTGTCTTGTGGAAGAATAAACATCAAATAAACATACATTGTGGATTCAGATTAAAAGAACAAACGTCATGCGTGACCTTTATCAATTGAAATGCTAATGAGGCTATTTGCTTTGTTTATTCATGTGTTAGAATGAAAAAAAAAGCAACTATAGAACAATACGTCTCCTTTAACACAATACAAATACAATATGAAATGACAAAGGTTCGGGGCCCAAGGTTGAATTCAACACAAACTTTGGATTGCCCTGGGTCCTGCTGATGTCCTGCTGATGTCCTGAGTGTGGTGGGACTGTGCTGACTCACGGTGACTGCGGCTCTGAGGAGGAAACTGCTGCTTTGTTTGGAGTTTGGTCATGATGTATTTCCAGGGATTTCCTCAGATCCAGGACTCTCACTGGTCTCACTCTGGCCTGACTGTAACCATAGTAACCATAGACTGTGTACAGATGGACCATGCTAACCCGCTTGCTCAGATGAGAGAGCCAAAAAAAGTACAGATTCATAACACATAACACAGATTCAGTATATTTGCTACTTGCTGTAAAAACCGCATTGGAAAGGAAGAAGCTGGAACATGACTTTTCCAGGGGCCAGAAGAGTCATTTTTTTTAGTATAGGAGTTTTGTTTAAGAGTCTGGATTCAAAAAGAACCGACAGGCAGCACATAATACTCTTACATAGCAGAGCGCCTCTCTCTGGTCTCAGTCTGGTCTCTTTCTGGTCTTTCTCAGCCTGGTCTCTTTGGTCTCTCTTTGGTTTCTCTCTGGTCTCAGTCTGGTCTCTCATTCTGGTCTCTCAGTCTGGTCTCTCTGTCTGGTCACTCCCTCTGGTCTCTCTCTGTTCAGTGTTTTCTTCCCACATTTCAGGTAATTGTACAGTTAAACCCAGAAACTCTCTACAATCTGCCCTTTGGAACTATCAATAAAAACATGTATGTGAGAACTGTTACGACTAAAATCTGCACTAGCCCAATAAGGAAGTGCTCATGGACAAAGTATTGCTCCACCTCGCTCTGGCTCCCATTGCCTCACAGGTGAAAGTAGACTTCTCCAGCTTAGTTACAACCATTACTGAGCTCTTAACCACACATACCGAAGAGCAGTAGATCTAAAGCCGGTCTGAAACCAGTCTTTGATGATCTCGTTGTTCAAGTTTTAAACCATTAACTCCAAATTCTGCTTGTGTTCTGAGGCTGTAGATCCAGGACTGAGGCTGTAGACCCAGGACTGAGGCTGTAGACCCAGGACTGAGGCCGTAGACCCAGGACTGAGGCTACAGAATGCCTGTTTTATACCAAAAATGGAAAAAAAAATGCCTTAGCTTCATAGCATAGACATGTCAATCTCACTCATGGGCTCTGGGCTCCTCCATTTTGGTCCAGTCCCAGGCCAGTTACAGGGTCATGAGGCGGTGGGCCGTGTCACAAGGTCATGAGGCCCATGTACCTATACTTATACACCGTTCACTCGGCCTCGCACCAGGCGTTTCTCTTAAAACTCATTGTCTGCATTGTCTCAGTCAACAGTATTGTTACTATTATAAAAACAGCCGCAAACAAGACGGCGTCCTGGTTTAGAGCTCGCCTGCTTTAGCCCCAGACCCAGAAGTGAGTGAGTTGGGCTTCTCAAATCTATTTTAATATCTCCCAGTTTCACAAATATTTACTGAGGTCAAGTTGTGGAATGTGGAGAGAGGTATTTTCTGTATAATTATAACAGGTTTATATTACTTATGCCAAAGGAAAGGTGCGCGGACAGGTGTTGAACATGATACAACAAGTTCAGGTAAGCTAAGATACAAAGGTCAAAGAACCTCAGTCCTGGATCTTGGTTTAACTGACTGAGGTTGTAGAGCCAGGGACTGAGGCTGTAGATCCAGGGAGGCTGTAGACCCAGGATTGAGGCTGTAGACCCAGGGACTGAGGCTGTAGACCCAGGGACTGAGGCTGTAGACCCAGGGACTGAGGCTGTAGACCCATGACTGAGGCTGTAGACCCAGGACTGAAGCTGTAGACCCAGGGACTGAGGCTGTAGACCCATGACTGAGGCTGTAGACCCAGGACTGAAGCTGTAGACCCAGGGACTGAGGCTGTAGACCCATGACTGAGGCTGTAGACCCAGGACTGAAGCTTGGAATTACTGCCAATAAACGAGATGCTTGAACAGATTTTTGCTCTGGGTTTGTTCTTGATGAGATTTTGAATTGGTATAAAACAGAGAAACATATTTTTAAGGGTAAAAAACAAAGAAACCAGTGCATAATGCATATATATCTGTCTTTTCTCCATGTTGTCCCAGGAGCATGTGGCTCAGGCGGGCCCTCAGGCGGACGGCCCTGGTCGGAGGGGGAGCCGTGGTCACAGCCTTTGGCCTCTCGCAGCTGCTGGAGTACAGGAAGAGACAGGTACTTGACCACTCCTACTTTCACCATCATATTGTGTTCATTGGGATTTTTAGCTCCCAACTCAGATCAGATTAATTTCTTTTGCCATTTGCAGTAAAACCACATTGGAATACATCCGCAAAAGTCCCCAGAAGCTGTCAGCAAAACTCTATATCAATCGTAAATAGTTATGATATTTTCATTCATTTCCAGTTGAATCGAAATGACAAAACATCGACTACTTATAGCATAATCATTTGGCAAGGCAAGTTTATTTGTGTAGCACAGTTCATACACAAGGTAAAAAGAGTGAAGAGATACAGTAGGTAGGTTCCTCTTACACAATGGGATCTAACCCTATTTTGGGTATATAGGAGGATTTTCTACTCACAAAGTCTATTGGTCCTCACAGTTGTCAATCATTCTGGTGATGCAAGCTCATCCAATAAGACCAGAGAGTTTTGTTCAAAAAGTGGAGAGGGCGGGTCTTTCATCAAATTTGGGACAATCCTCCTATAAACCTTTAACACCAGAGAATCTCATGGTCTGTCTGTTCAAGATCTGATCATCCCAAGTTTGGACAGTAGGGGCCGGCACTGAACTGACAAATTATGACATTTTAATATACTTGTACTGTGTGTAATGTGTACTTACAACAAAACAACTCACACTTGTGTTTTTTGTGCCGACATTTGTCCAATACATTCTATCACTGTTAATAAATCTTATTGAAAGTGAGCACTTTTCCTTTAGCGAGATAATCCACCCCACCCCAAGAGCGACAGACTAAGGCAGTGTCTCCCAAAGTGGGGTCCACGGCCCCCTGGTGGGCCGCGAGGGTACTGCAGGGGGGCCGCGGGAGGTCATAAAAAAAATAAAAAAATATTATAATTATTTAATGTTAAATTTATAATTTTTTGTTTGTAATATTAAAATATTTGTGTTCATTATTTGACTTGAATAATCCACTGTAATCATTTTTGTATTACAATGTTTGTAGCAGAGGCTATTTCCCCAAAATAAAATAACCAGAAGAGCCTATTCTTAATGTTGTCTTCTTGGTTATTATTTTGGGGGGCCACGCAGACCCGTCAGATTTTTAAGGGGGCCTCGGTGTTACTGAGTTTGGGAATGGCTGGACTAAGGTACTGACAAGACAGTATAGTTTGGCTGTTGACAAATGATCTAAATTCTTATGTATATGAAAACCTTTAAAAAATAGATATTTAAATGGGATAATCTTGTATTTTGAATGGAGAGACACGACCGCGGGAGCAGAAAGACCTCAGGAGCCGCTGGAGCTGGACCGGATCTGGTCGAGGGTCTGCTGTGGGAAAGGTCTCGCCTGCTACACTAGGGCATGTGGGGCAGACCGCTGTGTCTTGGTAGATTTGCAGTTGTGCCGTACTGGAACAGTGCTCTGTGAGAGGTCCCGAGTGTGAAAGAGAGCGGTGCCATATAAATAGTCTTGGGATTGGCGCACACAAACTCGGGTCAAGTGGATCCTGCACATGTCCGACTTTTGTGTTTATGCTTAGTTGCTAACGATATGTTTGCTCTGTGTCCCGGTCCGTCCTCGCCTCCTCCACCTCAGCCTGGAGTGGTAAGCATCGGCGTTGAAGAGATTTTCTATAATAATTAATGATGAATTGATAATCATGCATGCTCCTATTCTCCTCGTCCTCTTTAGCACGGACGAGTTAGCGTATGCAGCTAACTAGCATCTTAACTTGATTACCACAGTACTTTCTTCCCCTTGATCTGAGTTTGGGCTCAAGACAACAGCAACCACTTCAAATCATAATCAGTATTTAATAACAGCTCATCAAACACAAGCTGTCGGCCTCTCACCTTTGATTTTCTCTCTTTTTGTATTTGTATTTGTGTAATCTTCTAAATGTGGACATTGTTTTCTTATCACTAATCAATCATTGATTTCTGAATGAGTCTTAACGCACTTTTTCCCCAATCAAAGCATCTAATATGTTTTTTTAAATCCAGGACTGAGGCTGTAGATCCAGGACTGAGGCTGTAGATCCAGGACTGAGGCTGTAGATCCAGGACTGAGGCTGTAGATCCAGGACTGAGGCTGTAGATCCAGGACTGAGGCTGTAGATCCAGGACTGAGGCTGTAGACCCAGGACTGAGGCTGTAGACCAAGGACTGAGGCTGTAGATCCAGGACTGAGGCTGTAGACCCAGGACTGATCCAGGACTGAGGCTAAAGACCCAGGACTGAGGATGTATACGGTGCCTTGCAAAAGTATTCGGCCCCCTTGAACCTTTCAACATTTCGCCATATTTCAGGCTTCAAACATAAAGATATACAATTTTAATTTTTTGTCATGAATCAACAACAAGTGGGACACAATCGTGAAGTGGAATGAAATTTGTTCATTTTGATAATTTAAACTTTCCAGCTTGACTGGAGCATGACTATCGGTCGGCCTCGAAGAGGTTCTGGCAAACCGTCCGGCGCCTCAGGAGGGGGAAGCAGTTCTTTGCCAACACCGTGTATGGTGCGGGTGGAGGGCTGCTGACCTCGACTGGGGATATTGTCGGGCGGTGGAAGGAATACTTCGAGGTTCTCCTCAATCCCCCCGTCACGTCCTCCGTCCAGGAGGCAGAGGCTGAGGATGTTGGGGCGGATACTTCCATCTCCCTGGCCGAGGTCACCAAGGTGGTTGGCAGCCTCCATGGTGGCAAGGCGCCGGGAGTGGATGAGATCCGTCCTGACTATCTAAAGTCTCTGGATGTTGTAGGACTGTCTTGGCTGACACGTCTCTGCGACATCGCGTGGCGATCGGGGGCGGTGCCAATGGAGTGGCAGACCGGGGTGGTGGTCCCTCTCTACAAGAAGGGGGACCGGAGGGTGTGTTCCAATTATCGTGGGATCACACTCCTCAGCCTCCCCGGTAAGGTCTACTCCAAGGTACTGGAGAGGAGGCTACGTCCGATGGTCGAATCTCGGATTCAGGAGGAGCAGTGTGGTTTTCGTCCCGGTCGCGGAACACTGGACCAGCTCTATACTCTCCATCGGATACTCGAGGGTTCATGGGAGTTCGCCCAACCTGTCCACATGTGCTTTGTGGATTTGGAGAAGGCGTTCGACCGTGTTCCCCGGGGTGTCCTTTGGGGGGTCCTCCGGGAGTACGGGGTCCGGGGTCCTCTGCTGAGGGCTGTTCGGTCCCTGTATGACCGGAGCCAGAGCTGTGTTCACATTGCCGGCAGTAAGTCAGACCTGTTCCCGGTGCATGTTGGCCTCCGCCAAGGCTGCCCTTTGTCACCGGTTCTGTTCACTGTATTTATGGACAGAATCTCTAGGCGCAGCCAGGGGCCGGAGGGGGTCCGGTTCGGGAACCACAGGATTTCATCTCTACTTTTTGCGGATGATGTCGTCCTGTTGGCTCCAACGAACCAGGACCTGCAACATGCACTGGGACGGTTTGCAGCCGAGTGTGAAGCGGCTGGGATGAGAATCAGCACCTCCAAATCTGAGGCCATGGTGCTCGACCGGAAAAAGGTGCCTTGCCCTCTTCAGGTGGGTGGAGAGGTCCTTCCTCAAGTGGAGGAGTTCAAGTATCTCGGGGTCTTGTTCACGAGTGAGGGGAGGATGGAGCTGTAGTTATCTGCAGTTCATCCAGAGTGATCATGGGCCTCTTGGCTGCATCTCTGATCAGTCTTCTCCTTGTTTGAGATGAAAGTTTGGAGGGACGGCCGGGTCTTGGTAGATTTGCAGTGGTCTGATACTCCTTCCATTTCAATATAATTGCGTGCACAGTGCTCCTTGAGATGTTTAAAGCTTGGGAAATCTTTTTGTATCCAAATCCGGCTTTAAACTTCTCCACAACAGTATCTCGGACCTGCCTGGTGTGTTCCTTTTTCTTCATGGTTCTCTCTGCGCTTTAAACAGAACCCTGAGACTATCAAAGAGCAGGTGCATTTATACGGAGACTTGATTACACACAGGTGCATTCTATTTATCATCATCAGTCATTTAGGACAACATTGGATCATTCAAAGATCCTCACTGAACTTCTGGAGTGAGTTTGCTGCACTGAAAGTAAAGGGGCCGAATAATATTGCACGCCCCACTTTTCAGTTTTTTATTTGTTAAAAAAGTTTAAATTATCCAATAAATTTCATTCCACTTCACGATTGTGTCCCACTTGTTGTTGATTCATGACAAAATATTAAAATTTTATATCTTTATGTTTGAAGACTGAAATGTGGCAAAATGTTGAAAGGTTCAAGGGGCCGAATACTTTCGCAAAGCACTGTAGATCCAGGACTAGGCAGTACAAAAAAACAAAACAAAAAAGTGAAAAAGACCATTGCCTTGGCTTCATAGTATGTGGATGGAATATAGATTAGTTTAGTCTCTGAGATGTATGAAAACATTTTTGCCGGTGACAGTAATTGCACCTGAGGACCCCATATCCAGAATGATCAAGCGCACAAGCTTTTTTCTGAAATGTTTTACTTGGAAAAAAATGAAAATGTAATCCGCAGGCAGTTGCTCTAACTCAGATCATAGGCATAACATAACAAATTCCATTACCGCTGCTGCAGCAAATGTACAGTGCCTTGCGAAAGTATTCGGCCCCCTTGAACCTTTCAACATTTTGCCACATTTCAGGCTTCAAACATAAAGATTTAAAAATAAAAATAAATGTCAAGAATCAACAGCAAGTGGGACACAATCGTGAAGTGGAACGAAATTTATTGGATAATTTAAACTTTTTTAACAAATAAAAAAACTGAAAAGTGGGGCGTGCAATATTATTCGGCCCCCTTGCGCTAATACTTTGTAGCGCCACCTTTTGCTGCAATTACAGCTGCAAGTCGCTTGGGGTATGTCTCTATCAGTTTTGCACATCGAGAGACTGGAATTCAGGCCCATTCTTCCTTGCAAAACAGCTCGAGCTCAGTGAGGTTGGATGGAGAGCGTTTGTGAACAGCAGTCTTCAGCTCTTTCCACAGATTCTCGATTGAATTCAGTTCTGGACTTTGACTTGGCCATTCTAACACCTGGATACGTCTATTTGTGAACCATTCCATTGTAGATTTGGCTTTATGGTTTGGATCATTGTCCTGTTGGAAGATAAATCTCCGTCCCAGTCTCAGGTCTTTTGCAGACTCCAACAGGTTTTCTTCCAGAATGGTCCTGTATTTGGCTCCATCCATCTTCCATCAATTTTAGCCATCTTCCCTGTCCCTGCTGAAGAAAAGCAGGCCCAAAGCATGATGCTGCCACCACCATGTTTGACAGTGGGGATGGTGTGTTCAGGGTGATGAGCTGTGTTGCTTTTACGCCAAACATATCGTTTTGCATTGTGGCCAAAAAGTTTGTTGTGGAAATTCTACACATACCGAGAGTAAAATAATGTAAACAACTCAGAGCTGTAATTCCAAACAAAGTGTGAGTTTATTCATTTGTAAATGTGCGCAATTACAATGAATACCAGAACCGATACCAATACCACCTGCAGCCGTCTGAAAACAACTGCCACGAATGAGGAAATAACTGTACATTAAATAGACCAGAGTAAACAAACACATATCTACTCTAGATATTACATAAATTAAGTCAACATTGATATGTGTTCCTCAAGGCTTCTCTTTACGAGTCTTAACGCTGATACAACTCTGATATATGTAACAATCTGCTTTTGAATTGAACATATTGTTCTATGACCCAGATGAGGTCAAAGACGTGATGCAGCACGTCTCCATTGGATCATTCAAAGATCCTCACTGAACTTCTGGAGTGAGTTTGCTGCACTGAAAGTAAAGGTGCCGAATAATATTGCACGGCCCACTTTCCAGTTTTTTTATTTGTTAAAAAAGTTTAAATTATCCAATAAATTTCGTTCCACTTCACGATTGTGTCCCACTTGTTGTTGATTCATGATAAAAAATTAAAATTTTATATCTTTATGTTTGAAGCCTGAAATGCGGCGAAATGTTGAAAGGTTCAAGGGGGCCGAATACTTTCGCAAGGCACTGTATATGAGTCAAATCAGCGTATCTGGGGGCCGTGCAGTCTGGCTCCATCTTTGTAGTTCTGACTATAACGGCCCCAAATATGGCTTTACCACAAAAAGAGATCCGGGTTTAACGTATGTGTCGGCCGTCAGTCGGTCAGTAACAAGTTTTATCCGTCTAGCGCCTTACACAGAGAGTCACAAAGCGTTTAAACTTTTTATGGCCATTTTTTTTTTGTGATTGAAGTGGAGTTGCCACATAGTACTTTGAAGGCACCTGACTAATCCTCCTCTAAGGTTTTTCTAGTGGAGAGCAGGAGTAGGAAGGTGACGGCCTCGCTTCAGATTGGCTGTTTGGCTGCTATGATTTTGCTATTAGCTTCTGGTTGCTATGAGGTTGCTATTAGCTTCTGGTTGCTATGAAGTTGCTATTAGCTTCTGGTTGCTATGAGGTTGATATTAGCTTCTGGTTGCTATGAAGTTACTATTAGCTTCTGGTTGCTATGAGGTTGCTATTAGCTTTTGGTTGCTATGAAGTTACTATTAGCTTCTGGTTGCTATGAGGTTGCTATTAGCTTCTGGTTGCTATGAGGTTGATATTAGCTTCTGGTTGCTATGAAGTTACTATTAGCTTCTGGTTGCTATGAGGTTGCTATTAGCTTCTGGTTGCTATGAGGTTGCTATTAGCTTCTGGTTGCTATGAAGTTACTATTAGCTTCTGGTTGCTATGAGGTTGCTATTAGCTTCTGGTTGCTATGAAGTTGCTATTAGCTTCTGGTTGCTATGAAGTTACTATTAGCTTCTGTTTTCTATGAAGTTGCTATTAGCTTCTGGTTGTTATGAGGTTGCTATTAACTTCTGGTTGCTATGAGGTTGCTATTCGCTTCTGGTTGCTATGAGGTAGCTATAAGGTTGCTATTAGCTTCTTTGCGCTCAAACCCTTAATCAAAAGGGTGGCAGAGTCTGCTCCAATCAGCTTCTTTCATCCAGAGGGCGGTGTGTGTGTGTGTGTGTCCCGCAGGCTCGGCTCGCTCACGTCGCCGCTGAGGAGGACCTGAAGGTGCCGTTTGCCAATGAGCTGCCCTCTCGCGGAGCACAGCTGTCTGCTCTGAGTGGCACCGAGGAGTTCGATGTGCTGATCGTGGGAGGAGGGGCCACGGGGGCCGGCTGTGCCTTAGACGCCGTCACACGCAGTAAGATGATCACGTCAAGAACACATGAGGCCAGATGCTACTTCTCACAGATCTCTGACCATGTTCACACTGCCTCTTTTCTAAATTCAATATAAGGACTTGGGCATAGACACATACGTTGTTTTCGTAATTGTTCAATGTTTTTTGTTTTTTTTTAAGAGTTTTGGTTAAGGTACATGTTATTATAGAGAGGCCACTTGCATCTGCCCCATCTGTCATTACCCCGAGGGCTTCTGTCAGGAGCAGCAGTCGCCCTTGGAGTGACAGGGTTGATGCTCTCCAGAACCAGAGCTGGAGGGTTTCACCTACTCTGGGTTTTTAGTGGTATGGAGAACAGGAGGCCGGAGAGAGGCCGGAGAGAGGCCGGAGAGAGGCCGGAGAGAGGCCGGAGAGAGGCCGGAGAGAGGCCGGAGAGAGGCCGGAGAGAGGCCGGAGAGAGGCCGGAGAGAGGCCGGAGAGAGGCCGGAGAGAGGCCAGAGAGAGGCCAGAGAGAGGCCAGAGAGAGGCCAGAGAGAGGCCAGAGAGAGGCCAGAGAGAGGCCAGAGAGAGGCCAGAGAGAGGCCAGAGAGAGGCCAGAGAGAGGCCAGAGACAGAGACCCGAAAGAGAGAGTCCAGAGAAAGAGACCAGAGAGAGACTGGAAAAAGCTGAAGGTGTGACAGAGACCTTTCAAACGTGTGTTGCTGTTAAAACGAGTGATAGAAGCAAACTGTTATGAGACCGTTTTGGGGTTTTGCTAGCTTCACTTTTGCTGGTTTTTAAGTTCAGCCATATTCAGCCTTAAACAAATCTGCTTGAGCTGCTGTATTTTGAGTCCAAGCTGACAAGAGTATCTCATGGTTGTGTTTTTCCAGACCTGAAGACGGCGCTGGTGGAGAGGAGCGACTTCTCCTCGGGCACCAGCAGCCGGAGCACCAAACTGATCCATGGAGGAGTGCGCTATCTGCAGAAGGCCATCATGAAGCTGGACTACGAGCAGGTCAGAAGGCACAAGCACTTCTTTTATATCTATTGTGTGAAACAGGAAGTCACAAACTAGAGATTTGGGGTGCTATAACAAGTAACACAATCATGGCTGCCAAACTTGCGCATTAACACATGCAATGAATAAAAACAAATAGTTGAAAAAGTCATGGTTTTTACATGGATTAAACTATAACATGGTTGACCAGAGAGGGACCAGAGACCAGAGAGGGACCAGAGACCAGAGAGGGACCAGAGACCAGAGAGGGACCAGAGACCAGAGAGGGACCAGAGACCAGAGAGGGACCAGAGACCAGAGAGGGACCAGAGACCAGAGAGGGACCAGAGACCAGAGAGGGACCAGAGACCAGAGAGGGACCAGAGACCAGAGAGGGACCAGAGACCAGAGAGGGACCAGAGACCAGAGAGGGACCAGAGACCAGAGAGGGACCAGAGACCAGAGAGAGACCAGAGACCAGAGAGGGACCAGAGACCAGAGAGGGACCAGAGACCAGAGAGGGACCAGAGACCAGAGAGGGACCAGAGACCAGAGAGGGACCAGAGACCAGAGAGGGACCAGAGACCAGAGAGGGACCAGAGACCAGAGAGGGACCAGAGACCAGAGAGGGACCAGAGACCAGAGAGGGAGAGGAGACCAGAAAGAGAGGAACCAGAGAGAGAAACAAGAAAGAGAGAGACCCGAGAGGGAGAGAAAAAAGTGTTTAAAGTGCCTGGTGAGGGATTATACCGCCTTAATAAAGCTGTTACTTCACTGATTTTACTAAGTGTAGTGTGGGTTATTTTTAGAACACATCACCCCTGCAATGCTCCAGGGTCCAGTGTAAATGAAATGACTACAGTGTCTTTCTGTTCAGCTGAGTGAATCATTGAAGTGTCATAAATGTCTCTGTGTGTGTGTTCAGTACATGATGGTGAAAGAGGCCCTCCATGAACGGGCCAATCTGCTGGAGATCGCCCCGCACCTGTCGGCCCCGCTGCCCATCATGCTGCCGGTTTACAAGTGCGTTTCTGACACTACAGACTCATACACCATCGACCCGTTTACTTACTATCGACACGTTAGTAAGTATTTGTGCATCGCCCTAAATCACAACAGCGGTCGGCTCGGAGGACTTTATAAAATTGTGGATTTGCAAACAACATATCAGAGAATTGAACAATTTTGAACACAGAAAATGCAACAACAAAAAATAACACACATTGGAGCCATTGATCCATAAAGAGCGGGATGACCACTGTCTGTAATTGTTAATAAATGTCTGACTCTTGGATCATTACTGTCCTTAGACCCTCCTGCATCGCCAACAAACCACTCAAAAACCCAGTGGGAATTATTATTTTGGAAAAAAGGAGTACCCTGTAGATCCATGACTGAGGCTGTAGATCCAGGACTGAGGCTGTAGATCCAGGACTGAGGCTGTAGATCCAGGACTGAGGCTGTAGATCCAGGACTGAGGCTGTAGACCCAGCACTGAGGCTGTAGACCCAGCACTGAGGCTGTAGATCCAGGACTGAGGCTGTAGATCCAGGACTGAGGCTGTAGACCCAGCACTGGGGCTGTAGACCCAGCACTGAGGCTGTAGATCCAGGCCTGAGGCTGCACATCCCGGACTGAGGCTGAAGATCTGAGACTTAGGCTGTGGATCCAGGACTGAGGCTGTAGACCCAGGACTGATGCTGTAGATTCAGGACTGATGCCGTAGATTCAGGACTGATGCTGTAGATTCAGGACTCAGGCCGTAGACCCAGGACTGAGGCTGTAGACCCAGGACTGAGGCAGTAGAATTGATTTTATCTCCATAACAACCACGGGTGATCTCTTCCCTGTGATAATGCAGTCCTTGGGTGCAGGTGGTGGCAGCTGCCTTATTACTGGGCCGGCATTAAGATGTACGACCTGGTGGCAGGGATCCAGTGCCTGAAGAGCAGCTACGTCCTGAGCAAGTCCAAGGCCCTGGAGCTCTTCCCCATGCTCAAGAAGGACAAGCTGGTGGGGGCCATTGTGTACTATGATGGTATGCACTTATGGTTCACTATAGCTGGGATACTTCATTTTAAAGCCACAGTGATGTAAAAACCCACGTCTCTAGTTCTTGGCTCTAAATTAGTTTGCTTCGATCACTAGTTTTCACATGCATGTATTTTTGGCTTCTGTCACATCCTTGACTCCCTCTTTGGTCTCTCTCTGGTTTCTCCCTGGTTTCTCCCTGGTCTCTCTCTCTGGTCTCTCACTCTGGTCTCTCTCTCTGGCCTCTCTGGTCTCTCTCTGGTCTTTCTCAGGTCTCTCTCTGGTGTCTCCTTGGTCTCTGGCTTCTCTGGCTTTTCTGGTCTCTCTCTGGTCTCTCTCTCTGGGCTCTCTCTCTCTGGCCTCTCTAGTTTTGCTCTGGTCTTTTTCAGGTCTCTCTCATGTCTCTCTCACTAGAAAGAGAGAGAGAGACCACAAAAGGTCTCTCTCTGGTCTCTCAGGCAGGTCTCTCTCTGGCCTCTCTGGTTTCTCTCTGGTCTTTCTCAGGTCTCTCTCACTAGAAAGATAGAGGCCACGAAAGGCCTCTCTGGTCTCTCTCTGGTCTCTCTCTCTAGTCTCTCTCTGCTCTGTCTTTTTCTAGTCTCTCTCTTCACCAAACGGACACTTTTGCTAGACCCTATCTTTTGGGACAATGTAATATATTACTGTATATACGACAAAAGTTAGGTACCCAAGCTTTAAAGATGGCATCCTCTACACAATGCTCACGCCCCCTTCATCACCTTCCTGTGTGTGTTGTTTGTGCGTTTCCAGGACAACACAACGACGCCCGCATGAACCTGGCCATCGCCCTGACAGCAGCGCGTCACGGAGCCGCCGTCGCCAACTACACAGAGGTGGTTTCTCTGCTGAAGCGCACAGACCCCAAGTCCGGAGAGGAGAAGGTGTGCGGGGCGCGCTGTCGGGACGTGCTCACGGGTCAGTGCTCTATAAAGGGGACGCGACATCACAGACGGAGCCAGGGAGTGTAGAATTACTGAACTAATGTTTATTTGTTGTTCAATATGAAGATGCTCTCATGCTCTCATCCCCGGAAATCAGTCTCTATCTGGTCTCTCTCTGGTCTCTCTCTGGTCTCTCTTTCTCTCTGGCTTCTTTTTGGTCTCTCTCTGGTCTCTCTCTGGTCTTTCTCTCTGCTCTCTCTCTCTCTGGCTTCTCTTTGGTCTCTCTCCGGCCTCTCTGTTCTCTCTCTCTGGCCTCTCTCTTGCCTCACTGGTCTCTCTCTGGTCTCCCTTTGTCTCTCTCTCTGTTATCTCTCTGGTCTCTCTCTCTCACTGGTCTCTCTCTAGCCTCTCTCTCTGGTCTTTCTCTTGCCTGTCTGGTCTCTCTCTGGTCTCTCTCTGGTCTCTCTCTCTCTAGTCTCTGTCTGGTCTCTCTCTTGCCTCACTGGTCTCTCTCTCTGGTCTCGCTCTTGCCTCACTGGTCTCTCTCACTGGTCTCTTTCTCTGGTCTCTCTCTGACCTTTCTCTAACATATGTATATATTTTTTCTTAAAGCTGGGGTACATAACATTCCAAATCCATGTCTCTAGTTCCTGGCTCCAAAACAGTTTTTCTATCACTGGTTCATCCATGTATCTCTCCATCGGCCCCTCCTTCATCGCTGTGACCTCTGACCCCTGCAGGAGACGAGTTTGACGTCAAGGCCAAGTGTGTGATCAACGCCACGGGGCCCTTCACAGACTCTCTGAGGAAGATGGACAAACAGGAGACCCCCAACATCTGCCAGCCCAGCGCGGGGGTCCACATCGTCATCCCGGGGTACTACAGGTACGACCACCCACAGGTACAACCGCCCCACAGGTACAACCGCCCCACAGGTACGACCGCCCCACAGCTGCTGCGCCGGAGTGAAGTCAAAGTGAAGATCTGCACATTCTGTCGTGTTTATGTTTGTGTTGTGTTTGTTATGAGGCTAAAGCCCTGTTTCCACCTGCTCTACTCTGCTCTACTCTGCTCTACTCTACTCTACTCTACTCTACTCTACTCTACTCTACTCTACTCTCTCTATGAAACTCTTCTCTATGTAAGAAATAACTCAATGTGTAAACGATGACATGGCGCTCCTGCTGTTCAGACCTGAGTCAGACCTGAGTCAGACCTGAGTCAGACCTGAGTCAGACCTGAGTCAGACCTGAGTCAGACCTGAGTCAGACCTGAGTCAGACCTGAGTCAGACCTGAGTCAGACCTGAGTCAGACCTGAGTCAGACCTGAGTCAGACCTGAGTCAGACCTGAGTCAGACTGCTCCTCTCCTCAGTCCAGACAACATGGGTCTGCTGGATCCTGCCACCAGCGACGGCCGAGTCATCTTCTTCCTGCCCTGGGAGAAGATGACGATCGCAGGGACCACGGACACGCCCACCAACGTGACCGCCCACCCCATCCCAGGAGAGGAGGACATCAACTTCATCCTGAGGGAGATCCGCAACTACCTCAGTCCTGACGTCGAAGGTAACCCCGTTTTAAAGCCCAGAACAGCCCAAGTCCCGTCAAAGCTGGGTTTCAATCCATTTGGTCCGCCGCTGGAAAAAATCTGTCTCCCTGTGAGAAAGGATCTTCTCCAGGGACTACGGCAGAAACTAAACTAGCACTTTTGCTAAATCCTGCACCTATCCTATTTTCTATTTTAAGACTAATGTTTGTTCTGCATTAAGATAAGATAAAGCTGTATTTGTCCATCAATCTGTGAATACAAAAATGTAATTCTTGCTTTAATGTTTGGAAACCTCTGCTCTAGATGATTCTGATATTTAGGTGTTTAATTTAATACATTTTTTGCCCAAAATCATAACATCATTGTTGGGTTAGGGCGTCACAGAACTCCCAAAAGCAGACTGTGGACCAGTTGTCATGTCCAGGGAAGTCAGGGTTTCAGACTAGGGACTGGTCCACAGGTCCAGGGAAGTCAGGGTTTCAGACTAGGGAGGGACTGGTCCACAGGTCTAGGGGATTCCAGGTCCAGACTTGACCTCAGAACCAGTCCCAGTCTGAAATGTCTCTGTCTCAGTCCGCAGGGGTGATGTCCTGGCCGCCTGGAGTGGGATCCGGCCCCTGGTCACAGATCCAAACTCCAAAGACACTCAGTCCATCTGCCGCAACCATGTGGTCAGTGTGAGCAGCAGCGGAATGGTCACCATCGCAGGTAAGCGCCTCTCACTCATCTTATTTATTTGTTTAGCACATTTCACAGAGCAGGGGCACAACAAGCGCTTTTGGCTTGAACTCGTAGGTAAACTATAAAGTCATCTCAGGACCAAAATCCTATGTGTTTTGTTTACTCATATATGCACAGATAAAGTCCTTGTAAATGATTCTTAAACGGCTTTAAAACATGCTCAGTCCATGGTGTGTGTGTCTAAACAAATGACAATAAACAAAGAAGTGCTCTCTGAAACACATTTGTGAACAGTGAGTGATGAGGATGGATGAACACAGAGCAGAGCTTGTGTTGGTGGTTTTGGTCGTGACCTCAAACTGAGTGTGTGGCAGGAGGGAAGTGGACCACGTACCGCTCCATGGCGGAGGAGACTCTGGACGCAGCCGTGGAGGCACACCAGCTGAAAGCCCAGCCCTGCAGGACGGTGGGACTGATGCTGGAGGGGGCCCGAGGCTGGACTCCCACGCTCTACATCCGCCTGGTGCAGGACTACGGCCTGGAGGTGGAGGTGAGGGACGGGGCCAGCACAAGCACAAGCACAAGCACAAACATCACACAAGCACCAGCACCAGGACAAAAGGCACCTGGTCCCACAGGTCTCCCATCACAGAACTTACCAGGCCCTGCCCTGTATGTCAATCTACCCCAGGGTAGCTGTGGCTCCAGTACTAGTATATCATAGAAAATTACATGTAAAGTGCATATAAAGCTGAACCACCCTCACTTGCCTGTATCTGCCTGTAGGTGGCGCAGCACCTGGCCGCCACATACGGCTCGCGGGCCTTTGACGTGGCAAAGATGGCGATGGTGACCGGGCAGAGGTGGCCCATCGTGGGTCGGCGGCTGGTGTCCGAGTTCCCTTACATCGAGAGTGAGGTAAAGTGCTTCACAACTGGTCTCCTTTTATTTCTATGTTTTGCGCGCAGACAACAAGCGTCTTTCAGGCATTTTTTGTATTATTTTCTTTTTTGTCAAAACTCACTGTTCTGATAATGACCCAATTTAAATATTGACTTTGAACTGAACAATGTGTATTAATAGATAGCAACTGCTGTAACTAAAGACAAGGAGAATGTTAAAGCACTCCATGTTTTATTTAAAATCCACTGTGGCGTCATATAAACACACCGTACACACTGTTCCATTCGAATAAACTGTCCGCTGTTGTTGTGCTGTTGTTGTGCAGGTGATGTATGCCATCAGGGAGTATGCGTGCACGGTCATCGACGTGATCGCTCTCCGCACTCGCCTGGGCTTCCTGAACGTGCAGGCGGCGGACGAGGCGCTCCCTCGGATCGCACAGATCATGGCCAAAGAGCTGAGCTGGAGCGACGCCAGGACCAAGGTAACCATGGCAACCCAGGTCCATCCCAAGAACCGGCCAAGAACCAACCAATACTGTAGTCCAGGGGTTTCCGACACAGAGAGCTACTACTTTTAGACGGTCGACCAAATGTTACAGGGATTAAATAATAATTAAACATTTTGACTTTCTTAAAACAGTGAAACAACTTTAGTCTTATTTTCAGTGTTATTGTTTTAAGACCCTCGTTTATGTTCTGTTTTCAATTTAGCCAAATTTGGTACATTTCTTACTTTTTTTGTCATTTTTTGTTTTCCCCATAAAATAATCTGTCCCAAACATTATAATCATAACATTCCCAATATTTACTGAAAAGTCTGTAGAATTCTGTTACATATGTTATGCAGAGGGAGTAATGTTTCTGCTGGGCACAGGCGGAGCTGGAGGCTGCTAAGCAGTTCCTGTACCATGAGATGGGCTACAGGGCCCGGGACGAGCAGCTGTCCAAGACCTCAGAGATCAACCTCGACTACCAAGAAGTCAACAGGTATGAAATATGGATCTGTATCTTTTTATTCTCACTCTGGTCTCTGTCCATGGTCTCTCTCTATGGTCTCTTGATGGTCTCTCTCTGATCTCTTTCTGCTGGTCTCTCTCTCTCTCTGGTCTCCCTCTCTGTCCTTTTCTGACTCTGTCCTCTTTCTTTCTGCCCTCTCTCTCTGTCCTCTCTCTGTCCTTTCTCCCCGGTTTTTGTGTATGGTCTCTCTCTGGTCTCTTTCTCCCTGTCCTCTCTCTCTCTCTGTCCTCTCTCTCTCTGTCCTCTCTCTCTGTCCTCTCTCTCTGCCTTCTCTCTCTGATCTCTCTCTCTGCCTTCTCTCTCTGTCCTCTCTCTCTCTGCCTTCTCTCTCTGGTCTCTTTCCTCTCTCTCTCTGCCTTCTCTCTCTGGTCTCTTTCCTCTCTCTCTCTGCCTTCTCTCTCTGGTCTCTTCTCTCTGCCTTCTCTCTCTGGTCTCTCTCTCTGCCTTCTCTCTCTGGTCTCTCTTTCCTCTCTCTCTCTCTCTCTCTCTCTGCCGTCTCTCTCTGGTCTCTCTCTCTGCCTTCTCTCTCTGGTCTCTCTTTCCTCTCGCTTTCTCTCTCTCTCTGCCTTCTCTCTCTGGTCTCTCTCTCTAGTCTCTCTCTCTCTCTGCCTTCTCTCTCTGGTCTCTCTCTCGCTGTCCTCTCTCTCTCTGCTAACCCAATGCCTTTCCCGCAGGTACAAGAAGCGCTTCCACAAGTTTGACAAGGAGGGCAAAGGCTTCATCACCACCGTGGACGTGCAGCAGGTGCTCCAGGTGAGATCAGTGTAATGTGACATCACAAGCAGCTGTTCATATGTATGTAGTGTTTATGTTTGTGGGATATGTGTGTTTTTGCTCTGAGTGTGAATGTGTAAGACATTTCCTCTCTGGGTGTCTGTCTGTGTTTGGGTGGGTTTCCTCCAGGCGCTCCATATTCTCCCCAAGACATACACAATACACATTTTGCTTTGGGATCAATAACGTTTTTATCTATCTATCTATACAGCAGTGTGATTGTGTGTGTGATAGGATTCTAGGGGATGGTTTGTGTTTGTGTGTGTGTGTGTGTGTGTGTCTCAGATGTGTTAGTGTATGTTCTCTTGTTCCTCAGAGCATTAACGTTCACATCGATGAGAACGCGCTGCACGAGATTCTGAACGAGGTGGATCTCAACAAGAACGGACAAGTGGAGGAAGACGAGTTCCTGCAGGTACACACACGCATACACACACACGCACACACACACACATACACACCCACACACGCGCATATATACAAAATGGTGTACTTCTGACCTCTGCTCAAACACACACCCACACAAACATGCATGTACACACACACAACGCACACACACAAAGACTGTTCTTGAGAGAATTTTTGTCAAAATGTATATCCACTTTCTGCCTCTCAAATTATACATATAGATACTTGAGATTTTATGTTTTTTTACTTTTTGTGCAAGAAATCAAAGTTGGGTTATTTCAATTTCGAGAGACCAGAGAGAGAGACCAGAGAGAGAGACCAGAGAGAGAGACCAGAGAGAGAGACCAGAGAGAGAGACCAGAGCGAGAGAGACCAGAGAGACCAGAGAAAGAAACTAGAGAGAGACCACAGACAGAGAGAGGTCAAAGAGAGAGGTCAAAGAGAGAGGTCAAAGAGAGAGGTCAAAGAGAGAGGTCAGAGAGAGACCAGAGAGAGACCCGAGAGAGAGACCCGAGAGAGAGACCCGAGAGAGAGACCCGAGAGAGAGACCCGAGAGAGAGACCCGAGAGAGAGACCCGAGAGAGAGACCCGAGAGAGAGGCCAGAGAGAGAGGCCAGAGAGGGAGGCCAGAGAGGGAGGCCAGAGAGGGAGGCCAGAGAGGGAGGCCAGAGAGGGAGGCCAGAGAGGGAGGCCAGAGAGGGAGGCCAGAGAGGGAGGCCAGAGAGGGAGGCCAGAGAGGGAGGCCAGAGAGGGAGGCCAGAGAGGGAGGCCAGAGAGGGAGGCCAGAGAGGGAGTCCAGAGAGGGAGTCCAGAGAGAGAGGCCAGAGAGAGAGAAACCCGTGGCTAGTTTTAGACAGTTTGATTGTGTCTCAATCACACCTACATTAGAGTCTTCCTTGGCAAAAAGATTAGGTCGCAAGGCGGGTTGGGTGCCCAATCGAGTTCTCAGGCTCCATTGGCTTCACTGTAACCCACATATTAGTTATGTGTAATGGTTTACACAGTGATAACATGTCACCATCTCTCCTCTCCACGACTAGACTGAACGGGCGAGCGAAGGTAGTGTATGGTTGTCGTGGTAACTGGAGGGTTCGGCTGTGACCTAAACACACTGATGTGGTAAAGCTGCACCAGACCGGCCCACAACCAGAGGCTTCATTTCAGACTGGGATATGATTGGCCCAAAAGACAAAATAAGAGAAAGGGGTGTAGAAAATATTTGTATATAGTTTGGTGTTAGCTCCCGGTTAGCCGAGATAAGACCCAGACCATGACCCCGACCATGACCATGACCATGACCATGACACAGGTCCCTGAACCAGACCATGAAGACCCTGAGCCTGAGTCTGAGTCTGACCTGGACCCAAAACCAGACACAAACCAGATTTTGACCCAGACCCAGACCCTGCCTATTGCACAACTGCAGGAGAGTAAAGATGACTCCAACATGCATGGCTCTAAACATGAGCGTAGAAGAAGAACACATCTCTAGAGACTCCAGACCATGTCCCGGTCTGTAGTCTGAACTGAAGACCCTGGTGCTGTCTCTCGTGCAGCTTTAACCCAGAGGGCCGGCGTACGGTGGTGGAGGTCCCTGTGGTTCTAACCCTCCATCACTGCACAGAGGAACTTCTCCCAGGATCACAGGGACTTGGATTCTGCTTTATTTAGTTACAATAATAATAAAAACCAGAAATGATGGCTTGTTTTTCTGTTTATGGTCTGGTTTGAGCGTCATACAAGGGACTGATAGCACCTCTTGTTTTATACGTTTTAGAAAGTGGCTCACAGTTTATGGAGGAAAGAAGCCAGAGAAAAAGCCTGTCTCACATTTTCAGGAAGACTGTTCCAGATTTTAGCTGCATAAATCTGAAAGGCTGCCTCCTCCTGTTTAGTCCTGACTCTGGGACCAGCAGGAGGCCAGTCCCTGTGCTCCTCAGAGTCCCAGCAGGAGGCCAGTCCCTGTGCTCCTCAGAGTCCCAGCAGGAGGCCAGTCCCTGTGCTCCTCAGAGTCCCAGCAGGAGGCCAGTCCCTGTGCTCCTCAGAGTCCCAGCAGGAGGCCAGTCCCTGTGCTCCTCAGAGTCCCAGCAGGAGGCCAGTCCCTGTGCTCCTCAGAGTCCCAGCAGGAGGCCCATCTAGAGTCTACTCCCGGCTTCATGTAACTTGTGTCATAACATTATAACGGACGTCATTGTTCCCTAAACTTATACAAAGAAAAAACGTATTCTAAAATTCCATGAAAACAGAACATAGGGACAAAAGTATAACTACAGTATTATGTCAGAATCCAAGTCCCTTTGAGTCGTGTGGAAATACCTTTGATACAGTGATACAAATAACCCGTCTTCGCTGCGTGGACGTTTACACCAGTGATAAAACACGTGGCCTCGTTCCCGGCATTGGCAGCACCGCGGTTAGAGCGTGTGCGTCGCAGCAAGAAAGTCCTGGGTTCGATTCCACCTCCAGGCCTTTCTGTGTGGAGTTTGCATGTTTTCCCCGTTTTATAGGTTTCTCCTAAGTTTCCTCCGGGTGCTCCGGTTTTTCCTACCACTAAAAACATGTAGAATAGGTCTGAAAATGATGGTGTTTGCCGGCATCTCACTTCCATCATCATCGAGTGGAGAGAATGGAACAATATCTGAACTTTGAAGTACTTTGGGTCTGTACCTTGGTCTGAAAAAAGCTCTGTATAACTAAATATTACTTACTTTTGTCCTGACCTGAATTTTGTGTGTCTCTGTGTCTGTGCATCTGTGTGTGTGTGTGTGTGTGTGTCTTTGTGTCTGTGCATCTGTGTGTGTGTGTGTCTCTGTGTCTGTGTCTTTGTGTGTGTGTGTGTGTGTGTGTGCGTGTCTGTGCGTGTGTCTCTATGTCTGTGCATCTGTGTGTGTGTGTGTCTCTGTGTCTGTGTCTTTGTGTGTGTGCGTGTGTGTGCATGTGTCTCTGTGTCTGTGTCTTTGTGTGTCTTTGCGTGTGTGTGTGTGTGTGTGTGCGTGTCTCCTTCAGCTCATGAGTGCCGTGAAGAAGGGGCAGGTCTCTGACAGCCGCCTGGCGATCCTGCTCAAGACTGCGGAGGAGACTCTGAACCAGAGGGAACCAGTGAGCGTGGACCGCAGCGGGGGAGGGGTGTGAGAGCAGCCCCGAACCGCCACGCAGCTACAGGCCGGACCATGCAGACCACTCCAGACCATGCCAAACCACGCCAAACCACTCCAGATCACTCTAGACCACTCCAGACCACTCCATGTCAGACCACACCAGACCACTCCATACCAGACCACTCCATACCAGACCACTCCATACCAGACCACTCCATACCAGACCACTCCACACCAGACCACTCCATACCAGACCACTCCATACCAGACCACTCCATGTCAGACCACACCAGACCACTCCATACCAGACCACTCCATACCAGACCACTCCATACCAGACCACTCCACACCAGACCACTCCACACCAGACCACTCCATACCAGACCACTCCATACCAGACCACTCCATACCAGACCACTCCATGTCAGACCACACCAGACCACTTCTGACCATTTGAATCCCGTTTCTAAAGCACACATTGACTTTGGGGAAGTGCGTACGGCAGGTTTTGAAGTAATAATTATGACTTTTTAATGAAATATTACCGTCTTATTTAACCGCGTGGAGTTGTCAAAGACGTTCAGTTTTCATTCGGGCGTCGTGTCAGTTTATGTCGGGTTCATGGGTTTTTCCATCCGCAATTTCTGTTCTGAAATATGAACAAGTTTAGCGTGTTTAGAAACGAACCCTTTAACCTGCCATACACACTTTAACTACACACTGATACTTATCTTTTTACTGTTTCTGACACACACACACACACACACACACACAGGCTCCTAAGACCTCAAAGTGCTTTAGCCTCAGATGTCTTTTCACTGAGTTTTAACGACAAACCATTATGAAACATGTCTGCTTTATCTATGACCCGATAGCAATCTTTGGCACATACACTGCAAAAAGTAGGTCCAAGAAAACAAGACAAAATGGCTTCTATTGATCCCTAATCTGAAACGCACATTTTCACTACACAATAGACTCGTGTTGCAATCCAGTAACCTTGCTTTTTGAATTGTGGAAATGCACTTGTTTATCTGTCTGTGAATGAGGATTTTCCACTTTTTAAGATTTTTTTAAAAGGAAAAAATATCATAAACACGTACCGGTAAAATGATCTTAAGTATCTTCAGCCTGCATGACTTTTTCAAAATGGTGTAATTAGATAAATACACCAGCCTATATTTTACAAAGTACTTTATACTTTTTGCATTGTATGAAGTTTTCTGGTTTTCTCCGCCGCTGGTCTGTGTTTTAATCTTAGCCAAACTGATCTGGTCGATGGTGAAAAGTTTCTGTCTCACTGTGTTTTGATGTTTTATACTGATCTGTGTCCTTCTTTTTGAGCCGCTTCCTCTTTTCTCACGAGTCGATTGTAAAAGAATGGTATAATCCCAACTGGTGCCTCGTGCTCAGCTCCCATATCACTTTTGTAACGTTTTCTACTCTCGCAAAAAAGTTTGTTTTAACACGTCCTTGACTTTATGGCAACTACTTATCGTTTCTGATTTGACTGAATTTTGTTTGTAGCTTTCACTGTTACTTTGTTCGACCGTGCGCCTTCACATTCATAGAAATAAGGAATCCCAACCATAGACCGTAATCCATAGATCGTAATTCATGGACCGTAATCCAAAGGCCGTAATCAAAGATAGTATTCCATAGACCGTAATCCATAGACCGTAATCCATAGACCATAATCCATGGACCGTAATCCATAGACCGTAATCCATAGACCATAATCCATGGACCGTAATCCACAGACCGTAATCCACAGACCGTAATCCACAGACCGTAATCCACAGACCGTAATCCACAGACAGAAATCCATAGACTGTAATCCATAGGCCGTAATCCATGGAACCGTAATCCATAGACTGTAATCCATAGGCCGTAATCCACGGACCGTAATCCACAGACCGTAATCCATAGACCGTAATCCATAGACCGTAATCCATAGACCGAAATCCACAGACCGTAATCCATAGACCGTAATTCATGGACCGTAATCCATACGCCGTAATCAAAGATTGTAATCCATAGACCGTAATCCATAGACCGTAATCCATGGACTGTAATCCATAGACTGTAATCCATAAACTGTAATCCTTAGACCGTAATCCCGACCCTGTCTCAGTCCTGTAACAGTGTGATGTCATTGTACCACTATGACATCATACTCACACTTTTTGCCCTCTAAAAAAAAGTATTTTTCATGAATTAGTTTTAGTAATTTTTCAAGTGAAATGACATTTGATTGAAAATAAAGTGTTTGCCGCTCCCTCTGGTGCCAAAACAGGGAGTTACTCTTTTAATTTCCCCAATGTGGGACAAATAAAGGAACTCTTATCTTACCCACCCTCTTCTCTGGTCTCTCTCTGGTCTCTCTCTGGTCTCTCCCTGGTCTCCCTCTGGTCTCTCCCTGGTCTCCCTCTAGTGGCATCATAGGAAGGTACAGGCAGATAGCATCGTTGCTTGTTTACCACATATTTCCTTCTGAAGACATGGTTTAGGCCTCACGTTTGTTACTGCCAAAAATGCATGATATTTGTCCTTCTCGGTAACCACACACTTTAGTTTCCTCTTAAGTCTCCTCTCCATTTAGCTTTTGTCCTCAGGAGGAAACTAGTGAGTCTTACACAGGTGTCAAAGTCAAGGCCCGGGAATAAATGATCTTGGCCCCCGGGTTAATATTTGACCATTAGAACTGGCCGACCAGAGCCATAAGACAATCTTAAGATGATTCATTTAATGTTAAGGACATGCGTTTTCTCTTTGAAGGAAGTTTGTTTTCAGTAACTTATGGTACACTGTGGGAGCTTGGTTCGATTATTAAAACATCTAAATCTGTTTTAACAAATGTTGAACCAGTCCGGCCCTCGACTTGTTTTGGCCCTCTGATGTATTGACTTTGACATCCCTGATCCATAACTACTGTCAATAACAATCCTATGAACTGGGATAACAGCATGTCTTCCGTCGTCTCTCTGCACAAAGACTGTCTCTGGGAGCAGACCTCTCACTCTGCTGCAAACGCACACCGCTCCGGACACGTCTCTACTGAAAAGCCCGTTACTGCTGTTATTATGTACACATTATTTTTGCTTAATGTTTTGATTGCTTAATGTGTTGAGATTTAATACATTATATGATGTAATATATATATACAAATATAATTTTAATATTTTACTCATTTATTTGTAAACTATATAAAGCATTTTCGTATCTTTTCAAAACTGTGTCTATTGTGTTTGTAACCAATATATCAAAGTAAACCGGTTACTTCCCCATAGACTAGAGGCCACCCGCGGTACTGCAGCCTACATCCACAAGGGCTGTATTTTTGCCCTGAAAGCTAAAGGCAGACCAATGGGCCTGGCTTGGTACTGCTCTGCTCAGTTTTCTAAAAATTAAGAACAGGACCAGGACTACACTGAGCCAAAAACTAGGGCTAGACTGGGCCCAAACCAGGACTAGACAGAGCCCAATTTAAGAGCAGAACCAGGACTAGACTGGGCCAAAGCCAGACTTAAGAGCAGGACCAGGACACAAAATGGATATAATGTTGAGTGAAAGAAAAGCAGACAGACCTCGGTTCCCATTCCAGACTTTATTCAAGTAGAGGATCAAAAAGCTTTACACAAGTTTGGCTCGAGTTTCCTCAGTGTGACCTCTGACCTCCGACCTGTCACGCGCTCATTCATTTAAAAAGAATAAATAACACAAATACGACAGGTACTTCAGACGCATCCGGGTTTATCAAATACTGAGAACCCGAACGCAATTTTTGTCCCAGAGCAGACTTCAGTTTTATTAAGACTTTTTACTGAATGTGTAGAAATATAGACAATTATAAATAAACAGTTAAAACAACAGGATTCACCATTTACTGTAAGGCTGTAATGTGTTGGTTGATTTGAAGTGAAACCACAAACTGGGATTAATACAGTCTCCGTTATTGTGATAAAAAAAATACAGAACATTTGACTTTAACCTAATTTTCTCTTACTACAGTCTGTAAGTAAGTCATCTTTAATTATATAGCACATTTCACAGACCAGGGTCACATAAAGCGCTTGATAATTTCTTTGGTGTACGATTAATTCTCTCCACACGGTGATGACTGAAGCGAGACATAAATGTTCCCACTGCGCAAATACTTTAAGAACTACTTTTTTTTTAATCAAACATTGATTTCGCACCTTCCAAATTTTTCCTTGAACAATTATACATAATACTTCACTCCTAAAGAGTCTCCGTCCAACCCTGTCCGTCCGCGTCTTCCAGGACCGTTCTGTGTGGGGTTTGCGTGTCCTGTCCATATCAGGGTGGGTTCCCTCCAGGCGCTCCAGTTTCACCCACCACCCAAAAATGCAGTCTGGGTAAAATAATCCAGTCCTGACCAGAACAGTGTACCATGATCTCAGGAAAGAGCCCTATGATAAGCCAACATTAGCTCGCCATATTAGCCTAGCAATTTCTTTCTCTTTGTCGAACTATGTAATTGGGACAAAACTAATTTTTCTCAGTTCTAATTTGAAACAAAAACATGTACGTAGTCGTTAAAACACCTTTGAAGCAGCCGTTTGACATTCAACTCAAAATAACGTAACAAAATTAAATATTGACATTCATTTTCATTGCATAGAGGACCCAGCCCAGTTAGCCAGTTAGCTTATCAGATGGCCACATTGTAAGTTTAACTGAGGCAACACACATTAGCTGCTAGCTGTCAGTGTGTACATCACACATACGGATGTACAGGAACTAGTCTGGTTGGAAGGTGGGGTTATCCTGTGCCACTTCCTGCTCCAAGTCGGTCTCATTGGTGGAGGGCGAGGGCTGCTGCGTGCTCATTTGTCCAGAGGTGTTCCCGTTCTGCTCAGGGTCGGGCTGCGAGTCCGACTCCTTAGACGCCTGACACATGACATCACAGAGTTATTCAGAAGAAGAACAGCTTTTAAGATATTTCAATTCATATTGAATTGTTTTTCTTATTATCTCCCAGGATGATGTTGCAAATTAAAGATATATCTGAAAATATATCCAAATATGTGACTCACCAGCGCCCTTCTCAGGTATTACATATTCTTGAGAAATGTGATATTTTTTAATTTCTTTTCCACATGTATGAAACTACACACACATGCAGTCAGAAGCAGCAGGAGACAGAAGCAGCATGCACCAAAGAGAGGAAAGGTCTCACCTCTGCAGAGTCCACCAGGAGAAACATGAGGGAGATGAGAGGAGTTAGAGAAGAGGAGACGAAAGTGATGAGAAAGAGGAGAGAGAGATTCAAAGAGCACACATTCAGGGCTGACCTGCTGCAGCGGCTGGCTCTCTGAGGGCTCCGTGGCTCCTGGCCTCAGCACTTCTTTGATCTGCAGAACAGCAAAGGCGATGGTGACCCAGGGGGCTCCTGCCAGCACCCAGGCCGGGCGGCAGCGGTCCTCCTGCTCCTCCTGGTGCTTGGTCTTCCTCAGAGGGACAGAGGGGGTCAGACTGCCCGCGGAGCTGGTGCTCTGGACCAGGTCGATGGTGGCAATGGGCACTGGGCTGGAGGGCACTGGGATGTTCTCTGCAAGCATCTGGCTCTCTGAGGAAAACATGGGAATATAAGACCTTTAATTATACAGCTGCATCAGAGTGGAGACAGTCCTGGGTCTACAGCCTCCGTCCTGGGTCTACAGCCTCAGTCCTGGGTCTACAGCCTCAGTCCTGGGTCTACAGCCTCAGTCCTGGGTCTACAGCCTCAGTCCTGGGTCTACAGCCTCAGCCTGTCCGTTTTTTTTGAGCAGATCCCTTCCTAAACCTCCCCATGGTTTCTCCCTTTTTCCCCGGGGTTTTTGAGGAGGGTCTAAGGACATTCATGAACTGTGGTCGTCCGCTCCCTGTGGACCATTGGCTTCTGTGTTTGTTAGAATTGCATTTCCTGTCTCTGATCTGCGTTTGTCACTCTCAGTCTCACCTTTGTCTTGGCTCTTGCTGGTCACAGACTGGATGAAGGCGAACAGGAGGAGGATGACGAGGGAGGCCATGCCGATGCCCCGGAATGTGTTAGCCGCTCCTGGAGACAAGGACTGTCAGTTTCTTGCCAAGCCAAAAGTAAAGAATTGTGGGCCGGATCAGGGGACGTCAAACCGGTCCTCAGAGGCCTCTGAGGACCGGTTTGACGTCCCAGGGCCGAGATCCTGTTAGTGCTTGAAACAGAAGTTACCGAAGTATCCGACAAAGACTCCCCCGATCATGGCCCCACAGCCGCGGCCCAGGCCCAGGTGCAGCCCCTGGAGGATACCCTGCGCAGAGGTGCGGAGGGCGGGGGGGACCGCGGCACTCAGGAAGGAGATACAGGCGGCCCAGACTGAGGCGTGGGTCACTCCTGTAAACACAAACATGAACACACACACACACACACACACATATATAAACACATAAACACACAGGCATACACATACAGACAATATACACACACATGCATACGTACCCCCACACAGACAACAAACACACACATATACACACACAAAGACGCCCATACACACCTTTTTTTTTTTAAAGGCACACATAAACACACATTCACACAGACACACGCACACACACACACACACAGATATACACAGAAGCACAAACACATACACACATGTAAACAGGCATGCATACAGACTTACAGGCATACACACAGACACACCTTCATGTAAACACACACACACAGACACACCTTCATGTAAACACACACACACAGATACACCTTCATGTAAACACACACACACATACACATTCATGTAAACACACACACATACACATTCATGTAAACACACACACATACACATTCATGTAAACACACACACAGACACACATTCATGTAAACACACACACATACACATTCATGTAAACACAAACACATACACATTCATGTAAACACACACACAGACACACATTCATGTAAACACACACACAGACACACATTCATGTAAACACACACACAGACACACATTCATGTAAACACACACACAGACACACATTCATGTAAACACACACACAGACACACATTCATGTAAACACACACACAGACACACATTCATGTAAACACACACACACAGACACACATTCATGTAAACACACACACATACACAAATGCAGTGGTACCTTGCAGGATCTCCATGGGCAGCACAGCCCAGGCGTTGGTGATGTAGGAGATGTACAAATACCGAGCCGTGTTACAGGCCAGACCGATGTACAGGACCCTGCACACAACAGAGAGCACCCATGTGAGCTGCCACAGAGAGCACCCCAGGGACGTGCGGTGAGGTTTGTGATTGGGGAGGCACTGACTTTAAAAGTCAGATTTACAATCATTATTCAAATAAAATAGCATTTAATCACCAATGCAATGACATCCACAAACTTTATATACTGTAAAGATAAGAGAACCAGCTTCTTTTAATAATCTCACAACAAATCTAGCTGCTGACTCTGCTCCGCATCAAACAACATCTTTAAGAAGCGCAGGTGCGAGAGACGCGAGGAGAGAGAGACGCGAGGAGAGAGGAGCAGAGAGAGACAGAGAGGAGCAGAGAGACGGAGACGCGAGGAGCAGAGAGAGACGGAGACGCGAGGAGAGAGAGACGCGAGGAGAGAGGAGCAGAGAGAGACAGAGACGCGAGGAGCAGAGAGAGACAGAGAGGAGCAGAGAGACGGAGACGCGAGGAGCAGAGAGAGACGGAGACGCGAGGAGAGAGAGACGCGAGGAGAGAGAGACGCGAGGAACATAAACAATAATTTAAACAAGTTGCAGAACTCTTGAGCAGTGTTTGAATCAGTGTTTTTCGGAAAAGCACTACTTTGCCGGTATCTGTCAATGTTCAACATAAAACACAGATTAACAAACTCCTCCCCCGCAGCCGGACTAACCTCGTAAGTCCAGTGGTGGTCTCCCAGTCTATATTAATTCTTTCTTTGTTTGAAAGTCCAATTGAGAAAAAAAATCTTCATTCAAATCATCCATTTTCCAGCAAAAGAAATAGCATTTTGGGCTGATTGTTTGTTAGCAACTCTGGTATGAACTTTATGCTCACTATCACCCCTAGCGGTGAGGCACAGATACCGCCTGCCTCACGCCAAGCTTTTTCCTTGTGTGTTCATCTACGATCAAAAGACTTAAACTAAATATAAATTGTACACACATACGTGCAATACACTACTAAACACTAAGAGGAGTTTAAAAAATGTTTTTAAAGCAGGATATTTGAAACAAACGGTGATATATCAACTGCACGAGCTGAGTGCACTCAGACACACACACACACACTGTGAGGGAGCGGTCTGGGGTGAGGCACGCAGGAGCGCTGCCTCACCTCGTCTCTTTGAATAGGAATAACGGGATTTCGGCGATTTTGACTTCAGAAATGATCAAAACTGATGGGAACCGTGCCGAATATACATTAAAAGCATAGGACAGTGGATATAAATTATATATTTAAACTAAAATAATTATTAGTTTCCAATAATGGCGCACCCATGTGAGCTGCCACGGAGAGCACCCATGTGAGCTGCCACGGAGAGCACCCATGTGAGCTGCCACGGAGAGCACCCATGTGAGCTGCCACGGAGAGCACCCACGGGTATGAAAACTTAAAAAGGTATAAAAGGAGGATTTTCTCCATTTTTTATGAAAGAACCACACATCTACATTGGTTTTAATGCACGACACACACACACACACACACACACACACGTTTCCATGTAGATTATTATAATTTAATAAATGTTTGTCTATGTATGTTAAGATTCATATATATATGACTGTAGATATTAATACTGTATTTCTGCATATGTACTAACAGATCTTGAAAAACATTATAGTGTGTTCCCTTTAAGTGAGCTCGGGTCGAGGGTGTGACGCCGCTGTGGGCGCGGTCCATATTCACTCATTGTCTCGTGAACAAACAGGTTTAGTGTCTCAGCCGCTCGGTTACTGTCACTGTCACTCAAATAGTTTCAACTTCAAAAACATCCAGTACTGACGTGAACACCTGGAGGAAACCCACACAGACACGAGGAGAACATGCAAACTCCAAAAACAAACGAGAACGGCTTCCAATGTGCATTACATACTTACTGCTAGTACTGCTGCTACTGCTGCTACTGCTACTACTTGTCTCAATATACATCCACACCCAGACCACTCTTGCTACTACTACAACTAGAAGTAATGCTACTGCTACTGCATCTACCACTACTGCATCTACCACTACTGCATCTACTACTACTACTTGTCTCAATATTCTTCCAGATCCAGACCACTCTTGCTACTACTCCTACTACCATTACTACTGCTACAACTAGAACTAATGCTACTGCTAATACTACTCCATCTACTACTACTACTACTTTTCTCAATATACATCCAGACCCAGACCACTCTTGCTACTATACTGCTATTTCTACTACAACTACAACTAATGCTACTGCTACTGCTACTACCACTACTGCTACAGCATCTACTATTACTAATACTGCTACTACTACTACTACTACTGCATCTACTATTACTAATACTGCTACTCTGACTGATCCAGAAACAGATTTTAATGTTTAAACATGTGTTTTTATGTGCCTTTTGGAGCTGGAGAGTGAAATTCCAAAGACAATGTTGCAAAACTGTGTCCTTTAAATCAGAGTTCCCAAAATTCAACCCAAACGTTGACAGATAAACTGACTGCAGATTAAGAGACCGTGAAGCCAAAAAGTATCAAAACAACAACATTCCTCAGATTATTTAACCCTCACATGGATAACTTGTCTCTGTACACAGTAGTTTGTTTTTGGCTAAACACATATTTTCCACCATTAAATAAATTATTTAAAAATCAGACAGGATTTTCTGGATTTGTTTTCTCAGTACACACATACACCTCTGTCTCAGTATACATACACACACCTCTGTCTCAGTATACATACACACACCTCTGTCTCAGTATACATACACACCTCTGTCTCAGTACACACACACACCTCTCCCCTCTCAGTACACATACACACCTCTGTCTCAGTATACATACACACACCTCTGTCTCAGTATACATACACACACCTCTGTCTCAGTACACACACACACCTCTGTCTCAGTATACATACACACCTCTGTCTCAGTATACATAAAGACCTCTGTCTCAGTATACATACACCCCTCTGTCTCAGTATACATACACACCTCTGTCTCAGTATACATACACACACCTCTGTCTCAGTATACATACACACCTCTGTCTCAGTATACATACACACCTCTGTCTCAGTATACATACACACCTCTGTCTCAGTATACATACACACCTCTGTCTCAGTATACATACACACCTCTGTCTCAGTATACATACACACCTCTGTCTCAGTATACATACACACCTCTGTCTCAGTATACATACACACCTCTGTCTCAGTATACATACACACCTCTGTCTCAGTATACATACACACTAGGGTTTAATATTTTTCCCGAAAATGAGACGTATCAAATCCCGGGAAAAGACAACGCCTTTCCCGGGAAATCCCGGGTAATAGCTGTTGTTTTTAGCCCAAGTAATGTATGATATCACTCAAATATATAATCCAACAAAAGCTGCCATCTCCACTAGTGTTTCACCAAGTGACTTGCTAGCTTTGCTAAAGTAGCCATAGCGTTTTCAGATGTTTTGTTGATGGGCTTTCTTCAGGAATTTCACTATTATGAGATTCTAAATGTCTGCGCAATCCACTTGTCGATAAGTGACGTGCGGTGTGGTTTGGAGGCACTGACTTCAGCCCAATCAGATGAACATATATCATATAAATCAACAGAACCTACAGAGCGGCTTATTCACAATTAGTTTGGCTACAGCAGAATGTTTTCCATGGCCCGCATTGTTTGCTCAAACAAAACGCAAAAGTTCGTAAAAGGCACATTTCCAATTGTGTTATGGGTCTTACCTTAGTTATTAATGAACAGCACAGACCACTTCGGTTCAGACCAGTTTCATGTTTAAGTCCAGATAATAGTTTGAGCGCAGATATGTAATCCCCCATTTGGAAATAAGCCCAAAGAGTTTTAAAGCGTAAAACAAAACGGGTGCCACCTCCATAAACTTCTCTGTGTTTTCGCTGCAGCCGGCTCTCGGGCGCATCCAATTTCTAATATCAACCTTCTTACCCTTCTCCTCTCTTCCTTATCATTCCTATCGTCATTGTAAGCAGAACATTACCCTAAATGCATTTTATATGATTTTAAAATGTGTTATATGTATGTTAGCCAAACCTGTTGCTGCCCTTAGCAGATGGAAAAAAAGAAAGGAGCTTTCTGATAGAATTGGACGTAACCAAATTCTGGGCTCACATGCGCCCCGTACCCTGAGCCTGGCCTCATTACAAGTCGTGGTTTAGCGCGATTAAGACCCATATTTGTTGTCAAAAACACAATTTATGAGCCATCCTCTCAGCTGTAGACATGTTGATTGTAAATGAAATATGTTTGAACTTTGAACAACAATAAACGTGCTTTATAATAGGAGCGCACTGTATTTTTTTTTTACTTTCATTTCCCGTTTCCCGTCATAACATTTCCCGGGAATCGGGAAATACTTTTCATCAGATTTCCCGGGAATCCCGTATCCCGGGATTAAACCCTAATACACACCTGTCTCAGTATACATACACACCTCTGTCTCAGTATACATACACACCTCTGTCTCAGTATACATACAGACTCAGACCTCTCTTGTCTCAAAAACCCTGGGGCTGTATCTGCTTTTGACGTTTTCTTACTATAGACTGTAAATATTAACGAACATAGTCACGTCTATCTTCGCTGTTGAAACTATTGTTCCACCACTTTCGCCTTTTATGGGGCTTTTCAAAATGGCAGCGGGGGCTGGATAATGTGAAAAAAACACATTTGTGCATGCGTCAGCTGCACTAGCCCCATTCATTTATCGAGTGCATTCAAAATTCCACAGCGACTAAACTAGACTGGTCCAAAAAAATGACACTCCCCTCAGCGTTGGCAGCATCTGGAAAATGTTGAGACAAAATGTTGGAAAAAAAAGTTGGGAAAAGAGCAACTTTCGGACCATCCTGTGAACCTGTTTTCGAGAGGTAAAACGATACGTATACATTAGCATTGGCCCATTTTTACTCCCGGTCCACCCCCACTGGCCCGGGGTGGTATTGCAGCATGTCAGCGCAGGTCAGTTTGGACATTTCTGAGCCGGGACCCGCCCCCACCGTTTCTTACACAGTGTATAAAGCCTAGCGTACATCGACAGAGAAACTGGGGACAACTAGTTGCAAGGCGGCTTTTGGCAACTGAGAGGAGATGGTGGGAGATGATCAGTTGATGTGCGCGCTCTTACAACTGGAGATGATCAGTCGGTCTCCAGTTTCAGTCAGTTGCCCGTGTTCTACTTTTCGGCAACTAGTTGTCCTCAGTTTCGGAGATATGACCCGATGTGCGCACTCCATGCGCCGCTCCGACAACGTGTGTGTATTGCGTGTATTGCGAGCCCGCAACAGTTTATGTCAGAAAACACACTGTAGTTGAGGCCAGTTGCTGTCGATGTACGCGCTGTTATTCCCGAGACTGGTCTGCTACTGGGAGTTGCCCGTTTTCGTCAGATTGTCGATGTGTGCGGGGCAGCAACTCATACGCGACGGATATAATCAGTTGCCAGTCCGATGTACGCTAGGCTTAATGACCTGAGCAAACAATGAAAAGTGACTCTTATTTGCGCAATTAAACATTTTCCTTTTGGCTTCAAGTCGCCAAACCAAAACAATAAACCTCTTCTGATTGGTCTGCGGTTATAAGACGTATAGATGGACTGCCCCCCCCCACCCTCCCTTGGGCCCCCGCTCGGCCCGTTAGCCCTGTGTGTGTGGACCCAGAGCATTAGCAGAAACACGACACCGCTCTCTCGTGTAACAGTCGGCTCCGAGAACAAAGGACCAGAGCAGAGCAGCCCTGATCCTAGAATGTCTATCTGTCTAAATCTAAAGCTAGCAAGGCAATTTATTTGTTTAGCACAGTTCATACACATGGCAACTCAAAGTGCAAAACAAAACAAGAAGCGAAACGTTAAAATCATAAATAACCACAGTGCATTGAAAAGACTGAAAACTGTTTTTAAGCTGGATTTGAAGCCTGTCTCACGTATTCAGGAGGACTATTCTGAATTTTATCTGTATGGATCTGAAATGTTGACTTTTAGTCCTGACTCTGAGGTGCCCAGTCCCTGAGCTGGACTTTGGTGCGAGACAGCTGCTTTAAAGTCTGTTCTCTGAGCCACAGGAGCCAGTGCAGAGACCGAGACCAGGAAGTGTTTTGAAAATACTGCACCAGTTTTACAGCTTCTTGGTAAAGAGCAGTTACAATAGTCTAACCTACAGGAGATAAGTACAACATGAAAATCTCCAAGTACCTTAGACTACATTTTTTGATTCTGTGTTTTTCCAGACAGTAAATGGCTGGTAGCATTTAGATAAAACCTGGGCCACCTATGTGTTTGTAATTCTTGCGTTTCTTGTGTGTTTGAACTGTTGGATTCTGTTTTTGGAGTTGTGGAATCGACAATTTTTCTAAGTCCTTCGTGAAGACTGCTGATGAGACTTAGGGCTGTACATACGTTTATAAAGTTGAAGTTTTAGAGTTTTTACTGAAGAAAAATTGTTCAACTGGGTCAGGTCTCGGACATATATACACACACACCCACCCACCCAAACAGCTGTGGCGTATATTGTGATGTGAGGGGTTTTACACACTTAAAACATATAATAATAACAATAATAATAAGGCATTGGTTTTATACAGCTCTTTTCAGGACACTCAAAGTTGCTTCACATCATTAAACTTTCATTCCAAACACAGTGGTGATGAACTACGACTGTAGCCACAGCTGCCCTGGGGCACACTGACAGAAGCGAGGCAACCAGTAAGTGGCATCGGCCCCTCCCACCACCACCAACCATTCACACACACACCAGACTCTTTCTAGTCAATGCGGATAAAGTGCCTTGCCTAAGGACACAACAACAGTTTGGCACTATGCAGCTGCCCCACTGTGTTCCCAGAGGTCTCCCATCACAGTACTAACCAGGCCCTGCCCTGCTTAGCTTCAGAGGTCTGATGGGTACTGGCTTTCTCACATGCAGGTTTGGTGAAATCGTTACTGCTCCACGGATTTCACTTATTGTGGGTTATTTTTAGAACACATAACCAGGACCAGGATTTAGCTGCGTACAAAAGCGGGCGGCGGCGTTCGTACCTGACGTGTCCCACCATCTCGATGAGTTTGTGGCTGGTGAAGTAGGCGGCGAGCTCGGAGACGTGACTGAGCACCGAGCAGACGCCGAACAGGGTGGTGGTTCCCTTCAGGTCCTCCAGGTGCCAGAAGAGGAAGGTGAAGACGAAGCCGTAGCCGAAGCCCATGAACCAGGCCACGAACAGCACGGAGCCGTAGCGCACGCTGCACAGAAGCTTCAGGAGGCTGGTGAAATGGAACTCTTGCTCAGGCGCGCCACCGTGGTCCGAGGGCGGGGGAGGCGGAGGCGACTGCGGCTGCCGGGGAAAAAAAGACAAGAAGGTGATGGGAAAGATTCAGAAAACACATTTACTTTGTCATCACTGCACTCTGTATCCTGCAAGAGAAATGCATCCCTTGTTTGTTCAAAAAAAAAAAAAGAAAGCTGTGACTCTATCTGTAATAAATATATTTTGTCTCAACATTTGAAAATAAAGATTTGAAAAGACATTTCTGGACAGTGGTCGGCAGGCTTTCATGGACCTATGGCTTCTATGTGTTTGATTCTCTGATCTGGTGTTTGAAAATCAGCAACTTTGTAAAGTCCTCCAATACGACTGCTACAGTACTGCTACACAAATACGTTTAATTCGACTTAAGGCAAAATTTGTGTTTGAAACAGTTGAGAATGGCAAGTACACACACTCTCCTGACCACACACACACACTCCTCTGACCACACATATACATACACACACACTCCTCTGACCACACACACACGCCTCCTCTGACCACACACACACGCCTCCTCTGACCACACACACACACCTCCTCAGACAACACACCTCCACTGACTACACACACACACACACCTCCACTGACTACACACACAGACACACCTCCTCTGACCACACACACACTCTCACCTGTCCCGGGCCGTTCTCCCGCTCCTGCTCCACCACCCCCCCCTCCTCCGCCCCCTCGGATATGTACCCCTCCCCCTCCTCGAAGTGGAACTGCGTGGCCACGGCGAGCGCCACGCCCATCAGCACGCCGAACACGATGAAGGCGATGCGGTAGTCGTGGCGCCGGAAATCGGGCACCACGCAGCCCAGGCCCTCGATCGCCACGGAGACGTGCGTGTGGTCGATGCCGATGCCCACCAGCAGCATGGCCAGCCCCCACCCCAGGGACCCCCACATGCGCTGGAGGCCGTAGCGGTCCCGAGCGCGCCCCAGGATCTGCAGCGTCACTGTGTCCACGATGGTGATGGCGGGCGCGCTGAAGAACTCGCCGACGATGACCACGAGCAGGATGAGGAGAAAGATGGCCTCCACCTGGTCCGGGTTGTACAAGATGTGGTACTCGTGCTCAGAGGTGGGGGTGGGGGAGGGGGGAGGCGGAGGCTGGGTGTGGTTGGTCGGGCTGGGGGTGGAGGAGTTGGTGAAGACCTGTCGACCAGAACACAAGGCTGAAGACGTGCAATAGACTGTGCTATACGAAAAAACTGGACCTGCCGTAAAATACATTGGAACTGAGGTGGGTTTTTGAGTTGGGAGAAACAGTTATGTTGTTCTTACCACAGGAGCCCCGAGAGAAACCAGAGTGAGAGAGAGATCAGGGAGAGAGAGAGAGACCAGGGAGAGAGACCAGGGAGAGAGACTGAGGAGAGAGAGCAGAGAGAGACCAGAGAGAGACCAGAGAGGAAAGGAGAGTCAAGCTAGAGAGACCAGGGAGAGAGATATTAAGAGAAACCAGAGTGAGAAAAACCAGAAATGGAAAGCAGAGAGTACGGAGCAAGACCAGAGAGTGAGAGAGACAAGAGAGAAAGACCAGAGAGAAAGGGAAAGAAAATTAAGACAGAGATACCAAAGAAAGATACCAGGGAGAGAGACTGAGGAGAGAGAGCAGAGAGAGCAGAGAGAACAGAGCGAGAGAGATACCAGAGAGAGACCAGAAAGGGAAGGAGAATCAAGCCGGAGAGACCAGGGAGAGAGAGACCAGAGAGCAACCAGAGTGACTTTTAGACTGCAGCAAGGCCCACAAGTCATCAGAGAAATCATCATCAGGCCTAGAGCCTAGACTGTCAATTTTACAGAGGGATTGCATGCAGGCTGAGTAGCTAGTTTGTCAGGAGACAACAGACACACCTGTGTGGTGACGGGGGCGCCGGTGGAATTGGGAGCGAGGTCTTGGGGCACCCCGGTGATAGTGGGCGGAGCCACGGTGAGGATGCGAGGAGCAAGGGTGGGAATGGGAGGCGGCACGGCGGGAATGGGAGGAGCCACGGTGGGGTTAGTAGTTGCCTCTGTGGTGGTTGGAGGGGCCTCTGTGACAGTGGGAGGAGTCTCAGGAATGGGAGGAGCCACGGTGGGGATAGTTGTTGCTTTTGTGGTGGTTGGAGGGGCCTCTGTGAGAGTGGGATTAGCTTCTGGGATGGCGGGAGCAGCCTCGGTGAGAGTGGGAGGAGCCACAGGGATGGTGGCAGGAGCTTCGGTGATTTTGAGAGGGGTCAGACTCATTAGGGAAGGTGCTGTGACTGGGAGAGCGCGCATTTTTCTACGCTCCAGTGTAGAAGTGCTGTTACTGTTTACCCCAGTCGAGTTTCTAAGCAAAGTGGTGGTATTTATTGGAAGGAAAGTAGTAACAGGTAACAAGGTAGAAGACAGAATAAAAGTCGTGGCGGCAACGCTGGTGGTGGTGGTGGTCGTTGTTCTGGGTAATAGAGTCTCCTCACATGTCATCTCCGCCGGTTTCACGAAGCCAATGCCACAGTTAAAAGTGAGCCAGCAGAAGACCGAAAACAGCAGCACTACTTTACCCTTCTTGAAGCGGTCGGCCACCACTCCCCAGAAGGGGGCGCTGCAGAACTCTATGAAGTACCGGATTCCCACCAGCATTCCGCTGCGGCTGGCCGTCATTCCCAGCTGCTTGTAGTAGACGGCGAGTAACGGATGCAGCGAGCCGTACGCCGCGTAGAAGAACAAGTAGAAGACTTTGGAGACCAGGAGGCGAGTGTTGACGCGCAGCAGCAGCCTCCCGCAGCAGCCCACCGGGTCGGGCTGAGGGGGCGGGGCCAGGGGCAGGGGAGGGGGCGGTGACGGGGATGTGGGGGAGGAGTGAGTCTGCAGCGTGGCAGAGTTGAAGGAGCGCTCCAGGACATAGCGGCGATTCTGCTCGTCCTCGTCGTCCGTGAGGATGGCAACTTTGTCAGCCGCCATGTCTGTGACGGGAAGAGGGAAAGAATTAGGTTAATATGTGTTCAGAAGAGAGACCATAGAGAGAGAGACAGAGAGACCAGAGAGAGAGACAAGAGAGAGAGCGAGAGACCAGAGAGAGAACAAAGAGAAACCAGAGAGATCAGAGAGAGAGTAGAGATTACAAAGAGAGACCAGAGAGAGAAAGATTAGAGAGAGAATAGAGAGAGACGCCAGAAAGAGAGACTAGACTGATAGATACCTGAGAGAGAGACAGAGGAAACCAGAGAAAGAGAGACCAGAGAAAGAGAGCAGAGAGAGACCACACCATACCAATAAATATTATCAACATCATTTTTGAGCACAAGATTAACACAAATACTGATTAATATTCCGTTTTCCAGAAATACCTTTAAGAATTTCACCCAAAAATATTAGCCCTAACTCTATGCAAGGTCACTAAGCACAGTAAATAAACATAGCATCTGGTGTATTCTATGTTTAAATTCAGGTGACGCTCGGAGACGTGTTTCGAGCTGCAGTGTTTCAGTATTTCAGTATTTTGTGAAGTGAAAGTTGTCGTGCGAGACTGGGGCGCACCTGTCTCTCTCAGCGCATCCGGGAACAGAGTAAATACAGAGACATAGGCGGAAGTGAATCTCACCAAACACGACGAAAAGAGCTCATGGAAGTGCCACCAAAGCGTACTGCGTGGCACACGACCCGGAGAGAAGGAACCGTGACTTTACAGCAGCTGGAACGCACCATTACGCACGGACCAGAAGAGAGGCTGCGCGCACGTCCTTCCTGCTCCGTCTTCGCTGTTTATCTATTCAAATGTGTGTTTAAAGGAACAGAGCAGCTCCAAGTTTGCTCTGGTGACACATGAGGTCTTTGTAGAACTTGACAGGTGCCTCTCCGTGGGTAAAGTGTGATGCCATCAAGAACTACGGGGGATAAAGACGTGGGTTTTGTCCGAGTGTGGACGCGGCGTGTTGTTGTGTGAGACCAGAGACAAGAGCGAGAGAGAGAGACCAAAGGGAGAGGGAGACCAGAGAGGGAGACATGAGGGACCAGAGAATGACCAGAGAGAGAGACCAGGATAGAGAAAGCGAGACCAGAGAGTGACCAGAGAGAGAGACCAGACTAGACTAGTGCCCTGTACCTGTTCAGGTCACTCCGCCCATGAAGCTCTGTCCGCTCGGCACTGGTGACGCTGGAGCCGGGATCCGACAGGACAGAGCGCGCTGATGTTTTCGCTTCTGCACAAGGTCTATGTGCTGCACACTCTCACACAGACACGCACTAACACGCAGTCACACTCACGCACAATGGACGCGTCTCCGGAGCGCATATGCCGCGCCACTCGTCAGCAGGGAGCGCGCGCACTTCCGCCAGTCCCAGCGCGCAGGGGCGTGGCGTAGTGTGGCGCTGTCTGACGCCGGGCGGAAGTCCTTGACATTTTTTTTGTGTATATTTACATAAACTACAAGGCTCTAGCTTTAATATTATGCATTACACAAGCATGTGACATGTAACATATGTTTTTAAATAAGCAACACACACACAAATGAACCTCCTCCAAACACTTCTTGTAGGAATAAAAACCTAGTACAAATCCTGTTCCCAAACTCTTTCAATGTCTCAAATCTAAAAAGATAACAATTTGTTGAAATAACATTTATTTTAACGTTCACACAATTATGTACATGTTATCCGTTCAATTGTTTAAGAAAAGTTACAAAAATAGTATATCTAGTATCTAAGTATAAAAGAATAATTTAAATCTAGTGAACATTTAGAACAATGTCTGATTATGACCGATAAATGGGAAGGTTCTCGTTCATAAAGTCCTGACTTCAAAATATGTCTTCTAAAGTCACAGCACAGTGCACCCAGGACCAGAGAGAGAGAGAGAGAGAGAGAGAGAGAGAGAGAGAGAGAGAATATGATCAGCTTTTTCTGAGAGAGAGACAGTGGGTCACTGTGACATTCAGGTTAACTTCTGTTAGCTATTGCTGGACAAACAACTGGCTGTATCTTCACTCTCTCTTTGATTTATCTCTGGTCTCTCCTTCTGGTTTCTGCTCTCTCCTTAGTCTCTCTTTAGTCCATCTCTGCTCTCTCTTTCTCGCTCTGCTCTCCTTCTGCTCTCCCTCTGGTCTCTCTCTCTCTGCTCTCCCTTTGGTCTCTCTCGCTCTCTGCTCTCTCTCTCTGGTCTCTCTCTCTACACTCTCTAGTCTCTCTCTCTCCCTCTGCTCTCCCTCTGGTCTCTCTCTGGTCACTCTCTGGCCCTCTGTCCGTCTCATCAAGCCAAACTCTTCAGAACATTTCCGTTTTATTCAGGATCGTGACTTTGAATCCGTGATCTTCCCTTTAATAGTCGGACTCCTCTGACATGTCTCCCTGCTGTGTCCAGTGCTTGGCCTTCTTCTTCTTCTTCCTCTTCCTCTCGCCCATCAGCATGGCGGCCAGCACGGTGATGAGAACGGTGATGCTGATGATGAGGACGGTGACGGTCTCGGCAATGCACAGCTCGGTGTCCACATGCATGAGCTGGTAGCCCTTCAGGACGGGCGGATCGTGGCAGCTCAGGTTGTGGTAGTCATCCAGGAAAAGACGCTGGACCGAGCGAAGCTTCCGGAACACTCTCTGGAGGTCGCAGTCGCAGTGCCAGGGGTTCCCCTCCAGCAGGATGTGGGTGCTGTACGTATGGATGCCTTAGGAGAGAGGGGGTAAATAGTCAGAACTGATGCAGGAGAGCAGAGAGAGAGAGATACCAGGCAGAGAAACCAGAGAAGGCCAGAGAGCAGAGAGAGACTAGAGAGAGAGGCCACAGACCAGGGAGAGACACCAAAGAGACCAGATTGAGACCAGAATACAGAAGAGACCCAAGAGAAAGACCAGAGAGAGACAAGGGAGAGACCAGAGAGAGGCCAGAGAGGGTCTAGAGAGAGGTCTGGAGCTTCAGCCTCAGTCCTGGATCTAGCCTCAGTCCTGGATCTACAGTCTCAGTCCTGGGTCTACAGCCTCAGTCCAGGATCTACAGCCTCAGGCCTGGACCTACAGCCTTAGTCCGAGATCTACAGCCTCAGTCCTGGATCTACAGCCTCAGTCCTATAGCCTCAGTTCTGGATCTACAGCCTCAGTTCTGGATCTACAGCCTCAGTCCTGTCCTGGGTCTACAGCCTCAGTCCTGGGTCTTCAGCCTCAGTCCAGGATCTACAGTCTGTCTGTCTGTGGTCGAAGTGGATCCCTCTCTCAACATGGGTCTACCAAGGTTCCTCTAATTTTTCCAAGGACAGTGATGATCTGGTCTATGTGTAATCACGTGTTCCTGTGTCTGGATCTGTTTGATTATCTGATCTGCGAATCCACAACTTTTCAAAGTCCTCAGAGTCTACTGCTGTTGTGATTTACAGCAATACACAAATACGTTACATCATAACATACCTACAAACGTCTTGAAGTGGACTTTAGACATTTGGTTGCGTGCCAGGTTGAGCAGGGTCATACTGGTCAGCGGCTTGAACAACCCCACGTCCATGTCGCTCAGATGGTTCCTTTCCAGGTTCAGAACTTCCAGCGACCGTAGCATGGAGAAGGTCCCGCTCTGGAGCCGCGTCATCTGGTTCCCGGCTAAGTGAAGCTGCCGGAGCAAACTCATGGACGCGAAGGCTCTGACGCGGATCACGTGGATGAAGTTTCCCGTCAGGTTGAGCTTCTGCAGCCCGTCCAAGTGCGCGAAACTACGACTGTCCAATATTGTCAGGAAGTTGTGAGACAGCTGCAACTCTCTGAGAAGCGTCAACCCGAAGGAGAAGCCTTGGCTCAACCAGCGGATCCGGTTCCAGCTCAGATCCAACTTCTGCAGAAACTCCATGTGTGCGAAGGCCGCATCCTCCACCGCGCTGATGTTGTTGCGCTGCAGGAGGAGCACGCGAAGTTTGCGGTTGTGGGAGAGCGCGTCTTCCGGGATGTGGGAGATGAGGTTCCGAGACAGGTCTAGGAGTTCGGTGGTGGGAGGGAGGCGAGCAGGGATCCGGGTGAACATGGCGCCGGAGCAGACGGTGACACGCAGCTCGCCACGGCAGTCGCAGCCCGGCTCGCAGCGGGAGGTCGGAGCGCGAGGGCGGCATGGGGCCAACAAGGCGAGGGACAGCGTTATCCACAGCAGACGCATCGCTGCACCTGGACCAGCGCATGGAGGAAAAACAAAGTCGCTTTAGTACAGTGTCCTGGAAAAGTATACCCCATTGATTTATTTGTGATTAATCTCGTTACCACAAGACGTTCTAAAGATAAAGATCCAACACTAGCCTAAGTTCTGGTCTGGGACTGGCCTAAGTTGGGGTCTAGGACTGGCCTAAGGTATGGTCTGGAACTGGCCTAAGGTATGGTCTGGGACTGGCCTAAGTATGGTCTGGGACTGGCCTAAGTATGGTCTGGGACTAGCCTAAGTTGGGGTCTGGGACTGACCTACGTTATGGTCTGGGACAGGCCTTAGTTGTGGTCTGGGACTGGCCTACGTTACGGTCTGGGACTGACCTACGTTATGGTCTGGGAGAGGCCTACGTTATGGTCTGGGACTGGCCTACGTTATGGTCTGGGAGAGGCCTACGTTATGGTCTGGGACTGACCTACGTTATGGTCTGGGACTGGCCTACGTTATGGTCTGGGACTGACCTACGTTATGGTCTGGGACAGGCCTACGTTATGGTCTGGGACTGGCCTACGTTATGGTCTGGGACAGGCCTACGTTATGGTCTGGGACTGGCCTACGTTATGGTCTGGGACTGGCCTACGTTATGGTCTGGGACTGGCCTACGTTATGGTCTGGGACTGGCCTACGTTATGGTCTGGGACTGGCCTAAGTGGCCAAGAGGTCCCTTTCTAAACTAAGCGTGGAATAATTTTTAGGTCTGAGTCCCAACAGGTCTACAGGCCTAGAGCTAATTGTTTTCTCCCAAGCCAGACACTGACACATAATTACACCTGCTTTAGCGCCCAGGGAAATGAATGAGGTCCTGCGTTGGGGGTGGGTGACCTCATGGTGTCAAGCGATTTTAAGGCAAAGTAAATATTTGTCTTGCAACTATTGAAAGCTATTTGTTTATTACATTTATTTTGTCAAAATTTCACGGAATAAAACGAATGACTGTTATTTGCCAAAACTTATTCTAATTTTACCAAAACTGATTCTGATTTTAAATGAGTAACTGATGCATCTATAACCAGCTTAAACACACTTTAAGTCATTTTGAAGTGACCCCATCCGCCACCAGAGGGAGCCACACCTGCAGCAAGACATGGAGTATTAGTACTAGAGTAAAACACATGGAGTATTAGTACTAGAGTAAAGCATATGCAGTAATAGTAGTAGAGTAAAACATATGCAGTAATAGTACGAGAGTAAAATATATGCAGTAATAGTACGTAAAACATATGCAGTAATAGTACTAGAGTAAAACATATGCAGTAATAGTACTAGAGTAAAACAGATGCAGTAATAGTACTAGAGTAAAACACATGGAGTATTAGTACTAGAGAAAAGCATGTACAGTAATAGTACTAGAGTAAAACACATGGAGTATTAGTACTAGAGTAAAACACATGGAGTATTAGTACTCTAACAGAAGTCTGTGGGAGACAGTAGAAATAGAGGAGACTAAAACACACTACAGCTGGGATTGTACTCTGACAGAGGTACATGCAGTAATAGTACTCCCACTACAGTTAGAAATAATGGCACCAGTATACAGTAATACTATAGTAACAGAATATAGTATACTAAAGTAACAGTGTAAAAGCAGTAACAATAATAGCAATAACAATAATAGTTACAGAATTAGTAGTAACAATAACACTAATAACAGTAGTAATAGTTAGAATATTAGTTGTAACAATTACACTAATAATGGTAGTTATAGTAATAGTTAGAGTATTAGTAGTAACAATAAGAGTAATAACAGTATTAGTAATAGTTACAGTAGGAGCACTGACCGTGTGGCGCAGCAGGTGCACAGAGGCGCGAGGAGTGAACACAGAGCATGGAAACTAACACGCAGAAGAGTGATGGGGTTGTGTGTGTGTGTGTGTGTGTGTGTCCATGTGTGTGTGTGCGTGTGTGTGTCCATGTGTGTGTGTGTGTCAATTATTCACCAGGACAGAGGGGGGGGGGGGGGGGGTTTATATAGGACACATACAGAACATCCACACCACTGCTTTACTCTTCAGTAATCTTTATAATCACAAACCAACACAGATGGACGATAGGGAAGTACTCATGGGTGAAGTTTCTGAGTCGATCAAGTAAACTCCTCTTGCACAGTAATATTTTGTGTTGCGCAGACTATTTTGGGCTTAAAAATCGGTGTGTTTGTGCTCTCTGTGATCCTGGTGTTAATGTGGATAAGATAAAATAAGAGTGTCCAAAAGTGGGGTAATTTTAATGTCATCTTTGCACACATTATCACCGAATAAAAAGAAGAAATAAGACTCAGATTGCACACATCCAACAGGATCTATTATTTAAGATAGTAAATAAATTATAAATTATAATAGATAAAATAATAATAAGAAAAAAAAACTCTGGAGCTATAACTGCACTTGCACTGATTTGTGATAATGTCTTTGTAAATCCAGATATGAGCCATTTAAGGGTTGATCAATCACGACCCTTTTGTTGCCAATTTTGGCCGGCAGTAGCTCAGTTGGTAGAGCATTGGACTTTGAGCCAGAGGGTCGTGGGTTCGAGCCCGACTTTCACAATCGACTCCCACTGTCTGCTGTAGTTCTGTCCTTGGCAAGACACTTAACCTCTGGGAACACCAGGTGCCACTGTGGGCACCTGTGCGGCTGTAAAGTTCCAAACTGCCGTTGTATCCTTAGGCAAGACACTTCACCCCCATTGCCTAGAATGAGTCTGGTGTGTGTGTGTGAATGGTGGTGGGAGGGGCTGATGGCACATACTGGTTGCCTCGCTTCTGTCAGTGTGCCCCAGGGCAGCTGTGGCTACAGTAGTGGTTGTTATGGGAATTCTGATGCTTCAAATGAAATAATTCCGAGAGGAAACAAACTTGTCCTTTTGTGCAGTTTATTTACAGAAGTGAGGAGTCAAACAGAAACAGAAACGGGATCTGGAGCGATGCCGTGTCTGTCTCTTTGTTTCCCTCAACCAGCGCGTCGATGATCTTATACTGGAGGTGTGTCAGACAGAACAATGAGCATTCGTCACAAGAGAGATGAGTCATACGCGGCTGCAGACGGGAAAGTTTGGGAAAGATACATTAAGCGCACCAAAAGACCTTCGAGATGATAAGAAGAACACTCCGTGAGTACTTTTGAGATAACGCACCTGCAGATGGTGGCCAAGGCCATCGCTGAACAAGAGGCCCTTTGTGCGATGTACCAAAAGTGCGGAGAACGGAGTTTCAGACGCTGGGAACGAAGGCAAATGTATCGACCAAATGATTAGAATGGTCCGATGCCAGGAACTGACCATAACATGGTTTACCACCACCGTGTATGGCGTGAAAGAAGTGTCCAAAAAAGCGCTATATAAAACCGATGCAAAAAAATAAAAAATTAACTGTAGCAACCAGTGCCGCTGCTCCTGATTGGCTCCAGGTAACTCGGCCGTTTGCTTGAATTTGGCTCCACATTCCTGATCAAGTCACCTTTGCTCTAATTGGCCTCTTCTGCAGGAAAGCTAACACTTTGGTGATGCCACACTCAGACTGGACTGAGTGTGACATCACATTATGACTAAACAGTATTGTGAAGTCCCGCCAGAAGTTAGGAACGTAGAACCCAAATTAGACCTATTTGGTTCGCGGGCCTAACTTTGGACACCTCTGATTGGACAGAAGAGTCAAGGGTACATGGGCAGACGTTCCCGATACTAGCATGGAAGGATAAAAACACAACTCCAGGTTATGTGTGTGTGTTAGTGTGTGTGTGTGTGTGTGTGTGTGTGTGTGTGTGTGTGTGTGTGTGTGTGTGTGTGTGTGTGTGTGTGTGTGTGTGTGTGTGTGTGTGTGTGTGTGTGTGTGTGTGTGTGTGTGTGTGTGTGTGTTGGTGTGTGTGTGTGTGTGTGTGTGTGTGTGTCTGTATGGGTGTGTCTGTGTGTGTCTGTATGGGTGTGTCTGTGTGTGTCTGTATGTGAGTGGGTGTGTGTGTGTGTCAGGCAGATGTGGAGAGCTAAGATTACACTAATGCCACTGTAATCCCCTGGCCCAGATTCACAAGACTCATGCTTGTCCTCTGAGGGAGATTTGTGACTGTTAAACTCAATAAAAGCAAAGATTAAAAACTTGTATTGTCTCTGCGGGGAAAGGGCCCTCTGCATTTGACCCGTCCTTCAGTTCTCAGGGGCCTCCGTCGGACTTGTTAATAAAATGGGCGGCACATTGGTTTTCAGTAAGAAGGTCCGAGGTTTGAATCCTGGTCGGAAAAGGGTTTCTCTGTGTGGAGTTTGCATGTTCCCCCCCCCGTGCCTGGTTTCCTCCAGGTGCTCCGGTTTCCCCTACCACTAAAAACAAATAGCATGCGGCACTTGAGCTGAAGATGCAGCACTTTGAAGCACTTTGAAGATGCGGCACTTGGACTGAAGATGCGGCAAGTGATGCACAGAAAGAGAGTGGGTTTTATCATTCTTAAAGTCCTCCTCGGGGTTTGGTGAGCGGTGAGTTTTAAATACACTCTGAGGCCTCTGACTGTAATGTATTCTGTGCTCTGTGTCTGCCGTGGGACGTCCCGACTCAGGTTACTCTCCGGAGCCACTCACTTCAAACAGGAAAACACAAACTAGGATTTCAGAGCTCATTAGCAAATGCACAGCGACTGCCCCCTGAGAAACACAAGTCAAGATGTAGGGTGGAACGTGGCGCACCACAAGGATCAATACTTGGACCCATGTTATTCATTAAGTACATTAATATAACATGAAAAAAATCACAGTGAATCAAACTCGTATTCTTTGCTGCTGTCACTGTTATTATATATTACATCTGCCGGTGATGACGTGTCCATCGTAACTGTGGGATAAAACAGATTGCAAACTGAAGTCATGCTAACGTCCCAATAGAAACATCTGTGCATAATAGACTAAACCACCTTAAACCTGAACACCAAAGCTCAACACTGTCTTTAAGTTTTACAAATTCCACTAAATCACCTTTAATTATTACAAAGTGATCAGAGCAACTGAAGAAAAACATCCAGGGAGGCTCACGTCACGGATTAGGACCAAAACAAAACCACTGTGTATGGAATGAAAGCATCTTTGAGTGTCCAAAAAGTACTGTAGAAAACCAATTATTATTATTATCAGTATTTTTTATCATTATTATTGTTGTTGTTGTGTCTCTCTCACAGCGCTGCACCACTCCTTTGGAACCAGGTGGTGGCAGTGTAGCTCCAAGGTTTCCCCTGAGGACGTGAGGTCTTCAAACCCAAAACCAAAAACCCTGAAACCAGTAAAAAGGTGCATATTGGACAAAAGACAGGGTTTTTTTCCTGAAATGGTCATTTTTCTCAGTACATGTGACACTGTGATTGTGTGAGCGTGGCCTTTGACAGAATAATCCCGTGTTCTTGGTGCAAATAGACGAGTGGAGAGTGGGATTAAAGGGCAGATTACAGCAGTGTTTAATACAGTATGTCACACAGATGATTTAAATCTGACTTCTGGTCGACACTCATCCACCAACACCCGCAGACTCATTAACATTATAGATCATTCACAACACAACAAACTGAACACAATAATTGCTAGTCTTGATGCAGAAAAAGCATTTGACAAAGTCAACTGGTCATTCCTCAAATCCACTTTACAGAAATTTGGCTTTGGAGAGTCATTCATCAACTGGGTGAACACTTTATACACATCACCAACAGCAACTGTCAACTAATGGACTAACCTCACAAAGATTCACTTTACACAGGGGAACTAGACAGGGATGCCCACTCTCTCCATACCTATTCACCATATTCATTGAACCATTGGCGGCAGCAATAAGACAAAATAATTTAATCACTGGCATCCAAACACCCAAAATCCACCATAAAATTAGTCTTTATGCAGATGACATATTACTCTTCTTGCAGAACCCACAAACCTCGCTACCTGAAACCATCCGCCTCATAGAGAATTTCTCAAAAATTTCTGACTACTCAATAAACTGGCAAAAATCTTCAATACTCCCTCTAAACCCCAACTGGGATGTGGCAGCCAACCCACCACTTATCCCTATATGCACATCACATATCACTTACCTCGGTGTTAATTTCTCCTCCAAGCTGTCAGAGCTGATTCATCTCAACCACTCCCCACTACTCAAAACAACAACAGATAAACTATTACAACGGATGAATCTCCCACTCTCCCTAGCTGGAAGAATTGCAACAGTGAAAATGTCTATACTGCCCAAAATTAATTACCTCTTCTCAATGCTACCCTCTCAACCACCAACCACCTGGTTCAACTCCCTCGACTCTGCAATAATAAAATTCTACTGGAAAAACAAACCTGCCCGCATCAAATTAACTACTCTACAAAAGCCAAAATTGCAAGGTGGACTCCACGCCCCCAACTTTCTCCACTACTTCATATCCAACCAAATACAATATATCTTAAAATGGATCAAACCCCACTCATCAGACACCTGGTTAGACATAGAACAAACACATAACCCTAATATTGAACTTTCACTCCTCCCCTTTCTTACTCAATCTATTAAATCAAATCCATGCTTCAAACACATAACAATATCATCAGCCCTGACAGCTTGGTGGAAATTCCACAAAATCACCAACTCAACCCTTGGCCCTTCCACTCACACACCTATCTGGAATAACCCTGACATCCTGAGCAACAAAAAACCAATCCACTTCCGCACATGGTCAGACAAATGGTGCTTTCAGACCGGGACAGTCGTTGCGTCTGCGTTCAATGCAAAGTCAATGGGGTGGCGCGTTTCAGCGTCGCATTGCACGGACCTCTCGGCACACGCGCACGGACCGCCCAGTAGAAACGCACGGACTTGGCGG